TGAGTATTTTTCCCGAATTTCTGAAGTGTGAGCATTTACCATTGGGGTCTATTGAAGTTTATTTAGTGGTCTGCTACCAGCTGGCATGGTAGCTTACTTTATTTTCAACCTCGTTTCCAATAGTAAGCCCTAGCTAGCTGGATAGGAAACTCAGTTCTTCTTGTATCCTGATTCGATACCGCAAATGGTTAGTATTGGATTTATATCGTGTAGTTAGTGTTGTTATTTCCAACGTGCATTACGTGTTTTCACGATCATTGTAATCATAACGTCAACGCCTTCTCAACAAAACTCTTTTCCTTTCCAATTTGCTCATTATTAATATGAAATGAGATTTTTTTTTTATTATTTTACATGTATTTTTATTTTATTTTATTTTATTCTATTTATTTCATTTTATTTCATTTATATTCTATTTAATCTATTTATTTATATATTTGTTTATTAATTTATTTATTTACTTACTTATTAATTTATTTATTTATTAACTCTTATTGTAATTTTTAATTGTATTTTTAATTGTATTTTGCATAACTGCTTAATTTTTTAAATATTTTATTTAATGAATTTTATCATAAATGTATTAATCATTGTTATCCAATTAGTTTGGAGAGCCCCTCGACAGAAATTTGTTTCTTTTGGGTAATCCTGCGGGAGCTTTTTGGGTGTTGTTTTCTGTTATGTTTTCTGTTATGTTTACTACTCAGTGTTATTTGTACATGTAATTGTTTTGTCTATGATTCACTGTTTGAAATATCCCAGAAAATGAAATAAATAAATAAAATAAATAAATATTGCATATTGGCGGGATAAGATTGTACCATTTTAACTTCGAAAACAGACATGTTTTCGTAACTCACGGCGCGACGAACTGATTGTGTTTTTACCCCAGACACCGCATACAAAAAAAACGCTAATGTAACGTGCGGGCAGGCACCAGACTATTCCTCATTTGCATACGTGTGCAAAAAATGTCCACATGCAAATGATCCAACACCAGGGTGAGAGAGCAGGTAGTGGTGGGGGCGTACTGCTCGACACCCTGGGGACGAGGTTGGCATGGTAGCTTTGGCGCGCCTGGGGAAATCCCGTGGGTGGGAAATCCCGTGGGCGGGAAATCCCGTGTGCGGAAAACCTTTCCTTGACCCCGTAACATGAATCTGGCACCGTATCTTACCCGATTTGGCTTTTGTCTGTAATTTGTCAGAAAGATTGTGGATGTTTGTACCGTCGCCACCAATATATACTGTAGATATAGAGAGTCAGCACTAAATGTGGTTCTTTGCAATAAACACAATTAATGGCTTTAAATTGGGTTGTTTCTTTTGAAGTAATCACATTCCCGTTGCAAATCTTGACCAATTAATCTAGTGATTTTGGTTTTAGGCTTGTTTATTGCCACATCATGCTATCCATACATCATGCTATCCATTGCATATATATCATTGTGTATCATGATTATTTTTAATCATCTTAAAAAGAAAAGAATGACAGCTTTAATTTGAAGGAACGATATTTTAGAAACAATTTAGATTTAGGCCTATAGGAAGTATGGAAATATTACTCAATGAAGTTCAGAACGTATTGGAGTTGTTTTCTTCGTATATTTTTTTCCAGTAGCCGCGTGAATACTGTAACCACGGAGGACTAAACACATGATTTAGCTTACGTGTTTACGAAAACGAGGTTCTTGTTTAATAAAACTAGTATTGAGGCAATGCCATCCGATACTCCATTTTCTTAATTGCTTTAGTGATCACTATTTCACATTTCTCTATAATTATGTTATCGGTGAGCTAATTTCGATTTACCTCAGTAGTCTTGAACAGTTAACTCTGGAGATGATGGGGGTAATCCTCTGCACTCCAGATACCGGAAGCAACTTCCCGCACAAATTCCCGAACGGGCGGGCGCGTCGAGTTGACCTCGCATGACGTTGACGACCCAACCTCGTCCCCAGGGTGTCGAGCAGTACGCGCCCATCACTACCTGCTCTCTCACCCTGGTATTGGATCATTTGCATGTGCAAGATTTTTGAACACGTATGCAAATGAGGAATAGTCTGGTGCCTGCATGTGCGTTACGTACATTAGCTTTTGTTTTTGTATTCGGTGTATGGGGTAAAAACAGAGTCAATTTGTCGTAGCGCGAGCATGGCGTGAGTTACGAAAACACGATTTATTTAATTAAACTGTAACGATCTTACCGAGACAACATGAAGTATCACATTTCATATTAATATGAACAAATTAGAAAGGAAAAGAGTATTTTCGAGAAGTCGTGGACAAATGATCGCGAAAACACGTACTGCACGTTGTAAATAACAACACCAAGTACACGATATAAATCATTTTTAGCTAATTGCGGTATCGAATCAGGGTACAGGAAGAAAGTTTCCTATCCCGGGCTTACTGTTCGAAACGAGGTTGGAAAAAAAAGTAAGCACTGGTTACGAGGTTGCTGACGACCCCAACCACAGCACACCGGCATGTCTGTGACCCAGGGTGCACTAAACTAATTCAAGCCCCCATTGAATACAGTGTAAAATCAACGGTAAAATCAACACAAGCTAGTTCAAGCAGACATCACTTGGGTTTCTCAAACATGGATTTAATTATTGTTTTGTCCTTCACCTTTTCATTTCTTTTACATTTTGGTAGACTAGCCAATAACATTTGTAAACCTCCCGAGAACGTAATTGTTCACAAGCCTACGTAATATAGCCATGTTAAAAGTGGCATTCTTCCACTTTCTCAGGCAAATTAGGACCCATTTTCTACCTTAATTTTATCAAACCTGCCCTCAGATGGAAGCCCCCAAACCAGGGAGTTGATTTGGCTATATTTACACAATCCCACCGTTTCTAAAGCCAACGATCGCTGTTATCAAAAGAAGTTGGGGGGGGGGGCACTAATGAGCTCGCGTAGCAATTCTCACTTAATTAGTAAACTGTACCCCCAACGTCAAAGATGACTAACAGCGCCTCCAATAATCACACTAAAACTCTTCAACTAAGAACTCTCCGCGCGAGCTCCATGTTTATGTGAGGTGGATTTAGTTCTTTTATTAATATTCCAACATCCCTACCATATGCAATTTTAAATAAGTTGCCAATCAATGTTAACACATATAATAGATAATAATATCATACATTCAATATTTTCTGGGCATCAACCGTGTTCAATCTTTGTGAAAGGGACGCTAGGTCCTGGTCTCCTGGAACAGCCCAATTGGGCTACAAAACGCGCTTTGAACGAGATGATGATAATCGGAAATAACTTTTAAAAGTAGGATATATATAAACATCCACACAACTATCCTTTTAAAACTGGGCGTTTTTGTGTTATTCCTGTATTATGCATGCGAGAACGAATTTCGGTGTCCACTTTTGCGACCCCATAAATTCGAGCTGTTTGGATGACTAGTTGTGATTTCATTCGTACGCGTAAAGCGTTCGCCTATTGCGGACACTGAACTGAAGAAAGAACTGCTGTTTCTAAAACTCACCATTGTTCGGGGGTCAAAAAGTGGGGGTAGAAATGACAATTAAAATATAATAATTCTTCCCGTGCTCCCCACTTTCTGTCGGCTTTTTGCCGATGTTGCAATATTGCAAGTACACAGTTTGCCTAGTATTCGTATATCTTATTCCCACTACTACTTTCAACCAATCAGAGTTGTAAATGTCAACATTTTCATTAGCCTATCGGCGACGTGCTTTTAAACCATTCGGTACGATCGTCGCTATCTTACGTCAAGCAGTATACTTCATTAAGCGTGCTACCTATCCCTGAAACTTCGGTTCAAACCCTGCATGCCGCCTGTCCACAAAATAAATTTGCTGATATTAAAAAGGAAACAGTTTGGTTTTCTAATAGTTTTAGCTGTGCCCTAAGTTAGTGATGTGTAGAACATAATTCTCAAACGATACTAGATAATTCTCAAACGATAGTAGATAACCATACCCTCCAAATAGACACAAAATGGCTTCACCTCACAAGGGTCATGCGGTATGCGAATACAATGTACAACAAAAAGATGTGACATGCGTCACTTCAAAGCTTCATGTTGTATATTCAATAACCGTAATATAATATCTGTTGCACCTTTCGTTATAGCTATATCGACATCCGATTGTTCATGCTAGTGTGCTGACCATTATGTTGATCGCATTTTAATCAATATTTAATAAATAACAAAATGGTACCTTAAGTATATGAATGAATACATTTCTTCACATACGTTTTCATACATACATGTATAGTACACATTTAATATGAATTCAACAAGGTCTTTATAAAAATTGTTTTGATTTGCTTTCTTTATACAAAATATTGTTAATTAACTTAATTGATTCCTATATTTTCCCAATAATAGTACTGATTGTGATATTCTGAAATATTTCAAAAATACTTGATATAAAAAAACCAGGGCCCAATTTCATAGAGCTGCTTAAGCACAACATTTGCTTAAGCACGAAAAAACATTGCTTAGTAAAATTAGGTAACTGGCCAAAACTCCATGTGATGTACATTGCTTGTGACTGGTATTTAGCTGTTGTTTACTTAGCATGACAATCGCATGGGTTTTTGGTCGGTAACCTGATTTTTTAAGCAAGACGTTTTTGTGCTTAAGCAAATTTTGTGCTTAAGCAGCTCTATGAAATTGGCCCCAGATAAAGAAAATCTGTTTTGTGTACTTCGGCCTATATTATGCCTACATGTAATTACGGCCTACATGTAATTACACAAGTAATTTACTGCAACAAAATAATGATGTCGATTGAAACTGAAGTACAAACTTTGCTATTCTATATACTGTTGTACATTTTTTTGTACATAATATAGGCCGAAGTACACAAAACAGATTTTCTTTATCTGGTTTTTTTATATCAAGTATTTTTGAAATATTTCAGAATATCACAATCAGTACTATTATTGGGAAAATATAGGAATCAATTAAGTTAATTAACAATATTTTGTATAAAGAAAGCACCCAGGTCCTGAAAAAATTGTAACTATGGCAGTAGACCAGAAAATAATACTCATCGAAGAAATATTAATTAGGTACGTATTATGATTTGATATATTTTGGGCAATAAATTATTGTAGTGCATGTCCGTTTGTGTTTAACTGGTTGTAGGATTTGCACATTGGAACTCTATCAATGTATTTAATAGTGATTCTGTAATTGTTTTGAATTGTGTTTTCCCTTGTGACAGTAAGGAGACAAATTAAGGTGTTTAGTAGCTTTAGGAGCGTGACTGTGTTTTTAAACTTTCAAAAACTTTGACAAATTTCAAATGCTGGCTAAAAGTTCACCAAATAAAACGTATCATAATTTTGATCCTAATTCATGCCTTTACAACAAATGAAATATTTTGGTGTCAACATTACTCGAGAATGAGTGACCAATGGATTTTCTACAACTTTTGCTTACCATTCTAACAAATCCATCACCCGGTTTCGCAGAGTTTCACATAAATCATGACTGCAGTACCTAGCTACTATAACTGCAAATGTAGCTTGTGCTTTAGAGGAAAGACATTCGAGAAAAACTGATGTGCCTATGTTCACAGCATAGATTTGGGTTTTTGCAACATCCTACACAAGAAATCCTTACAATTGAGTAAGCATAAAATGTCTGCCGTTCACACTACGTCACTGAACTTCGACTCAAGTAGATGGGATACCTAACTTCACGAGGTAATGTAAACATGTTCCTTCCTTGTCGCTGTCAGAGTTCATTATGTAAAAAATGCATTGGTCAGTATCTCTGACTCATATCAGAGAGATTGAGGCGTGTTTTTTTTATTATTCCCAGGTTATACCATCTGCTCATGTTCCTCAGGTCCGCCTGCTGGTTTGACTATATCCTCATAGGCTGGAGGAGGCGCAGTTGGAACATCAGGAACCCTTCAAAAGAAAAAAAAGAAATCACAAGCTTTAGGAATATATCTACGTTGTTATTCCCCAGGGAGTTGACAAAGAAAATACTGCCACAAAATAATATCGACTTTCATGATAACAAGGATATTATTTGCCTGATTTGAATCTCAGTAATCTCTGTTGTATATGTAGTGTGACACTCTGTATTGATTTGAATACTTTGGACCTCTGGATACTCAGTTGATTGACTTACTGTTGAGGATAGGGCATTGCTGCTGGATATTGTTGAGGTGGTGGTTGGATGCCGGGCTGGATCTGGGGTTGATAGGCCACTTGTCCCCCTGGTCCATACATGATAGTTGCCCCTGGACCTTGTGGTTGAATGGTGGGTGGTGCCCCAGGGGGAGGGGGTTGCATGACACCGGCCGGCTGGAGCACAAATGCTTGCTGCTGCTGCTGCTGTTGCTGCAGGCAGCCCTTACAGCAACACACAATACAAACAATCAACATGGCCACGCCCACTGAAAGCATGATGGCTCCAACAATCCCAACACCAGAGAAGAAGTTGAAACCGAACGCCACCATCATGACTCCGCCGATCAGGAAGAAAACGCCAAACATTCCAAAGCAGACCGCCACGACCATTGCACCACCAGCTGGCCTGCCCACCCTATGGACACCCACGGTGGCGCCTGACGAAACATGAGGGTGGTGATGAATGTCGTGGTGATGGTTTCCTATGCCATGGTGGTGAATATCGTGGTGATGAATGTCGTGGTGATGGTTTCCTATGCCATGGTGGTGAAAATCATGGTGAATGCCGTGGTGATCGTGTCCTATGCCATGGTGGTGAATATCGTGGTGAATGTCATGATGGTGGGCACCAACATCATGGTGAAAATCATGGTCGTGGTTCATGGTGCCAGGTTTTTTGACGACACTTTGTCTCTTGGTTTCTGGGTCCTTTGGATCTTAGGAGAGGGCAGGGCCCAGTTACATCCAAGTTACTTCAAGTTCAAATTGTTCAATCTTCACCTGCACAAAAAAAAATAATGTCAAAGACACAAAATAGATCAAATTCAATCCATCAAGTTCAAGTTACCTCTTGTAAGAAGGTTATGCCCAAATAGCATCGTCCCTTGCTAGTAGGCCAGTTGGGACGGATGGTCTTAGAGTTCAGACGATCCCGACTTATGGTTGGAATCGTCTTAACAAAACACAATTCATGATGTGGAAGACTTGCCAATTTTTTTTTTGGGGGGGGGGGGGTGATAAGAAATGCCAGGGCAGCTCCACTTGTGTGGCCTCCGTGTTGCTACACCAAGATGGGGTAGCGGGAATGGTTCTTAGTCGCTAAAAAATCGGAACACTACAAATCGTAATGCAAAACTGGACCTACATTGTACACTAGAATAATACCAGAGCAATGTAATTTACATGTTATTTACCATATGTGTACTGTACTCTTCGTGCTCGTCACGTTTACCAAGCAAATTTAAATTTCTAACTTCACCGGCGAACATAAAATCGGCAGAAGTTAGTCGCTTCGGCTACTATCCGAGGGCCAGCAGTAAACGACTGAGTCTAATGGAAAAAGTGATGCGGCCCTGACCGTACGTGCCTGTACCTTCTCGTTCATGGACATGACGCATAATACATATATACTCCTTATCAACCATAACTATTGACAATGACGTTAATGATTAAACATTTTCGTGCAGTTCAGTTGTTTATGAGGGCAGAGACTACTAGTTTAATATTAATTTGTTATTTTTGATCTTTTTTTTTATCTGCCACGAGAGGGCGTTGTTTGCCGCAAACGCAATGTCATAAATTTCGCTGTCGGTAGATTTACGTGACAATTACATGAATGTCGACCACACCTTTTGATTTTGCCCAATTCATCACTACTGACACTAGTGCAAGTTCCTTTTTCGTGGTACAATAGGCCTATAACGTGTCCTAGATAGTTGAGTAACGTTTCCTGTGATCTTGGTGAGCAAAATTGTGGTTAATTTCCAATTTAGTTTGACATTTTAGGGATTTGAATTGAACCCATTTGAAGATAAATAAAAAATGGGGGCCGGGGGGCCGAACATTTAATGTCGTGACGAGAGTCAACAAAATTGACAATTTTCTGACATTGACTCAGCAACAAGTTAAATATTGATCTTACTTTAAGGTTTGTAACTATTGACATACTGTAAGTATACTTAAGTATACTTACTCAATGTCATTGTCACGCCCTAGCCCCATTATGTGGCCTATTTACTGGACTGCCTCCGTAAACATAGGCCACACGTCCACATGTACAAAAATCGTGTCGACTTTGCCAAATTTTGATTTTCACATTAAGGCTTAGTTTGTAGGGTTTTTTTGCTTTAGAAGCATACTCGCCCTCTTTATAGGCTAATCAGAAAGTGCTGCCCTTTTCAGATGTATATTTTTTGTGAAATTTCCAGATTCATTTTTACACGTTTGCGTATCAAAATTTCAACATGAAATTTCACAAAAATTAGACATCTGAAAAAGGCAGCACTTTCTGACTAGCCTATAAAGTGGGTGAGTATGCTTCTAAAGCAAAAAAACCCTACAAACTAAGCCTTAATGTGAAAATCAAAATTTGGCAAAGTCGACACGATTTTTGTACATGTGGACGTGTGGCCTATGTTTACGGAGGCAGTCCAGTAAATAGGCCACATAATGGGGCTAGTCACGCCCCAACTATCGGCCAGCCAGCACTGCACTGTGAGTGTGACTTGTCAACCTCTGCATGCACAACCCCTATGAGACAGGTCTGAAGTGTTTTCTCAGTAAAAGCATCAATATTTTCCCTGCTAAATTTTACTTTTTAGGACATATTACTTCCTGGTGGCTGATAGGTGACTGAAGGGACAAATTACTAGTGATGGCCAGAAATGGGAATCGTTCCTTTAGATAGGTCTAGAAGTAGAACACAGAGTCTGGAGGTACATAGTCTGAGTAACTATGACTCTTTGAATCACATTTTTTAACATTTGGGTATGGTCAGGCAATAGCGCCCGGCCATGTCCAAGTGTTAAGGCAATACCTTATGAACCTGGTATACAACAACTACCAAATGGAGTCAGTCTTATTTGTCATTCATTCAAATTATTGTTCTCACCAAAATTTATTCAAAACTACTGCCATGGAAGGAAGTTGTAATTCAATTTAATAGTTCGCACTATTAAATATTTTGTCCTAGGACAAAACAAATTGGACAGAGAGACTTATTGAAGCAGCGCCTTCGTTGGATGTACCCTGCCCTCTTCCAGAGACCGAGGGACAAGGCTGCCGACACAAGACCCACAATGCCTAGGCACCATGGACACCATCATGCTGCTCACCACCATCACCACGCTCACCACAATCGTCATCATCACCACAATGTTCACCACCATACCCACGTCTCGTCAATGGGCACACCAATGGGTGCACACGTGGTCGGGGGCCGGGTCGGGACACCAATGGGTAGTGTAGTTGGTTTGGGAGCCTGCCTCGGAACGTTCGGCTTTTTCTTTCTCTTCAGTGGAATTATGATGATGTCGTTTGGGTTCAACTTCGCCATGGGCTTGGGAATTGTCGGTTGCATCTTTTTCATTCTGGGCCTATCCTTGATGATGGCTTGCGTTGTGTTTTGTCGGAGGGGACGTATGCAACAACAGCAGCAAATCGCACTGAATCAGCAAGGGGTGACCACGTTGGTATACGGCCAGCCTGGGGCACAGCCACAAATAGTCCAGCCAGTACAACCTGGGGCACCACCTATCATCCAACCACAAGGTCCAGGGGCAACTATCATGTATGGACCAGGGGGACAAGTGGCTTATCAACCACAGATCCAGCCCGGCATCCAACCGCCACCTCAACAATATCCAGCGACCATTCCCTATCCACAACAGTAAGTTGTGTTTTAAAACTGAATAATTATTTCTGGAGTTGTTACCAGTTAGTTGGTAACCAACATTAGGAAGCTTGTTAATTTATAACACCTCCCCACAGGGTCTGTATTTTGATTGGCTGACAGCAAGTCACATGGTATTCTTGCTGTGCATGGCCAAAAAGACGAAACAGCAGCTGAAAAAGTACTATATAATACAAATGTGTCAAATATGACTTCAAAACAAAACAACGCATTTACAGGCTGAAGAAGATAAAAGGTCTAAAATTTATGACATCACTTTTTTTCACACTCCCTAGGAAGCATTTCTTTAAGAAAAATGTGGAAAAGAGACAATGCGGAAATTGTAAACATTTTGCAGTCAGTTATTCCTCATCTTGTGTGTAATGTACATGTATATCAAGGAACATAGACGAGGTGTGGGGAGGATACCTCAAAAGAATAAAGAAATCTCATTTTCTGCATGACTAGTGCCTTATCAATAACAAAGTGACAGTTAGGAGATTTTTAACGTAGGGCTTTATAGCTCGGTCGGTTGAGTACCCTACAATTTTTTGGAGGTTGCAGCTCGTAGGTTCAAATCCTCTTGTAAAGTCTCTTCTCAACCTGATTTGTTTTTTTTCTTTTGAAGGGATCCTTCTGCTATGACACCCAAACCCTACCCCTCAACTGATTCAACTGCACCTCCACCGACCTATGAGGACGCCGTCAACTCAGAAAGCATACCTGAAAAGGACAATAGTGGCCCAGCAATGGTATAACTAGCATTTAAATTTGGTCCAAGGTCGTTTAACGTTGTGACCTTGTCTCAGTCTGAACACTTCCTCATCCTCTCAGACATAGAGTCAGAGATGGGCAAGGTCATTAAGGCAGCTTTCCTCCATGATGAACTCTGACATGAGGTCAACTCACGTAATAACGCACACAGTGTTCTGCATCTACGCATAATTAAGATTAGCCATTTGGGCTTGTAACAAGAAAGAAGAGCATGAAGTCACATAACCTCATATGTAGACACATGCCTTTTTAAATTTATGTACAAATATTAGATGCTGAACTCCTTGGCCAATTATGATGGCTACTTTGTTGAGTTTCTCAAAATTGCAGAAAACAGTTCAACATTCAAAGTACTCATATGAAATAGGGACAAGCCCATGTGAAGCTACAGTGGCTGGCTTGTATAATCCTGAATCCATCCAAACGGTGCATAATGGAGCTATTGGATTTTGATGGAATTTGGGGTTGTATGAATTAAAAGTTTCCATATCAAAGACAAAGTTTGTGTAAAACATTCTTTTTGGGGGGAGGGGTCTGTCATCATTGATTCTGATGAAAAGTGGCTGGATTGTTGCCGTTGTGGAAATAAAAAGGACATTATATTATAAATTATTATGAATTATTAAAATCTTGATTTTTTAATTGTTTTTTAAAATTTCAATAATTCTCCAAAATATTCATTTTGCCATATATTCATAATGAAATGTGTCAGCTCCTGACAAATGACAACTAAGCGAACATAAGTCGGCTACTAATGTGTTTGTGTATAGCGGAGTTGTTTTTGTTTTCTGCATATATATTGCAAAAGAACATTTTTATATTTTGTGTCCAATTTCTCTCGTTTTATTTTCTATCCAACGTTTGTATATTTTTTTATACCTAAACTAAAATACCACAAAACAACTGTAAAAATAAGGTGTTAGACACTCCCTCGAGTTCCTATTAAGAAAAGAGGAGAGTTCGTTAAGGTGTTCATGACACGACAGGTCTTTACCTTGGCTTCTCAATCTAGAAATATCTTTTATATTTAAAATTTTACTCAAGGAGGTGGTGTCCATAAGTTTGCGTGAGAAAAATTGGTTTCAGAGGTCATAAATTCTTTCGTGCAAGTGAAAATTGTGTCATGTGAAATTAATTTGATTATTTTTTTTTAAGTCCGATGTTATTGCTTGGTAATAATAAAACAAATTTTCGTTTCAGACGGTCGTAGCATGTCAGTAAATATTCGAAAGTTCTTCTTTTTTTGTAGCAATTCCTAAATTATATTTACATTGTATATACATTTGCATGTTCGCAAGTTCATAAATTAAAGCATGCAAAGCAGTCATTATAGTTCATACATCTTACTGTATTTTCAAAGTGACTTCCCTAAGAACATATTTCTGGTGCTGCCATAGAACTCAAATGTATACATCTTGTCAATTTGTAATTCATCAATCATATTACATTGTAATTTCTTTTAATTTTTTTTTACTTTGATCAATATTGAAATATGAGCTACATTGGTAACTTTCGATGTTTGGTCCAATTTTCGGAGATGTAGTCAACGCTGGGTGAAATAATACTTAAAAGTTTATCGGTCCAATCTTCCATGATCAAGTTGAACGCTGTTTCAAAGGAACAATTCTCCACTTGAGTGCGACCTGTAGCTATTATCTTTTTAGTTTACACAAAATTCTTCACAATATGCAGTATTTTAATGTTTGATCCGTTTGTATCTATCTCGGTGCTGTGTTTCTATGTGTTGGTATTTAGCAGTGTGTATTCTTTCTCGTCTATCTTAGTGGGGATAATTGTTTTTAGGAATTTCTTTATAGGCTCACTTTCTCGAAAATGCATCCATGCTTTCTATATTTTTTTAAAATATTATTTATAAACAATTAAGTTATATTTTGCTGCTTTATTGTCTGTACATTGTTATTAACACAAAACGAAAGTATGGATTGTGGAATCGATGTTTTGTTGCATTGATTTTGTTTCCATTGTGTACCCACACAGCAGCTGGGTGTCGCAACTCCAAGGCTTTTGTCCCCGATCCAGTCTGGACATACTACTGTACCCCACCCTGCCCTATTTTTATAGGGAAAAATCAGTTAGACTGTTTGGCTTAAACCAAATGGCGACTCTCGTATTTAGTCTACATCCAATTTCGAAAATCCGTTTTGTTTTTGATGACTGGCAAATTAATAGGTTACTCTGTTCTTGTTTGATTCAATTTATCCTTACCTAGCCTATTTGAACATAAATCAAAAATAGGAAACACTTTCTGTTTTTCGCAAAAATTGTGTCGCTTTAAAACTCATAAAAGTGACAATCCCCACTTCTTGGTTGGGGCGGCCTGGGGGGTATGGGGGTCAAGTTCGATCCTCCATTTGCCAAACAATGCCCTGGACAATATTGATCATCTTGTACCATCAGTCTCAGGATGGAAACCTGACTCATGTTCGTTTTTCAACAGGAGTGTTTTTCCTTTTTTTCCCATCAATTAAAGGGAAATTTGAATGGCATCAGTTTAACACGAGGATTAAACTGATAATAAGTACGGTTACAGCTATCAACATGGCCACGGTGAGGGCGCCACCAGTCGACGGCCTCTCCACCACCCTGGTCCTGGTGGGATTGACGGTATTTGCCCAGCCGTTGATGATAGCGTCTCTGGCCCCCGCCCATGGGTGGGGCCCGTTGAGCCGGTAGAAGGGTGGGTAGGCCGGACCCAAGAATGCACGGAGAGCTAGTTTGGGGTCAGTCAGGAGGAGTCTGGTGAAGTTGGGCCGTGCTCCAATCCTGTCAGCCAATTCCTCGCAGTATGGGATTGGTGGGAACTGGGACAGAATTTTCAAAGAAACTCATTTCAACAAGTGGCTCATTATTATCATGGGATTACCATTTCTTTCAATTTTCATCTGTTCCCAAATTTAAAAAAAAAAAAATTGCCATAGGCCTAAACAAAGAAGACAACATACATACAATTCCCCACCGACCCCACGCCTGCCCACAAATCGAAACCAGAAAAACGGAACGTGACGGTACGTAAAGTGCACCCCATGCATTACTTGCATTTTGATTCATACGGAGGCCTCGAAAAGCTGGATTTCCCAATCAGTACCGTGTAATGACTCACAAAGATACGATGCTTCCCGAACTTCTTAAAGTACGCCTCCTTGCGTCTTTTCACGTCCTCCATCCTCTCGTCTATCCCAGGCAGCCGAGCGTTCCCAAGAAACACCTGAGCAACCCAGCGTGATTGGAGCTCGAATAGCGGGGTCTGGGCTCCCAGAGTAGACACATAGCCCACGGCAGCCAGCGTTGGGTGGGTACGGCGTGCCGGCCAGACGTGCATGTACAACTCCAAGTCTGCGAAATTATCTGTATTTCATGGAAGAAAAAAAAATGACCCACTAACTTTCCCACACAGCAAAAACTCTTGCTCTATTTGTGATTGGCCAATTCAAATAACACAGCATTCTGATTTCTGAGCTGATCTCTGCATTTTGTCAGCGACATTGTGCTTTGAAATCTATTATAAAATTGGTAAGAGAATCTACAATTTTTCAAAGAAAACATCTGGCCTGAGAGGAATACATCATCTCCAATATTACATTTTATTAGAGTTTTGAACATTGCTAAGAATCCGAATAATTGGCTTTTACACTGATTCGCTTCTTGTACCCTTTTTGCGTCGCAGGTCGCACGTTTCAAGATGTGAAACTCTTTTTCGAGCTTCAAGTCTCTTTTCACCTGCAATGATGGAGTTATCCTCAAAGAACGGAAAGTTGAGATTGTAGCCTGTAGCGAAGACTACCACATCCAGCCCATCAACCCGAGTCCCGTCCTCAAACACCACACCGTCCCGCGTGAACCTCTCGATGCCCGGCTTGCACCGCAGGGCCCCGCAGATAATACGGCAATGGATCTCATCGTTCACCATGATGTAGCCTTCAAACAGCCGCCTCTTACATCGCAAGCCTAGGTTATCTAGATCGAAGCGGCCCTCGAACATCGGTCGAGCGGCCAAACGTCTGATGACCTCCGGGAGCTTGGCCTTCCAGCGGCTGTTGGAGTAGGCATCGATGGGCATTCCGCCCGGGCCAAACCGGCCGATCACCCAGGCTCCATCTCGCATGCTCAGGTACACCTGAACAACAGGGGAAAAAGTGTGTTTTTTTTAAGATAGATTATACACCTTGCCGTACTGTATTGCAGCCCAGATGCTTTAAGAGCATGGTTTCACGCAATTTCTTAATATACATAATCATTTCTTAAAACCGCCCGCCTTAATATACAACGGGTGTCGGAGGTGTTCTTGATGCCATCTTCGTGTGTCTGGTTACCTGACTTGCATGACGGCTGGCATCCACAGCTACATCACCAGCAGAATGCGAACTGCCTATTGATTAAAAAAAGATTTAAATACACGCACATGCCATCTTCGTGTGTCTGGTTACCTGACTTGCATGACGGCTGGCATCCACAGCTACATCACCAGCAGAATGCGAACTGCCTATTGATTAAAAAAGATTTAAATACACGCATTATAGTTTTACTGAATATCAATGAAAAGTGCTTAATCTGCGCTCTGCGCGGAAGAGAATAAAACCAAAAATCCGTGCGACATCTCCATTTTATTTGCAGAGGTACTGAGGTTTCCGTTTCACGGGAAGGAACCCAACTTTTACCGGTACCAACACTTGTCTTCTAATTCTCACTTTTATATGTAGCCAAAGTAACTTGGTATGACAAGATGTGAACTGCAGTAAGAAGAGACCAACAACGGGTAAGTGTTGACGATTAGTAATTAGACAGAGAAAAAACTTCTTCTTTTTTACCAACAACAAGAACGGTTTTTCCGGCAAACTGTTCTCCGCTCCGGAATCGGTTGCTGTGCAGGATCTGTCCACGAAACTCCCCCTGCCCAGGGTAGCTAGGCACGAAGGCCGTGTTGAACAAGCCGGTGGAGACGATCACCGCATCGAATATCTCCGAGGCGGTGGGTCCATCCAGCGTGCCGCTACGGCATCTTGGCCGGGAACACACCTCCCATCTCCCCGTAGCCTCGTGGTCCGCGCTCGGTGCCACCTTCATCACCTCGGTGCTTAACCGGATGTGCTGGTCCAGATTGAAGTGTTCGGCATAATTGCGGTAGTACGTGAGGAGATGTTCTGGGGTGAGGTAGGGAGGGTATTCCTTAGGAAATGGAAAGTCACTGACAGTCATCATCTCTTTGCTAGAGTTACTCATCAGACATTGATAGATGGTGCCTCCAGAGATACCGTCCAAATTGTCCAGCTCCTGGGTCTGCCATACTCCGCCTGGGAGAAACAAGTTATGAAGTAGAAGTTTAGACAGAATACTGGCTGATACTTGCTTGAAGTAACACATTAATTTAATATTAATAGTGGTTTACACATCCATGGCCGTAAACTCACCGAGTTGTTCATTTTTCTCGAAGCAGACGGGTTCTAGCCCAGCCTCAAGGCACGACTTGACGGACATTAGCCCCGACACTCCCGCCCCGATCACCGCTACTCGCTTCACTGGTATCGCCATCCTCCGTTACGTAACGAAACACCCTGTAGGCCTACTACTACTATTTCCTGCAGAAAATAAATATTATAAGCAATCTGTACGTCCATGGTACGTCAAAGGAATCAGCAGCATCGATAAACGTATTTTGGCCTTTTTTCCGAATCGTGGATAACCCCCCCCCCCCCAAAAAAAAAATCATAAAAGATATTTACAAACTATACTAAATGCATGTTCTCGATGAATCAGTGATCATTGCCTAACTTGATCGAACTTTGTCCTATAAGTGAAAACGGATAACCGAAATAAAAATGGATATTAACTGTTTTTCCCGACCGTCTGCTTTCTCTTTACAAGAATGTAAAAATGTGATTAGCTATTCAAAAGAAACAAAATTAGCCGATGTTTTTTCCTTTACTTCCGACAGTTCTTTAAAGGATCTATACACTTTAAACGTTCAAAATGATGCTGAAATTTGTCTTTATGGTCTGAAAGTGTTATAAACTATGTCGGAATAAAATTAAAACTAATTTAAAGACAGATTGGATAAAGGGAGGACTCATAATGGCGCTGTTTAAAAGTATTTTTTTAAATGAGTTGTTATATACGATCACAAGCAGGTGGTTTTTTTAACTGAGGGCGGGGCGGATGTCAATCACAATTCATTTAAATAAAACTTTAAGCCAGAAATCTTTTCAAAATATATCTGCATAATAGTAACAACAACATCCTTATTACGCCGAATTCTTGTGGGCTACATTCCATTTTGTTGCGGGAGAGAAAATAATGACATGGAATTCTTGAAAAATTCGAAAACAAACTCGTTGCTTTAACAAATTAAGTCGTGTATTATTTCAAATAATGGAACGGCATGGACACACCACATCCGTCTCGCTATATTGTTAGATATTGAAAGGTGATACGTCTTACTCGTCCAGCCGTCATATTAATAGAGGTCACATCGAGGTAGTGTTATCGGGAACTCTGGGCAAAAACAAAGGAATCTGCATCCGGGTCAACCGTAAAGCATCAGTCTAACTTGACAAAAGAGGGTTTCAGCCTTTTTGTATGAAAACATGCTCAGTCATCTAGAACACCACAGATAATAATTATAAAGATACATGTATACAAAAACCACAATTTTTCTGAGTAATTTCGGGTTACTTTATTATTATTCATAATGCCGTGCAGGGAAATCCCCTAAATATGTACGCTGTGTAGTGTTATCGGGAACTCTATAGGCGAAAACAAAGGAATTTGCATCCTGGTCAACATAAACTTGACAAAAGAGGGGTTCAGCCTTTTTGTATGAAAACATGCTCAGTCATCTAGAACACCACAGATAAATATAAAGATACATGTATACAAAAAAACCACAACCACGGATCCTACACACAAGGATTAACGACTCGCCCAACTCCTGGTTAGTTTTTTAGACGCGTGATAACGGCCTGTACTGGTTGCAAATACCATGAATACTTTCCAACAAAGACCACTGCGCGCGGTGGCTTTCAGATTTGCAAGGCTCTTCGCCCGATCTGGCATCGAAGTCTGTCAAGCCAGAGAATTATATTTTTGAATATTCATGAGTCTACGTTTTTGGTCTTTATTATTGAATTCTGATAAGTGATAACTACATAACCATGGTATCGCCGAGCACAATATCTTTAGCTTTAAGATGAACAATGAAAATAAAAATGTCGCTTTTGTTTCATCGGTTCGGCATCCTATCTCTATAAAACTTTTTAATAAAAGCCTAATTAAAAACGAAATTTGGGTAAAAGGTGTTCTCCTCGAAAATTGATGTTTATTTCCCGGGTAAATACTTCATCTATGACGACAAAAACTGCACAATACCATTTGTTATATCCTGAAGTATTTATTTTTAAAATAATTTGGAACAATTATATCACTGGTTACCAGTCTCCTCTCGGATAATCTATAAAATGATGTTGTTGGTTTACAAAGCTCTAAATGGCAAAGCCCCCTCGTACATCATGGACATGCTTTCCACTTACAGACCCTCCCGCACTCTCCGATCCAGTAACAAGCATCTACTACATGAGCCAAAATCACACCGTATTTGGGGAGACAGGTCATTCTCTGTAGCAGCACCACGTCTGTGGAATCGGCTACCTATTCACATCAAAACCTCAGAAACCATTCAGTCCTTCAAAACAGCTCTCAAAACTCACCTCATGTCGTTAGCTTTCAATTAATCCCTTGCATTTATGTTTATTTTGTTTTTCTGCTCTTCCGTTGCTTACCTTACTTTGTTTAGTTTGTTTATTAATTCATATTGATTTTGTTTACCTACTTTTGCTGCTGTTTTGCTTGTATACAATTATGTATAGCGCCTTGAGCACCTCACGGTGGATATGTTTGCGCTTTATAAATGTCCAATATTATATTATTATTATTATTATTATTATCTTAAATAAGAAGCAGTTTTACTTGCAGCTTTATGAATATTTCCGTTTTAGATGTCGTGCGATAACCCAACACAATGGCACATCTGGAAAAGTCGCGATTACGCGCCAACGGTTATTAATGCCCGTAAATTATCACGCGTCTAACCAATTAAGGCAAGTCCGCTCAGTGCATTTTGTACTAGAGCTCAGAACAGTCGTTTATCCTGGTGTCTAGGATCCGTGCTTAAACTGACTAACATATAATTTTGGTTACTTTATTATTCGACCGAAGATCATACGTCCACACAATCAAGTTATCCTATCCTAAATTCATATTTCATCCATTTTATTGTCAAAATCATTGCTAACTGTGTGTGTTCAAGACAATGTAAATTACCGGGGCCGGCCGTCCGGGCAGAACCCAACCACCTTATCTCGAAGTGCTGAGTAAGCAATGCACTACTATGGGGTGGTACGGTACTAACCATAGTACAGCGTACATTTTAGGGGATTTCCCTGCACGACATTATTAAGCAATTATTCCGGTCAACTCGGTGGGGGTTATCGCGTTGTCTGCCGTAATGCAGCACATAATTCACACTCAACGCTACAGCTGCATGTACGTCATTAACTACGCTCTCAAAACACGAATTAAAATTTGGTTGTGGTCAAAAAAAGTTGGTAAAAATACCAACAATGTGTATATTATTTGACCAATGTTGGGTACACATTACCCAGCGTTGGGTAAAATATACCCAACATTATTTTGGTCAAATTGGAAAAATTTACGCATTGTTGGTTAAAGTTTTAACCAACTTGACTTGAGAGGGTACTATTATTATTATTTATTTTGCGAAATCTGTGGTCGTCATCATAATTAATAAACCTTAAAGGACACCTGTCCTCCGACCGACATCGGGTTACACGCAGAGGTTGGAGTGAGATTTGAACCTATAATGTAGAGTTTTGATGAGATCTTTTCGTAAACCTGCGATCATGGCTGCGATGTATGTTGTTCCGTTCGTTGATGTTATTTTGCGCCGGCTATAAATTTAGTGTCTAACACCCAGTGCCTGCTGTGTAAACGGCCTTGACATCTGGCAGAACGTGCGTGAGAGCATTTAATAGCTCCATGGTGAGAGGGATTTCCCCGCCAGTGACACTTGACCACAGCTGGCCGGTGGATTTCCCTCCCGGAAGAGATTTCTTCACTTTCCCTCAGCATGTTCTGATCTGTTCCTTGCTCTATGTCGTAACTAGCTGGCATACCATGCAATCGGAACCATGCAATCCACGCTATGAGCAGAAACTTTTCGAGTCACTTCAGAAACTTTGAAGGTTCTTATAGTGTTATTAACAGTTGAGCAGAATATGCACTTAATTTTGATGTAAATTTAATTCTATTTCCAGTTCACGCCAAACTATAAGATGGATTTCTACTCCAGTTCCCCAAGAATCCACTGAACCCCCGGTGCATACCCTAAAGACTTTATTTTCTCACAAAACCGTGATATTCATACGGATGCCTGGGTCACTTTATATGACATCCAAAACCAAAACAATTTTATCAGAATCCTTTCACTTCTTATATCATATCATTTTTGCTCGTTGCTACAAATCGCGATATCGCAGCATACGCGTCGTATGCTCGGCGGCCCTTTAAATTTGGGCGCAGCGCTCCCTATTTCGGAAGGTAATATAAATGGTATTACCTACCCCCCCCCCCAATAAAACCCACCCCAAATAATAATAACGTTCAGCAATTTTCGACCTCAGTTTATACCAATGTGTTGTCAAAAAACTCAACAAAAACTTGAAGTTTTGCAATATTATTATATAAGGATGTTCACACTGCAATTTTCAGGAACCTAACCCGTCACATTCCTGATAGCCACAATACTACTTCCGTTACTAAGAAATCAAGGAAATAATTACCAGACACAATGGGAACTAATGCAAATAGTCATATTTGTAGACTTGTCCAAGTCTTACAGCAAACCGGACCGCAAATTTTATTGTGTCACTATACCCGGTAATAACAAACCAAAACTCAAATCAGAACATTTGTGGTTTTCTGTATAAGATTGTTGTGCCCAAAATCTGCCCCCAAACAGGACTTCCTTTGTTTAACTGTTTCAATAAGTATCCTTCTGATAATATCCTGTGTACTTTATAGCGGACACTATAAGGGTCGGGATTATGAAAAGGAAACCCCGAAGGCCGAAAGGGCCCATTGAGCCCGCAACCATTTCGAGGTTTTGTATTCAGACAAAAATCGCCTATGTACCAAGAAAGGTATTGTTTGACGGACAATGGCCGAAAAAAACCTCTTCAAAGTAAAGCGGATAGGTCGCATACTTTTGTCACGAAATGGCAAGACGGACCTCACAAACTGAAGTAGCTCTTCATAAAAAAAGTTTTTCATAATGAATATAGAAATAGGGGCTTCATTTTAAAAGAGATATAATTCTCCACTGTTTCGGACCAAAACAGAGGGTTAGGCCCAAAAAAAGTCTCCGGTTTCTGGTATGCGCGTGCGTCGCCGTAGCCATGCGTGTCGACAAAATGAAAAAGTTTTTTTTTTCAATGAAAGATGATGTCTCAAAACCGCCAAACTCACTGGTTTAACTGGAATCCTGCTGCTGCACAATTTTAACGTGTTTTAAGATGGGGTTATGATCGAGAATAAGCTAATTATGTGGCCTCTCTGGTCTCCCATAATATTTGCACTAAGTTTAGTCGGGCACCATTTGCAGTCATCAGCCGACATTCTTTGAAGCAAAAAAAACAGGTAAAAAAAAAAAGTCGCGTCGCCGCACCACTTTTTGGGCAAGCTCCATACCAGAAACCGGAGACTTTTTTTTTGGCCTTAGGGTTACGTTTTTAAAGTTCTGTCCACGGATCATAAAAAAGGTGTGAGTTCTCCCAGCAAAACGAAAACAATTCAATTCACATACATGTGAATTGTTTTCGTTTTGCTGAAAGAACACTTACCTTTTTGGTGATCCGTGGACAGAACTTGAAAACGGTGTTTGTGTTCACAATTTCGTAACTTGAAAAGTACTTATTATTATGATTGAATAATTTATGTACTAAGAGAAAGCTTATTATAATTGGGCTTTCATAATCCTAGATTTTGAAAGTGCTACAATCATCATGTATCCCAGAAGTTCATTAAATAATTGGTCTTGCCATTCGGGCTTCCTTTGTATTTACTCACCCTGTATGCGCTATCACATTGAGTGCTAGAGTGTTGCTAAGCAACGTCATGGTGCAGAGGTCCAGGTCCAACCTCTAGAGGCTCTAGCCTCATGTCATGATAAGGGTTAATTAATAACCAACTAAAGATCCGGATGTGACCTGTAAACACTTTAAAACTGACCTCCCTGAATGAACCCGGAACTAGGTTTTGAAAACCTTCCTTGGATACCAGGATACCGTGCCTATAACTTGGAAACGCACGGAGCGCGGCGGGGTACGGTCCAGGGCACTGAGGGCAGGCAGGGGATCATCTAAAAATAGCCACCACAAGTCATGATGCTTATCACATCACTTTGGCACGTCAGGAGATGTATAAATAAGAGCATCCAGGCTAAGCGACTTCAAAATCTCCCACAATTCGAAGCTCACAAGAGGTGAAGGGAGATCGATTCCCTGCGATTTAATTACTTTACTGCCAGAAAGTGCATTAATTTGAGTACATAATGCAGAGTGGTACCCAGTCCCGGTCGGCGGTTTGTAGCGAGAAAGTCATCAGTGAAGTGAGCGGAAAGCGGCTGTTACGCCGCCGCGTCCAGAAGCGAGCAGACGGCGCTAAATGTGTGACAGTAGGCGGAAGGACGGACTGGGACGAACTTTGCAAGCAGAACACATGGCTACGGACACAGGTATATAGATACATGTACCCTATTATGCAGGCCATCAACGTCTTAACACAGCAGACAAATATTGCTCGGCAAAATAATGTACCGGTACAGAGTTAGTCCATGGCAAAAAAGGGTCATATTTAAACGGCAAGCTTGTAGCATGATTTATTTCTTGTGCTTAATGCAATGTAATTGTAGTCAGGTCCTTCTAGATTTGGTTCAATGGACATTCACGATCTTCCACAGTTTGAAGTATTCTTATTTTGTAAAATCAAAATTCAATGCAAATTACTTCTGAATGAAAACTGAGAAATACTTTTTGGACAACTTTATGTTTCAGTGGCGGGGTCAGCCAGAGGAGCTGGAATTGAAACGTGTTGGAAGAAAATGCAAACTAAAAGAAATACATGTAAAAATTGTCAACTTTGATTATCAGCCTCGACCTCGGAAGTAACATAATTGCGAAATCGATATCATTCCAAACTCCAATAATCTGTCCATCTTTAAACCATATCGTGCTGTAAAAAGTCCGGTGAACAAAGTAACACAGCTAAAAGGGGGGGATTCGAGACACGCCCATCTCCTCGCTAGGTTTTTTTTTTTATCGAAAGCGGACGTCGCAACCGCCCCCCCCCCCCCCCCACGCCCCCCCCCCCCCCCCCCCCCCCCCCCCCCCCCCCCCCGCGGTAGTATGCGCGCGCGCCCTAGTGTGAACAATGCACATGGTCAGGATTTAAGTTCTAGGTCTGGAACGGTAGTAGTAGGGTAGTAGTAGTTTTAAATGTTAAAAATGAGGCCATATATGACCTAGGTCACTTTGCAACTCACTAAATCAGTGAATTTCAAGTCGGAAAAAAAATGTACCGCCATGCGCCACAGCATGCACACTATCAAAAAAGTATCAGCGTATGAAGTGACTGACGGTAGCCTAGGTATTCCATCCCGCCCGAGGGATTAATGATACATCTCCCAGACCACCAAGGCGCTGTTTATCTTCTTGCATAGAAGTGACGTCACTTTTACCTGATTACCAGTGCCTTGTCAGTGTTGTCTACATTTCTTGATGCAGCAAGACTCCAAGAGAAAAATCCTTTCCAAAGTGCTTCCGGTATAAATACGAAGAGCGCGAGCGCGCGGATGGATTGTGTATAGCGCCCTCACTTGTCCCCAACAAGTCAACTTGACATTGAAGTGAAACTGAAACAGTGAAAGAATACGCGAAAATTTTGTGGAAATAAAACAACATTTTTTGCTATATCTGTAGCCTTGGACACGTTAGGTTGGGCAGTATTGGTAAGCTGACAGTGACACAATCAAGAAACAAAATGTGCAACTTCGTTGTAAAATTGTTGGGTAAAAAGTCTTAAAAAAAAAAAAGGGAGTAGGTATACAAATTACAATACAATGCATTCGCATATTCGGGGCTTGGACTTGGTGCTTGGCCTTGGGTAATCCGAGTAACTTGGACCCAACTTATCGCCTTTTAACATTCGGACATGGTCTGGCGGGCTTGGGTAGCTGGAGTTACCCAGCCCTAAATTTTAATCATTGGGTTGTCATTCCTAAATGACAACCCAATGATAAAATTTAGGGCTCGGTAGGCCTAAGGAAAGATTCCCATATCTGGCCATCAGTAATTTTTCCCTTAAAATTTAAATGACTTATCACAGCCATCAGCAGATAAGAAAGTGATAATCCTAAACAGTCAAAATTAGCAGTGACAAATTTTCAATTTTTGCTGAGAAAACACTTACACATTTTCAGACCAGTCACAGGGTTTTGTGCACAGGTTTACAAGTGATGTCCAGATATGGGAATCTTTCCCTGGGTAAACTCCAGAAAATTACAAAAAATTATTGTACGCGAGCACAGACATAGTTCTACCGTCATGACCATGACCCTATTAAAGTGTAGGAAGAATTCTGATCCATAGACAAAGTCCGTGCTGAAGTTGATCATCATCATCATGATCAATTTGCCATCTAGAGCAAAGGCTAGCATGGCTAGAAAACAATAGCTTGGGTGAAGTTGTGAATTTAGAATGAGAGTCCCAAATTGTTGAACTAGGGTAAAGTTTGCACAGGGCTCCCCCTACATTTGCAACAGAATTCCGTGCTTACGAAAACCATTCTATGGCTAAAAACAGCACCAGCGGAAAATGTCTGCACTAACCCTGTTACCGTACTCATGCACCCACAAGTCTAAATTCCTCGATAACCTGTGACAAGTGCCAACCGTAAGCGCAGAATTGTCTGCTACAGCAACAAACATTTCACTCTACATTAAGCAGAGCCGTGAAATGAGGATCAGGCTTACAGTGGAAATGCATTCAAGTCCCTCCAACAGTTTGACTGAGTGAGGAGCAAACTTGTGCACGGCTCCATTGTGATCACAGTTTCTATCTTGATTCATTGCAGTCTGGTTTGGTAGTCAAGCCTGATCAATCCATCAAGCGAAGAAAACACTTGGGCCTGATCCAGCTCAATGTGGACTTTGACACGGCAAAACTCTGGATCCAGGAGAAATTGGGATCCAAGGTGAAGGTAAGAAAGTCCTCAAGTAGTAAGATTGATCGCTGTAGTGTAGAGGTGGAAGTTAGGGATAGTGCCCAACACTTCAAATGAAGAAAAAGGTGGGGGACAAAATCAAACCAACTTTATTGACTCTTTATTTCTTTTCCAACATTTACTTGGATGCAAAGTTGAGACCCTGAGTATTTCACTAGTCAAGTTTCGAGTCCCATTCAAGGAAACTTCATTCCGTTTTAAAGAAAGCTTTTCCCCTTACATTTTCTGATTAAAGGTGTGGACATGTTTTGAGAAATGAAAAAATTGGAGTCCAAATGGTTTACTTACAATTGAATCATCTTTAAGAGTGTTGATCCTTGCCATAAATAATACAAAACATTACCTTAAAATGTGCTTACTTAAACAAAACACCTGCAGCATTCTGGATTTGTTCTATTCGCAACAGTGTAGTTTTAACTTCCGACTCGTGCATTTGTTGTTTTCCGTGGTTTTCTACTTGCATTTTCCTGACCTCTGTTATAGGTGGATGGCGTTGAGGGCACCCTCAAGCAATTTCTGATTGAGCCTTACCTCCCCCATCAAGAAAATGAAGAGTCCTACCTGTGCATCTACTGTCACACAGAATCCCATGATGCTGTGCTGTTCCATTCCAAAGGAGGGGTGGATGTGGGAAATGTGGATGAGGAGGTATTTTATTACTTAGTTTCTTCAGGTAATAAAGCTAGGTTTTCCAAAAATTGCACATAGATTGATTAGATGGAGAAGATCGACTTTTGAAATGGGAGAAAATCCCGAAACAAAATTCCAGGGCAACCAACGGAGTCAAGTAAGGACGTAAAAGCGTTATCCACATGTTGGCCTGGGTGGAATACAGTACTTGATCTCAACCCCAACAAAGTTTTGAAAAGCTAACTATGGTGTATTTTTTGTTGTTCTCTTATAATGATAGGCTGACCATTTGTATGTGGGATTGGAGGAAATGCCCCAGCAACAGACAATTCAAGAAACACTGCTGAAGAATGTTCAAAACACAAAGACACAGTGAGTAAACGAAGGAACTTATTGTCTCAAAGACAGTGTGGCTTGTTTAGAATTGGGTTTTTTTCAGCTACAGATATTCCTTGACCCAAAAGTCCAGTCCTAGCCGCAAAACAGCCAATGTGAATCGTCTTTCAGTTGATTCGGTAAACTGTTGTCATATTTTCTTTCTCTCATTAGGAGAGGGATGCAAATTTGAATAAACTCAGGTCTATGTCTCTTTCTGAGCTTTTGTATGGTTATTTCTTATAGAGTACAAAATCTTAATGCAGATTACTATTGATGCCAAAATTTCACAGCCAAGAGATACTCTTAGCACGAACGAGATTTTATCAGTCCAAACATTTTAAGTAGTCAAAGAATTATCCTCCCTTATATGCAAGTGTAGTTATGTTTAACCCCCACAATTCATGTAGGTATTCATTTATGTTTTGCAAGATCTTATTTCATTTCGAGGTAATAGGTAGTAATACACCGCTTGTTCTAATCGTGAAAACAATTTTGTGTTTTCCTGCATTTTAGAATGTTGTGCAGTTTCATCCAGTCTCTCATCAAGTGTTTCAGAGATTTACACTTTACATATCTGGAGCTCAATCCATTGGGTAGGTACAGTAGTCCACAATCAGCCAGAAGTCAACCTTTGTGAAATGTAGTCTTCTTCTGAATGGCCTTTTTCCTGAAATTTAGAAAGTTTGGTTCCAGTTCCATCCAGAAAATTCTTCACACGGAAAATTCAAGCTCTTTCTCAAAATTTCCAACCGTGCCACAAAAATTCCACTTTTGGCTTGCTACTAATAGATTAACCCCAGCAGAGAAAGCACTACAAGCTATTGACAGTAATTGTCTTGCACCTTATTTTGCACACAGTGGTCACAGATTCTGAAATCCACATCCTGGACGTCGCAGCCAAAGTGGACTCCAAGGCCGCGCCCCTGTGCAAGGAATTATGGGACGGAATTCAATTTGCGCCGTCGCTGTGCCGAGACCTGCATCCTGAGGTGTGTACTCTTTACGTTTCTGATTTTATTTCAAGAAATTGAAGATAGTTTTCCATACTTTGTGTTGAGTTTTGGATTATTATATTTGTCAAGCTGCACATTTGATATGCTGTTTTCTTTTGTTGTGATTTTAGGAGCTGCGTATTGCCCAACTTGCTGCCGGCACACCATGCTCTATGAATCTGACGATTCTTAACAAAGCTGGTAGAATCTGGAGTCTGATAGCCGGTGGTGGGACCTCTCTGGTCATGAGGTAAATCAACCACAATCTACCCACCTGTTTGCCTATCACAGACCTAGGATTTCCCATTTTAGTGTATCACAAATCAAATTAATTAAACTGACCTTTTGAAACAGAATTTTTCTTCAGCGGTAAACCTTAGTATTTTTTTTGCGATTTCCAATATAATTTACACCTTGTTTTTTCCTCACAATGGAAAGTTTGAGAAGTAAATGTTTTACAGAAAAATTTATGCCAAGCCAGCATAAGTAACTTCCCAACGTCATGAGAATGGGAGACTTTTGAGAATGGTGGCAGAAAACACAACGGTCCTTTTCTATTGTTTTCATCATTTTGAATGTGCGGAGTCTCAAATGTCTCCCATTAAACCAAACCCAACCAGATCATTAGAAATCCATCAGGAGGTTTTGGAGGATTTTGTGGGATTGAGGACGGTAGAGCTCGTCCTCTATTGCTTTACCTGGGGCGTGGTACCCCTTAAAAGTTGAAGTACAAAGAATGTTGCATTTGGTTCCTGAACAGTGGAGGATTTTTTAGGGTTGAGGAAGGTTTCTTGAAAAAGTGTCTTGACTTTGGGTAAAGGAACTTGCAAAACTCACTAATGTTAATCCTGATACTTCCTTCATTTGGCCGTTCCTCCTCAGTGACACAGCAGCAGAGCTAGGTGTGCGAGACGAGGTAGCCTGCTACACCCAGTTTTCTGGCCGCCCATCCGCAGACCAGATGTACGAATTCACCAAGACGTTGATCGATTTGATGGTGGAAGTGCCACACCCTGAGGGCAAGACGTTCATCCTGAGCAGCAACGTCGCTGATATGATCATGATGATCAAACTCAAGGTTGGACCCATGCAGGTGAGGCATTTATTAAATTGAATCCATTGTCCCCTTCTCTCCCCCCCCCCCCCCCAGAAAAAAGGGGTGTGGTCAGCATGATATAAACTTTTGTATGTACAGAGCTGTAGCTAGCAATAGCTCTTTTTTTTTTTTTTAACTCATTTTCCCATTTTCATTTGCTTTGCATAACTAGCATACTCGACCGTTCTTACACAGCAGAGTTCATAGTCGTAACATTTTTAACCTTTGTCCCTCACACATTGATCAGACTTTGCTTTTTTGCCTGCCTTATGTGATTTTCTAAAGAAATTGTTGCAGAAATTATCAGCCTAATTTTTCCAACACAAACCTTATAGATTGCAATGTTAGATATAGCTCAGTGTAAATGTGTCCTTTGTAGTCGAGTCTACTTTCCTCAATTCTGTTTCTGTTTACAGTCCATTCTTATGTTTCCCCCTCTTTCTGCTTTCTCTAGGGACTAATGAGAGCTCTGCAGGAGTGCAAAGAGAAACTCAAAACCCACAAAATCTCCCTGTTAATGCGTCGGGCTACGTTAGCAACAGTGTCTAAGGGACAGATACCATCAGCTCTAACTGAACTTGGTGAGTCGGTACACTGTTCTTTCTTCAGTTACTGTCCCACCTCAGCCTACACAGTCTGTCATTTTTCTCATTTTGTTTGTTCACTAATAACGAACTGCACTTGTCTTGTTTCCTGACTCCTAGGCCTGCCTGTCCATATCTTCTCCATTGCGGTACCCATGACACACCTCATACAGTGTGCACTCGGGCTGCGTGATGTCGAGACTGGCGTCGATGATACAGATAAGATATGCCAACCAATGAACCAGGTCAGTTTGGATGTCATTCTTGATTCATCTGAGCTGTCCTCAATTTGAATTCTCTGTCTCTCAGTTTGTCTCTCTTTCAAGTTGTCTGTTTGTTGTGTTGATGTCTGTATCTTATGTTATATGCCTTTGAATGCTGAACCTCATCAGGGAATTTCAAGTTTGTCTGATATAGCTCTTGGAAAAAAAAGTACTTTTTTGATGCCCTTTTAATTAGTTTATTGCACTCTCATGAGACACCTGTTATATCTACAGCATATTGGCAGCTGTTGATCTAAGCATAACTACAGAATCTGAGGCATCTCAATTTCATATCCATTTGTCATTCCCAGGGCAGTAGTTGTCCCAAGTTTTAAGATTGTGGAATAAGAAATTTGACCATTTAGTGTTTATCTTGCAAATTTAGCCATGTTATATCAGTTGTGCTTGATGATTTTCATTTATTTATTTCACAACAGCAAGCAGAATCCCATGAAGTCATTGCCAAGAACAACCTTGATGAAATCTTCAATGGAGACACAAAGGTATGTACAACTATAGTTTGATTGATTGACCTTAACGAGGGGTATCAAGTTCGTTATGTTTTAAGCTGCTCTGTATGAGGGGAGCAGGGGCTGTTTGAATCGTAGAATCATGCTGGAAAGACCACGATTTCAATCTCAGGACGATCGATCATTTTGCATTTTTTTTTTGATACAGGTAATAGTCGTTGGGCTAATGACTCAGGCTGTACAGGCCATGCTGGACTTTGACTTTGTCTGCGGTCGGAAAACACCGTCAGTTGATGCCATTGTGAATCCAGGGGGGTAAGTACATCACAAATTTATTGTTTATAGCCCTTGATTTTGCATTCCAGAAATGACAGTGTTTGAATCGTTGTCATTTTAAATGCCATTTCCCTTCAAATAGTGCCAACAAAAATCTGCTTCACCTTGATCAAATCTGTCGTGTAGTTCACGTCGATATTAAACAAACTTTTCCATCCATTGAAATTCCCCAGAGTCACCACCAGAGTCACCACCACAAGGGAGAAATGTTTTCAAGGTTGACTAACTTCGTCAATTAATTTCTAATTATTTGTTTAAATTTTTTTCCTAGTGAAGACAAAGAAGAGAGTTTCTTGTGGGCCGAAGGTCAAGTCAGCATTCCAGGTAGATCACACTTTAAATCCTTAAAATCAGACTTTAAATGCAGAGTGGCAAGAATGCATGTTTTTCTGCGGTTCATGACTGTCTGATTTCATTGATATCCTTCCAACGTTTGCCGTTAATAAAAATTAAAAGCACTGCAGAAAGCATCATGCAGCAAGTTGAACCTTGAGGCTTGTTTCCCAACATTTAATACTAGTGACCGAATTTCTGTAATAACTTTATTTATTAAAACATATTTTTAAATAAACTACTAAAAAGAGAACCGCCAACATAGGGCTGGAAAGCTCAGTTGGTAGAGCACTGGAACGGCAATCTGGAGGTCGTAGGCTCGAACCCCGCCCCAGTCAATTTCTTTGTTCAACTTTAAAACATCTCAAAAATTGAAGTTTTTTCAATGTATTTTTGATGGACAGTGTACAGCAGCTTAGAGACAGCAATGAGTAATCACACCGATGCTACCGTAGTGGTCAATAGTGCCCCAGGCAGAGATGCGTATCACTGTGCTATGCTGGCTGTCAAGTGTAGACATGTAAGTTCCTATATACAACTCAGTTCATTCATATATGGTCCACGTTTCTAGCCTTGATTCTAATCGTCCATATCCTTCATAATCCACCAGGTTTTGGAGGGTTTTGTAAGATTGGGAAGGTTCAGTCTCAGCTTGGATTGCTTTATGTTGAGCTTGGTGATTCCCTTGAGCATTGAGTTAATCCCGTGTGCTTGAGAATAAGGCCCATCAGACTGTAGGGAAAGTAGAAATATCAAGGCTTATAACAATTAATACAAGCTTTGCCTGTCCTAACGTATGTGTGAAGACAGTTCTCCAGTCAGTAGTGACAATGCGTGTGTCCATTAGCTGGATAGTTTACCAGGAATTGATCACTCTTTCAAAGATAAATCAGTGGAGATTGATAATATCATTGGAATTTTGGGATTCTCTAATTTTTTGAAGGTAATCACAAACTATCACAGTCATTGGTTCCACATTTGAAATTAGGTGCTGTGATAATTTCAGAAAAGAAAAATAAGCTTGATGGTCAGGGGTAATATATTTGTGAGTGCTTGTCCCCCCCCCCCCCCCCCCTCAACCGCTCCCCCACCACCACTTCTCTTTCCTCCTTTTGCCTTCTCCCTGTCAATTGCCCTCCTCACTCTCGGCCCAAATTTGTTTAATCGTTCACAAATTCACAAATCATCTTTAACTTTATACTATCCATTTTTTGTCAGATTCGTTGCATTCTGATGATAGCAGGCCACATCCCAGACCGACAAACAAGAACTTTAGTTCAGATGGCCCACAACAACGGAGTCTTGATCGTTGGACCCTGCACAGTAAGACAGTCAGGAAATTGGAATTAAAAGAAGATGTTTCTTTCTTTTTTGGAGAAAATCAATCCATCTAAAATACCTCTTAAAGACAGATCACTCTTCCAAACAATTCGTAGATACTTCAAAATCTAACTCAAAATTCTCTATCCAGTAAGTAATTTGTCCCTGCTACCTTTGTTCCCCTTACAGCCCGTACACCTCATGCAAGTTAACTTCATCAAGCCCGGCAGTTTCCGCTGCAACAAGTTTGGTACCATCGGCGGTTCGTTAGATGACCTGGTCTCATTGCGGCTGTATCGGCCTGGCAGTGTGGGCGTGGTGACACGGTCTGGTGGGCTGAGTATGGAACTGATCATCTACATCGCTAGGAACACAGATGGGCTGTATCAGGGCGTGTCGCTGGGTGGCGGAAAGTAAGTTGGCAACCGTGAACAGTTTTCCCTGTGACACTGGTTTGGTGATGTAGTCCATATAATGACCTGGGCCACATTGACACCGAAGCCGCTAGGAAGAATACATTGCTTAACAAATTTATGTCGGCAATCGGTCAAGAAGTAGTTAAAAGCAATATGCATCACTTTACTTTTTGGTTAGTACCCTGTGTTGGCTAAGCATATATTGTTTGTGCTTGGAAAATGTCATCACCTCCATGACACTGTTGCCACATTATGACACAGTATGGCACAGACTTTATCACACATTGAAGTAAAGTCGTGTGATCAGAATGGTGGGGGAAGCGTATATTGTGTCATATTAAAGTGATGGAGATTATTTCAACACCAATTTACAACAACTTTAGTATACATTCTTGTGCCAGGGGAGAAAGTGTCTAAGATTTTTTTGTCTTGTTGTTTGTAGGTGCACTGGTTCCTCGTTCATGGATCATTTGATGTCTATGCAGGCAAACCCAGACGTCAAGATCTTGCTGCTGCTTGGAGAGGTGTGCTTTCTCATGTTTTATCATTTCAGAGTTGTAATCCATTCACTGACAAGTCAGGTGACAAGTCAGGTTACAAATCAGGTGACAAGTCCAGTGACAATTCAGATCACAGGTCAGGTCACAAGTCCGGTCACAAGTCTGTGGTGACAAGTCAGGTCACAAGTCAGGTCACAAGTCAGGTCACCTGACTTGTCACCTGACTTGTCACATGTCAGGTCACAGGTCACATCACAGATAACAGGTGTAAACAAAGACAAAGGAATGCATTTGTCACAGCTGAATAGCATGCCACTTGACTTGAGATTGTGTTGTGATTGATTTTAAAAACTGGATACTATTTGTTTGATACATTCTCCACTTTTAAGCCTAAACAGATCCTTTTCACAGAGTTGCCATATCTTCCTAACCAGTTTTTCCCAACTCAACCATCCCATCCGTGTTGGGATTATTTTCTTACTTTGTCATTTGTTGTGTTTGGTTCCAATAGTTTGGTGGAAGTGAGGAGTATGACATATGTGAAGCTCTACGTAGCGGCAAGCTCAGCAAACCAATGGTTGCCTTCTGCATTGGCGAGTGTGCCGACATGTTCAAATCAGAAGTAAGTCACAATAATTATACAGTTTCAACCCAGGATATTTCTCTTTGCTAATGTAACAAAGCGCAATGTGGTTCCTAAAATGGACTTAATGTGATCAAAAAATTGCTGTTTTACACAGATGTTTTTGAGTTGTAGTTGTAACCAGTAATTTCTTTATATTTTCTCTTGATAAAATTTGTTTAAAGATCTTCAGAGAATACAAGCATGGATGAAATGGAATTGCACGTTTTGCAACGAAATTTAGGATTTTTTTTGTGGGGGGGGGGGGTAGATGTTCCAAAAATTGTTTAACTATTGTTACATTTGATTTTTTTTCCAGCCGGGTTATTTTGGCCACTCAGGAGCAGGCAACGATGTTGCCTTGGAAACAGCTGCTGCTAAAAACCAAGCTCTTGCAGAGGCTGGGGCTATCGTGCCGAAAACATTTGACGAGATTGGTGACAAACTCCGGTAAGTACGTAATATATTGTGCCTGTTAAGCATCGACCCTTACTGCCCTAAATCCATTACATTCCACATGTAAAGTTGCATAGAATGCGCCAAGCAAACACAAAAATTGCTCAACAAATACAGGTAGCTTACTCAAAAGTCTTACAGTGTGGCAGTTATTTAAGAGACATTTAATAGAGTTCCCTTTTTTTTTAACTGTTTTACTTTATAAAGTGACATATTTCTGATGACTTTTGTATGTAATAACTATTCAACTCTCAATCTTGTTTTGTTTGTGTGCAGAGAGGTATACGCTAGCCTGATAGCTAAGGGTCAACTGGTACCCAAGCCTGAACCACCGGTGCCGAGCATACCAGCCAATATGAAGCCAAGGAAAGGCAAGAAGTAGGCAGGATTCAAGACCATACCCATCCCCCCCCCCCAGCATCCCTCCCTTTTGCCCATCCTTTCCTTTACTTTTCCAAAATCATAAACAAAAACGTCCTAAAGTCATTAATTGTATTATTAGACCATTTCACCCCATTAGCACTTAACCCTTTAGCAATTGTATTACATTGTATTACATTGTATTACACTGTATTACATTGTATTACATTGTATATACTGCATGAATCCATACAACCATAGAGTGCTGGGCGGTTTGGGGCGGTTTGAGGAGTAACAGGCAGGGCAGTTTGGGGCGGTACAAGGGCTAAACGGTTAATTGAAATATCCCCCCACTCCTTCATTTTCTTTTCCAACATCTGAAAAAAACTGTCCTTAAGTGATCATCTGCATTTTTATGCTATTCTAACCCATTTTAATTTTCACTTGAAATATCCCTTTTCTGGAAATATATATTTTTTTCAAAGTATTACATACATTGTCGTAGTTGATAGTACTGAAATTGGGCATTTTTGGATATCACATGAAATATTCCAGCTGAAAAAAACTGAAACCGAAGAGACAGAAAGTGATATCATTGATCTGTCACATTATGTACTTATACTGAAATTCCAAAGTATTGGTTATTAAGGTTAATTTGGATTGTGGAATTCCGGTGGTGAAGTGACAAGAAAAAGTTGATTCTTAGTTCATCTGTTTTATTAACAGGTCACAAGTTAAGATTCAAGTTCTAAAAGTGTAATTACAAAAATTACTACTGATTGGCATCACTCGGTTCAGATTTACTTGGGGATAGTGGTTCAGTCTTAGGTTTGTAACAGAATGTGAATGAAATATTGTATGGGCCACTGTTTTTGTTACTTTTTTGTATGTCGTACTGCACATTGTCTTTCAATTCATCAATATATTTCAAATGATTTAATAATATTTGTAAAGAAATTATGATATAGAAAATAAACTCTATTTTCCTAATGCATAATCTAAAAACCATTCACAGATGTAAATATTTAATAAATTGTTACCATTTAAAGAATTTAAATTAGTTTTGGTGTTCAGGCCTTTAAACTATTGATATAACCTCTATACTAAAGATATTGTACATGTACATGTAGATGTACTAAATCAACAGAAAATTGTGCACATGAAAGCAAACTATTTTATGTTCCTTTTGGTGACTTAATGCAGTACTGTTTCAGTCTCAAAAATGAACAAAGTGAACTGAAGATCTTAACTTTTAGCTTTTGATAGTTTTGAGATTTGAATTTTCAGTGAGGTTCGAATTTTGATAGTTTTAACAAAGATAAAACCAGAATATTTAAAAGATTCTTTCTTGGACCTTTAATTTGTAATAAAACAGAAAACTTGTGTAGTGCATTCTGAGTGTACGGTCAATTCTTTATCGAGTTGAGTTAAAATCTAATATAACTTATTCTTTCCTGCTCAGTCTTAACCTGACCAAAATAATGGATTAGAATATTCCACTTATGTTGACAAAATTGAATATGAGATCCCCTTTATTCGGTAATTCCAATAATATCTTGTGAACAAAATTTCTTGTATGAATAATGAGGTTCGAATTTTCAGTTTCTTTATCTGTATTGTAGAAGTAATAATAAAAAAAAACCACTTATTAAATGCATCAATGGGAATCGAACCCCGGCCCCTGGATCACGTGTCCCCGCGCCTTACCGCAAAGCTACAAGTGATTCCGACATTTTCAAGTGCTTTTTATTTGGCTTTAAGGTAAAGAAAGAAACGTGTGGGCTTTACACGTGGAACCCACGTGGGCGTAGACGCAAACTCAAGTTTGACGATAAATTATGCATTTGATTTAGAGATTGTAGGAAATATTGCTTATTTTTGGCGACTACAATTTGATTGGGAAAGAGTAAAAAGCGCAAATTGAAGCGAAAATGTGGAAAGAAATGAACTCAATCTGGTACAATCCTTGGTTTTTGGTATTAAGCACACGCGTTCAACGGATGCAGGGAAGGCCATTTCTTTTGTTAATTTCCTTTGTTGAATTTGGCGTTAACAATAAAATGTTTCCATTGAGGCGAAAGGATTAAACGCCGCTATCTTTTTCCACGCTTGAGTGCATCTGAATGGGTGTTTTTCAAGCGGAAAATCACGAAATACAGCTCTTTTACAGCATTTTAACCTACAGAACGATACTTTTTGCAGAGGAAATTGCATTCTGAACAAAACTGTAGTTTCAAAATGCAAAAATTCGCCGTATTAAGGAAATCGATGTCGAATTTTTTGGTTGTGCCAAGCAAAAACTTTCCACTTTCCAACGTAGGTGGCGCTAAACATTTTTCATTCACACGTGTGTCAGAGAAAATCAAACTGGCAATTGCCACAGCATACTTTTACCTCGGGAAGGGGCGGGGTCGGCGGGTTCTTTGGGGGGAAGGGGGGAAGGGTACAGACGTATTGAGAGTACCGTGACAGACCTATTGGCATTACAGAAATATTGTTTGAGAATTAATGTAACACTATTATTATTGATAGTTATTTTATCAGTTTTGTGCGCGCGTAAGGGAACATGTGGGTTGGCTTGGGACCGGCGACCCGTGATCACGGTATGGCGGAGTTGATAAGTGGGAGGGGGGGGGGGGGTTACAAAACTGTATTTTGTTTGGACGGAGGGGGGGGGGGGGGGGGGGTGGGTATGAGGGGGATATATATAAAATAGAAATTAAGTGCATTCAATTATGTAGCCTATTTATGAAGCAAACTGCAGTATTCGTGCATATTATACTACACGTGCATCATAGAGGTGTTTGAAAAAACGCGGCCTCATTACCAATTCAGAATATTGTAGATCCTGAATAACTAGTGAGACTCTTGATCAATATGGGGTCATGGTTGCTTCAGAAACAAATAATTTATGAATTGATGTCTGTATTATATCTGGTGTTTAACCCCTTCCCCTTCCCCCCCCCCTCCCCCTCCATAAAAAAGACAGTGTCCCTCCTCAACTAATTTGTGGGTGTATAACTTGTTTGGCTCAGTGACTGCACTGTCGATGAAATATATATAGCGCCACCTACGTTGGAGATCGGAAAGTTTTTGCTTGGCACAACCAAAAAATTCGACATCGATTTCCTTAATACGGCGAATTTTTACATTCTGAAACTACAGTTTTGTTCAGTATTCAATTTCCTCTGCAAAAAGTATCATTTTGTAGGTTGAAATGCTGTATAAGAGCTGTATTTCGTGATTTTCCGCTTGAAAAACACCCATTCAGATGCACTCAAGCGTGGAAAAAGATAGCGGCGTTTAATCCTTTCGCCTCAATGGAAACATTTTATTGTTAACGCCAGATTCAACAAAGAAAATTAACAAAGAAAATAGACTCCCTTGCATCCGTCGAACCGGTGTTCTAATTTTGTTAGCTTAGTCTATGCACGTGCGCTTCGCAAGGAGATAGGCAAAACGCCTGTAAACAAGCCTAGTACCCGGCGTAAGAAGCACGTGGTGTGTGGTATTAGCTGGAGACGCCATTTCATTCAGCTTTTGCAGTCCCAGGGCTTGGCCTTTTCAGCACCAATTTGAATAAATGAATATTTAGATTTCGAAGCAAACTAACGTTTTACCCGTTTGTATCGATGGTGGCGCTGTATATATTAACGCGCGTACCGCGGCCCGCTGGGGGCGACCACTATTGTCGCCCCTAGCGGTATAACGCTTGTACCGCTGGGGGCGCCCTTTGTCGCCTCTAGCGGTATATATTAACGCGCGTACCGCTGGGGGCGACCATTATTGTCGTCCCTAGCGGTTTATATTAACGCTTGTACGGCTGGGGGCGACCGTTATTGTCGCCCCCAGAGGAAATTCCGCTAGGGGCGACCTTTCTTGTCGCCCCTAGCGGTATATATTAACGCGCGTACCGCTGGGGGCGATGGAGTTGTTTTCTTGAAAATAAAGGAGTGGTCTTTTAGAAACGACAGCTCGTGGCTGCTTTTGAAAAAAAACCCATTATTTATGTAGTAAAAAAGTGCCTACATTTGTGCACAACTGAAAAAAAAATTGTCCATGTGGCTTCATCAAGTACAGAGCTACAACCACTTCCCAAACTGTTTTTATTTCATTTTTAATGCTCATAATAATTTGAAATGGATATGCTACATTCACAAATATCATATTAAACTGGAGACGAACCAACAAAGTGAAAATGACGCCAAGAACGTTCCATTACAATGCATTTTTATCAGACATTTATTCTTTTCATAATTTATCTACAATGTTAGTGTAATTCAAACATAATGGAGCACTGACGGCATTAGATGACTTTGGAATCAACTTGCATATTTTCTTTTGCATAAAACTGTTATAGATCAATTTTCTGATAAAAATGTCACAAAGGAGTGAATTATTGTGCTCCTGGAAACAAAGAGGGGGATGTTTAAACTTAAATTCTGGCTTTGATTTAGTGAAGGTATCTTGGAGAAATATGTATTTTTTTTTCATCGGAGTCTTTTGTACAATATTATTGACTACAGTAAGCCTTCTTGAGATTATGAGGGCGCCATTCTGAGGAAGTAAACTCATTAACCTTTACCCAAACTCACAGGCTCCTAATAGCGCCCTCAAATTGTGTCCGCCGTATCTCAAAAAGGCTGACAAGTCCTTCATTCAAAATTGGGCCTATTTTGGCAGCAAAGAATTAACAAAAGCCATGTTCACCAAGAAAGTCTTACAATGCAACCAGTCAATCCATTCCTCTGAGAGTGTACAAAAAGTCTCTTTAAAGGGGTTGATGTTTCAAGCAGTGAAATATCACAAACTGGGCTCCATTTGATGTTCGAGAGAAAATGGCCCCTTAATGTCCAAAAATAGGCACCTGAAATCCTGGAGCTAGTATCAAAAGCAGAAGCTTGGGATCAAGACAAGGTCTCAGTCCATGGCCCAAACCATATAAATTGCACTGGTAGAGAGATACTACAGTCTGAATTGCACACGGTTTGATTCAAGGCGGGATCAATCTGTTTTCTCCTCCTCTCCTAACTGGTTGAGTGCCTGTGACAGCTTGGTGACCCTCTCCATGATCTTATCCCTGTCTCTCTCCACCAGCCTGCTGCCAAATTTCTGCAGGAATTTGTCCGGATGCCACAGCAGCTGCTGGGAGCGTACAAACCTCCTCAGCTCTGCAGCATCCTCACGGTTAATGTCACATGTCAGCACCTGGATCATCTTGTCCGGGTTGCCATGGTGACCCGGCCAGGGCACATCCTCCAATCCCAGCGGACTCAACTCCTGACTCTCTGCACTGAACACCTCGGCACATCGCTGTAGATGCTCAGCCTTCTGCCTCAGGAGTTTCTGCCGGAGTCGTTCTGAGTGTCTCCTCTGATACCTCGCGTGCTCTTCTTCCAGTTTCCTTTGGAAGTTGCGTTTCTCCTCTTGCCTCCGTTCTCTGTCTTGGGCATCCTCTCTGCTGTGACTGCTACGTGATGGCTGATGCCCCTGGTATCGCTGCTGCTGTTTCTGTCTCTGCTCCGCTGCTATTCTGGTCGCCCAGTCATCGAATGACTCCTGATTTAACCCAGTGTAACCTGAACAAATTACATCAAAAAGACAATTTTGAAAATACAAATATCTGTAACATATCCGAGGCATTCCAAACATCAAATGTTACAGTGAGACTTTATTTAACAACCAAGGAAAGTTTGATGCTCAGTTCCTAAGGCATCTGCACTACTAGGCAGCAGGGCCTTGGTTCGATTACCAGCCAAAGAAGATGATATTTACACTTCATGACAAGCTCCTTATATTCTCTTTATACAAACTTTATTTGAAAAAAACTCCATCAACTCCTTATTTATTTTTATTTTTTAAATGCTTACTCAGTTGCACTTATGGAAAATGAAATATGATTGCTTTACCCTGTTTCCCAAAGCTAGCATCAGTAAAATTGCTTAGCCTACCTGTGTCATGCCACAGGGCGTGGTCAGACATCCCAGCCATGTCTGCTGCCCATTCATCCTGCAATCTGGACTGCCATTCTGCCTCCTCCCTCTGTCTCGCCTCGTCAGCTGCTTTCTCCTCATATTCTCTCCTCAATCGCTGTTTTGAAGAAATCAAGAAGAAAAATGAGGCACGAGTGTGTGCACACAAAATGTCCTTTTTTTTATCTTGGCTTTTGTGAACATATCATAGGGCTCCCTCTACAGTTGCTCCTGAGCACTCACCTGAACTCTCTCCTGCTCCACCTGCTCGAACTCCTTCAACAGCTGTCTTGGAGTGCGCCCTCGCTTGTTGGCAATGTCCAGGATGATTGACGGACAGCTCTTTTCTAGGATGGGCAGAACAAGGTCCTTGAAAGCTGTGCATTTAAAAAACAAAATAGTAAAATATAATAACAAACCAATAAATATATGCAAAGGCCCCCAACAAGTTCTGCTTCTGATTACATGGCATGCGAAAATAGGGTAGGTAGGTAGGTAATTTTTTTTTGTGCCAATTTTGTTTGTGTACGATCGTATGGTGGCGTCTGCATGTAGTAAAGGGTAAAAGGTAGAAAATGATGGTTTTTGGTGTTTTTTTCTCATTTTTCCCATATAAAAATGAGGGTAGGGGCTGTGAGTATAGTAGGATAGGCAGGGAAACCAGAAACAGAACTTTTTTTTGGACCAAGGTTTGGATGCCTTACTTTGATTTTCTATGGAATTTGCTCAGTTATATTTCATCAATATATTAACTTTTTAGAAGCACTTGCTAGGCCATCAGCCTGGGGGTTTGGCCAGCATCAAATCAGGGCATAAATGACTATAGTGCGCATGCGCAAGGTATACCGCCCCTAGAGTGGTAACAAGCATTTTGATGGACATTTTGAAAAAAAGGGTGATAGCACCCAAAAAGCTGCCACCGCTGCAGTGCTATCACATATTTTCGAACTCTGGAGGTGTATACCTTGCCAAAAATTGCTATGACGATTATTCCCCTCACTTGATACCGGTGGCCAAAATTTTGGACCGAGGCTGATGGCCTATGCCTCTTAGTCTTTACACTAAATGTTGTGTGAAGGCTTATCAGAAAATATATGGCAAGCTTGCTTAAAATTAAGCAAACATTCCTACCATGTTTGTGTCCATGCAGTGCTCTCTGCAGAGCTAGGTGTAGTGGTGTGTCACCATGACTGTCCGGTACATCCGCCCTGGCTCCGTACTTCATTAGCACCCGTAACATGGCGTCATCCCCACAGGCGCAGGCCACATGCAGCGGGGTTCTCTGTCGATGAACTCTGCCTGGCAGCGTGGCATTCACATCCAGTCGGTAGTCATGGTGATGTTTCTTCAGGAAGGATTTCACCTTGAGTACGTCCCTCTGGCTGATGTAGTCAAACAGCTTCTCTGCTTTGCTTCTACCCATATCTAATTAGAAAATATCAATAAAAATACATAATCAATTTTGGATAATTGCTGAATTGGACATCTGTTTACACATTTTTAGATCTTTGATCTTGATCTTAATAAAATAATTGATCTGCTCCTTAAAACAAAAGATGCCTCTTTTCCAAAGGAAATGTTTAAGCACATTTGAATTGAACAAGAATTGGATCACTAAAAATGTAGTGGCTTTTGTTACGGCAGCCGTAATGCGATTGGCAACTGCTATCATTACGGCATTGCAAAAACACCATTGGCTTTTGTGAATCTATGACATTTATAGCTGCCTATCCAACCAGAGCGCTTTCATAGCTCAATTGAACAAACATGTTTAACAGTGGACAACCAATAGGCCTAAGTACCAATGACAAAGGTCCCGGCCAGGATCGAATCTGCTGCGCGCCCTGCAAGAATTTGTTTGTTCTATTTTGTTCTTTTAGTAGCTTCCCTACCCTTCCCTATATATATTTTTAAATCAAATCCTACTGCTTTTTATTGAAGTAGATATTAGGGAAAGAATTGCATACATGGACATCACTCATTTTCCCTGCAGTGACTTCAGCCATCAGCATGATCAGAAAGCGATAATATTGTCCTAAAAAGTCATATTTAGTAGGGAAAATAATGAAGAATAAATTTATTGAGAAAACATTGGGAATTTTTGTTCAGACCAGTCTCATTCATTCAATCATTGGGTTTTGTGCACAGGGTGTCAAGTGATAACCCTTTCTGATTTCAGAGGAATTTTTAAAGGGAAATAAAATTTGAGAACCATTCGGTTTTAAATCTGGTTCCAAGAGCCAAAGATCAGGATGTAGAATACTAGGGAACCGATTCGACTGCCATATACGTGCGCGTAACGATAGAGAGTCGAACTCGATTCAGTAAAAAAACTCACGGAAGTTGTAATTAATTTTTGTTTTGAGCAATCTCGGTTCCGTTACCAAACTATTCCACTTCATTTTCCCCCTATACTTACTGCATTGAGCGAAAACCTAAGGTTGCTAGTTGCCGATGAAACGTTGCCTTACAAACATGACAAAACATAAACAACTGAATCAAGATCACAACTTAGTTGAGAAACGTCCCATGCGCGCGGCCATATTGAATGAAGCTACCACTTGGTGGCGCACTAAGTTATTTACTTGGTGGCGCACCAAGTTATTTTAAAATAACACATTATGGCCACCCCAAAATATCTGCCAATATTTGTCGATCCATCAGTTTAAGGCCCGATATGGAAGTCCAACTGCAGGCATTTGTCTAATTTATATCCCCAGTAATGCCGTAAAGTTGTACCCCTTTTCGAGCGGGGGGGGGGGGGGGGGGGGCAGGTCAGTAGAAAACGACAATATAGATAGCTGCTCCCTATGTCCAAAAGTTCAAATCAGACTAAATAAGATGTGAATCAAAGGTCCTGGAAATTTTGATTTGTATAACATGAACAATAATTAAATATCGTTATCGGTTGTACTTTTGAAAGAATTTTTTTTTTTCAAAGTTCATTTTGTGCATATAGCCTATAATAGTTAATATACGGGTCCTACCTTTTCGGTTTAGCGGCGGACATTTGATTTCTATCTCTTTATACTTGACAGATGCAGAGTTTCGAATGTATATGTACAGATTATGCCCTTAATTAAAATAAAAATTCAGATTAGCCAACAGCTGAGTGAGCGCTTTACAAAAACAATGTTGCCTAGCAAAACTCAAACGGGTTTATAGTGTGATAAATCACGTTTTACCGTGGGCATAAAAACTCACTAACAAACTGTAACTATTGTATGATAACTATGATCGGTCCTTTTTTGTTAATTGGATCAACCATATTTTTTTCTTCTTCTGTTTTTTAAACTTGAGCAAGTTACCACCGAGGAAGGTCAATGCCATAGAATCACACGGAGCTTTGTCCCGCCCAGTGACGTCACATGTGATTTTTGTCACCAACAATAAAAAAATTTGGTGGGGTCAAATTGGTACCGGTGAAGTGGAAAGAGGGGAGATCGAGATTTGCATGCGCCGTATTTTGGCAACCTACCGTGTCAATGGTGAATTTTGTTTGCACTACCGAAACTCCTTTGTGTCTGCAAAATGCATTGTGCGAATTGTAAATGAACTTCGCACGGTCGCTGTATACGTACACGTATAGCAAACAAGCCTGTGGTTAAATCGCGCTTGTGAGCGAAGGAGTAGTTCCGAAACTCCATATTCAATTTCCTGGATATTCATTCAACACAACGGCGGCCGTTTTTCTCGAGAAATTAGTGATCATTTTATCCACTTTCCCACCACTTAAACGGGTAAGTTTGTAGATATTTTAAGGATCAATTTTGAAGTAAACAATATCGAGTGAAGTTGTCATTTTTTTCAACAGGAACGGCGCAGCGACATGATAACCACATCGGGAATTTTCTGCTGCTGACTTTAAACAAACCTGCTTCAAATTGTATTCATGGCTTAAAATAATTCGCCTATCCGTTACGTATCACTTATTTCAAGCAGGTTTAAATATTTATTTTAACGATTTTAAGAACATAATGGGAAGGCTTTACATGGAAAATTGAATAAGAATAAGTAACACATGTCAAATAGTCATGTTAATGAATACACACAAAGCCTCGACAAAGTTTGCAATAAAAGGTTATCAAAAAGGTTATCAATTTTTCAGGCTATGCCAAGCATAATTGTTCTGTTTATGGAAACTTAACGCGTTCCATGTGCATGAAGACCGTAAGCACTAATACATGGAAAGATTGCTAAGAAATAGTGCCACGATTGAAATATTGCTCGCGCAAGGGCGGACATCTTGTAATCAAAGTAACAAAAAGCCATTTGCTTACTATAATTATTGAACTAAAGCACTCAGAGAGCACAAACCTCAACCAAGGCTGAACAATTGTCCGCCATATTGTCAGTACACCCCCCCCCCCAAATAAAAAAATACACGCATAAATGGTGAAGAATCCTTACAAAATCGTGGACCCAGACCCAGATCCGGATCACTTCCAAAATCTAATCGGTGTGTATACTAACCAAGGACCAGTCTCCCCCCCCCCAAAAAAAATCCTGCAAATCCGTCCATAAGTTTTTGAGTTATCTTGTTAACAGACAAACCAATCAGCTAACCAACCAACCAACAAAATCCGATGAAAAAGAACATAACCTCCTTGGTGAAGGTAATAATGAATTAACAATGGCGGGCATTCCCGTTTCAAGGCAGTTTCTACATAGAACGAGGCGGTGCATGTCCATATATAAAACAAGTCAGTGTCTAGAATAAAAAGGATTGACCTTGCTATTTCGATGGCCGGTTAAGCAAGGGCAGAAAGTTATTTCCTTAGCGACAATTTCGAATTTAGGACCCACAGCCCCTTCAGTAACCAAATTGCGGGAAGGGGAAATTTCTATATAATGAATTAAAGCATAAAGCTCGTAGTATTTAATTGCAAATTATATATTATACATGTTATTTTGGTCGATTATAGGAACGTGAACATTGAATCGTTTCTCTTATCAACTTAATTTCGTCTTCAAGCATACATCTTGATCATATCACTAAGACTTTCACCATAATTGTTTTGCCTAACCATTTCTGTTCTATTGCCAGAACAGCCAGATCGTATTGATCTGAAATGTTTGAAGCAGCAATGCTAATTTTCCATACTAGGAAAACCAAATGCCTCTAGGCTTCAGAAAACGCCCAATACAGACATAATACAGCAAACAAACGGACCCGGATATTACGTCTATTATTAACGCACATTATAAAAAGGTACAAATTCGTTCATTTCTAAATGTTGTTTCTCATCAAACCATACCAAAAATTGTGTTTATGATAACCCGACCTATATACCTGGACTTTTTGCGGCCAAATCGCCCATCACCTCAAACTTGTTATTGTCACATTTAGCCAAACATTTCAAAGAAAGTAAATTTTGGAATTTAAAAATATCTTCTCTGTGCAATTGTTATGTGTGTTGTTAGGTTAATATATATATTAAAAAAATAACATCTCAAATAAACAGAATACCATAGTAAGTGTAAAACACGGACAAACATAAAACAGTTACAAAATAAAACATTATTTTCCCACCTACCTACCCGGGTAAGTTTTTTTTTTACCGTTAACGCATTTTTTCTCGGCCTCAGGCTTCCGAATATTTTCCGAAAAGATCAGGAAACTCCCAAGCACGAAATTGGATAGCTTTTAAATAGTAATAAAGCCCCTCTTTCATTAAACTTGCAATTCCCTTCCAACTATTTCCCTCTAGCAAATGCCCCGCCTTCATCTGCGAAAGCCAAGGGTGTCCCTCAAAACTTGATAACCAATACACCGAGTCACTACAAAAATATAGAAATAAGATCGATCGCTGGACCTATTAGCATTGACGAATTTACGGTTTCTGTTGCAGCACTTCGAGATATATTTAAACGCACTCGCGTGTGGCCTTCAACTATGAAATATTCAAGGAAAATTGTATTGTGACGCGCACACACAGTGCAAGTACTAGCACACTGCACAAAATATGCACGTTTTAAGCGTGGACAAACACAATAGGTATACCCCGTTGCTACATGATAATGATAATGTATTCCTTTCTTAGATATTTGTGTTTCGGTTGTTTAGCATAGACGACCATTTTTAATTTTTTTTTAGATAGCCTCGCTAAATTTAATGTGAAGTATTACTTAACGTGTTTTCCAGTACGCCTCAGTGTTATGCAGATACTCAACTAATGTTCTTTTTTTTAACAATTCCTTGACAATCTGTTTTAATGAATTAATAACAAAATACAATCCATCAATGTATCAATGTATTGCTCCAACATTGGCCTATAACGCATGATACCGTTGTCATGGAAACAAAAGACCGCATCAATATATTCTTATTACGGTATATTCTTATTCGGTACGATTGTGGAGGTGGTTTTTAGTTTTTGACCTGTCTGACTTGTTCCATTTCAAGATTATATGGTTGTTTTATTCTTTCATGAACAGCTCATTGCTACTAAGTGGTAGTGGCTGTGATGGACGCCATTTTGGTTGCCTAGCGACAACTGCCATTTGCATGGCAGGATGCTGAATCCCATGTGCAATGCTTCCGACGGAGGACGGTTTTAATGAGAGCCGAGCACTAGAGGTTGGCTATAATAGCGGATGGGATATAGATTGGCGATGCCTGCGGAACCGTGTTAGTGTCTCAGCCAAATGGACATTGTGGATGACGGTGAATAAGATGTGTGTTTGTCCGCACCAGGCAAGGAGAAAATACAACGTTAAAACAAGAGGCAATCGCACCAACGAATAGACCTACAAAACAAGCGAATAGGCCTAAACAGACAACCAAAACTACGTACAAAATTGCATTTTGGCAAAAGTGTACTCCGTCACAGCCTCACTTGTATAAATACAGTGCACAATCTACGGATGTTCCAATAACGGAAATTGGGTGACGTGTGCATCTTCAAAGATAACAGTTGAATATTCCATATTACGAGATGCCGTCAATGAGGTCCAAGATTGCCCGCTCTAGGCGCATCAAGGCCGCCCTTGCAGGAGGCGTTCTCCTATACGGTGTTATCTTACTGGTCAGCACCTCCACGAAGCAGGAGCATCACATGGCCTACCCCTGGGCTGCCCAAGGAGACGGTTTCAGGCAAGCCCATCGCCAGGAACATCTTAGACATACCATGGAGATCGAGGCGAACTCGCAGTCACCAGCGGGGAGACGTGGGAATGCGTCCCGGCTACTCATTGGAAATCACACGAACTCGCTGTCTCCAGCGGGTAGTCGGGGGAATCAGTCCCAGCAACTCAAAGGAAATCACACAGTGGTGGAACTCAACAAAATAACTGAAGAGCCACTGGTAAGTATTTGCTGTAACTTATCTGCTCTTTACGTCGTGTCAACACCTTCTCAGAACCAATGACTCTCATTTCAACTTACCTCTTTAGGCGCCAACGTTAACTTCTCTCACAAGCAAGTGATGGATGCGAGCTAGTACAGGTCACATAATTCGAATTAGATGCACTGCTTATGTTGAATGTCAATACCAATTTTTTGATTGAAGAGAATTCAACTTCAGAGAATTGGTCGTGGAAATTTCATGAATGTTACTTTAAGAAATTAAGAAATCAGATAACGTCTTTTGCACCCCAAATACAATTGTTCCCATGCACTATAGACATTGTCGTAAAATAATATTCCTTATAGACCTTATGCGTATAACAGCCATCTTAGAGGGCAATGCCTTTCTTTTTTTTTGCTGGGATATGCATGAGTGAACCTTATGCACATTCATTGTTTCTGAATTAAAATAGCAGAAGATGTCCTCTAAGATGGCCGCTACGCATAAGGTTCAGTGCAAAACATAATTATGTAGCATACACATGTACATGTAATATGGCCGTTAGGCCACGATATGTATGAAATTAAATCAAATCAAAATCCAAACATATCGGAAGGCACTACCACAAAACTGTATATACCCTTTTCCCACTCATCTAGAAATGTACCAGGACACTGAAATCTTTAACCAAGTACTCCAAGTGGTTCCAGGGAAGATACCAGCCGAAAGTCAAGCTCTTTTTGGACAAAAACGACATCAACAACTACAAAAGCTACTTAACACGTGGTCTTCCGTATGGGTTCAAAGGTCAAAATCACACAGGTGAGGACAGGCACTATAATAAATTTGTAGCGGTCCGTGCAGGAACAATAGGTGGCGCTATTTGGCTTAATGGTGCAAGCCAATCAAGGACACCTCTGTCAACGCAGCATTGCCGAACATTGTCCTTTAATATTGGTATACTGTCACCGTTAAGGGGGTAGTATAGCCAGTTGAATGGACAAGCATCATTATCAATATGCACTTTTAGTTTACATCTCCTCATAACTTTATGCTCAAGTCAGTTATTGTGGACAGCAGTCAGCGAGTTATATTAGCAGTCAAACGAATTGTATGGGATTGGTTTTGCCCAACATAGGCCTAAGGTCTATATGATAAATGTTTGAATGCTATGTATAGGAATGATGAACGATGATCAGTTAATGATGCATAATTGATGTGAGCTCCATGAACTTTAGAGGACTCCGTACTACAATTTCATTTGAAAACAAAAATCATTAATTTAAAATCAAAATGCATTTTGAGACCATCAAGTTGGCAATGTACTCACTCGCATTAGGTCTTCTATTTGCAGAGTCTTCATAAGAAACAGCCGAGTATGAAAAGTACAATTTTATTTGTAACACTATTCTTTCCCCTCAGAATTCGACCTAGTTTTAAAGAACCCGAATTTCACTAACCCTTCGATCCACGGCGCACATCGCAAGGCGGGCTGCATCCGTTGTGCTGTGGTCGGTAGCGGTGGTATCCTGAATGGCTCCGGAGCAGGCGCGGAAATAGACGGTCACGACTACGTCTTCAGGTGAATACTTAAACAAGAATTATTTGTCACACAAATGACACAAACACTTCATGGAACTCAAGCAAGACTTAGTATTTTACTTTAATGCTGTACAGGCATGACAATGGATGAATAGTACCAACGTGGTTGTGTTCCCTGCTCTCTCAACACCGTTAACAGGATGGAGGATCTTCCCTGACAGAAGTTTGAGCCAATAGGCTCAAACTATACAAAAATTTGAACTTTACCTGAAATTGTTGTAACTCGTTGCAACTGCCGACCTACTCCGCAAAGTTCGCGCGCACTGCACTCGCGCTCAAAACTGTATGTGCTCAGTCTGGTGCTTAGCAGGCGCAATGTGCATCCGCCCCAGTTAACGTCTCGGTGCCTGTTCATTTACTAACTACGATAGCCCCTGGCTACCACTAGACAAACACTGCTGTTGAGCTACCTAATTGGTTGTGACTAAATTACTGTAAGTCAGTTTCCATGCGATGTCTTACACCAAATTTGACATCAGTTCATGCTCCTTCAATTACCAACTTGCAGGGTCAATCGGGCGTTGTCGAGAGGACGATTTGCTACAGACGTTGGGAGACGCACAACGTTCTACACTTTCTTCCCCGAGTCGCAAGGAATCGGAAATGTTGAAGATAAGGTGAGGAAAAGGGGGAAATGATGGGACATGAGCAAAATCTGTCTTACGACAAATTAACCACAAAAGACGGACACAAGAGATTTCTCCCATTGCCACTTGGCCCAAACATAAGAAGCCAGTGCCATCTGTTTTTGCAGCAAACTTTATAAGCTTTTGAATATAAGGGACCATATGGCTCGCAGTATAACAATGTTGTCTTCGGTCATGGATTTATTTTGTCGAAAGGAAATATAGCTTTGATTGCATTTAAAATTGTATTGTGTAGATAACATAGTGTCATGATAGCCTTCACAAATCCCTCCCAAATTTTGCAGTCAACGTTTCGCTCAGAAACTGCCGGTCGCCTTTAAGGAGATCTATTGAGCGATATGACTCAGTAAATGATAAGACGCAGTATATTGTCAAGTCGAGAGAAAACCCACATTACTGTTGTTGAATTGCTATCTTATGACAGAGCATGATCGCCTTCTATGCCATGTTTAAAGCCTACGATGTCGCTTACGCCAAGAAACTGATCCAAGGGGACAAATCACCAAGATATAATATCACAGCGACATCCAGGTAAGTCTCGTGGTACCATGCGAGATTCGATTCAACGCACGTGATTTCAAATGGTGATTGGTATACATTAGCTTTAAAAAAAATTCGCACTTATGACACCGATATTAGCTAAAACAAAATCAGTCACTGAAGATAATCGAGATGTAGAAAAGATGTTTTACCACAAATTATTATTTGGAATGTTTTAAGAGTCATTCGTTTACCGAAATGACCCATTGTTCTTCATTAAGTAATAAATAATGAATGGTATAGGACCATGATGCACACTTTGTGAAAGATTCATATTTTTTTCTTTGCAGGGGGATGAAAAGACCCGGCTTAGAGGCATCCAAATTAAAGATTATTCATCCTGCATTCTTCAACTACGTTTCCCAAGTGTATTTGATGAGAAAAGCTCGACCGACAACAGGTAGGCCTATTGTTAAAAGGTTCCAATCAGTTTTGCGAGTTTTTCCTATTTTTTCCCACAGGTGTTGCCTCAGAACACTGTTGCAAAAAGTAGCATGAAAATTGACATTATTTTCATCCTCGTTTCCAACAGGGTCGATAGTTGTGATCATGTCCCTGCACATTTGTGACGAGGTAACTATTTATGGCTTCGGGTACGATCCCCGCTTCACCATGCACTACTATGATTCCAAGTTCATCAAGCATACGCAAAAGTCGACCGCCTCGCACAACGTCGACAACGAGCGCAAACTGTGGATGAAACTGCACGAAGAAGGTGTTATCAGACTGTTCAAAAGGGATTTGTGACGAAAGTTAGCGCTTGGGAAGACTTTGACTTATTTCATGCAAAAACAGTACATGTATATGTATAGGCCGACACGTAGGCTGCTTGGACTAATCACGGTAGCCAGTGAGTGATGGACACCAGTACACGGCGCATGCGCACACCTTTGTAGTGACGTCATGTGTATCGGTTGCTGACAGGTAAATCCACCCAAGTGTCTTTCTTGTTTATATTTAAAAATCGATTTGACTGTACAGTGTCCAGTGTGTGGTCAACTTCTTTTGGGAGCCGCCCATATCAAGTGACAAGTGCGCTGAAGTAAACGGTTCGCTTCTGCGCAGTGCAAGTCAGTGTCACGTGACCACCATTTGCAATTTTGTACACAAATGTGGCGTGGTACAACCTGGACAAAAAAGTGCGGCACACATCTTTACGTAGTTTAGCTTCTTTGCTGAATTAGAGAAGAAAAGAGATGACACTGAGGAAGAAGCCTCAAAACATTCTGCACTTTTGGAAGCGTCCGAACTTGGATTGGTTATCAGCCGTGACTGTTCCAACCTCGCCCCCAGGGCCTACTTTATTGCAGGTAGTGGTGGGAGCGAACTGCTCGACATCCTGGGAACGAGGTTGTGATGGTCCTCCTTCCCAAGTGGCATGATTGGTCCAACAAGGGATACTTGATGATTACTTACTTAAGAAAGAAAGATTCCATCACAACTTGTGTGTATTTTGTGCATATTTTTATTCAGTAAAACAAAACTTTATGATTGTATAAAAGCAGCATGCAAAGGTAACTTGAACAAGGATTAAAGAATCAACTCTCAATCAAAATGTATCAATATTACTCTAGAATTATACACAACATCAACAGGTTAAGTAGATGTCCATTCAATGGAACACTTTTAATTAAATACATACATTAATATACATGTACATTAAAAGCTACTTCTAACATGGAAGTAGCTGAAGTATTTGTGACACTAACAGCAATAATGCCAAAGTGTAAAACATGCCCATAATAAATCTAGTATTTAAAATTGCATTGTTTTTCATATTTACTAAAATCTAAATAAGGCAGCAGAAAGTCCAAATAACTACATGTATTCAAAATGTAAATTCCATTAATGCATTTCATTTTTTTTTTTACAATACCCAACAAAGTATACATTTTAATAATCTCTTAAACATTTCAATAAAATCTTTGCATTGAAATTTGGATTAGACATTTTTTTATTGAGATTCCTGGCATGTTACCTGAAAAAAAAATCACTAACTACCTGTTGCATCACGAACAAATGGAATTTATTTAAAACACATCAGTTTTTTGTTGTGGCGTTTAGTTTTGCTACCATTCAGTTCAAGTATATTGTGAATTATTGGTTAAAATATTTAAAAAAGTCAACCAAGAGTCAACGTCATAGTCAAAGATTGTCTGTTCATTAAGGAATCTTTCTAATGAAACAATTTGATTCAGTAAACATTTATTTACTTCTCACTGAAATCGCCCGTTTGAAAATATTTAATTTATTTATTTTGATTCAATTATTTAAATGTACGTTTAGTGTCCAGTTCACATTTACTTTTTTTCTGTATCGCTTGGTTCTTTTGGCCAAGGACAATCGGGAATTTTCATTTTTCAATTCTCGTGTCAATCAATGGCAGTATTTTTAATAGAAATTGATGATTTTTTTTCCACAAAACCTGTAAACTTAAAGATGACACAGGTTTATGGAGGGTTTATTATTGCATTTTTTTTATAGTTCAATTGTTTAGTTTTGTTTTGTTTTACAGTCATCATCCATTATATGTAACTAAAAACACAATGGATTGATCGATTATATTAAGCCAAAAATGGCATTCAAGTAATTTTGCTGCAGCATATTAAATTCGTTTGACAAATGTTATGAAGAATTTGTGAAATGTTTAATAATCTATTAATATATTTAAGTGTATTATATTTGATAACATATTTTCAGTTGCAAGAATTAAATAAATAATATTTAGTAATAAACTTTTTGTGCATTTATGAAACCTCAATCTTCCTAGATTATTCAGAATCCATCAGATAGTTTTTTGGCAACTTTACAGCATAAAAGGAGCAGGGCGGTAGAGACCAGTATTAACCCCACATTTGGTTGGATACCCTTTGAAGTTTAGTTTTACTACAAAGAATATTCCAATGGATTTCCAACACCGATGTTGGATTTTGGAAGATTCGGGAAACGTCAAATCACAAAATGTTCAAAAGGATTAATTTAATATCATATTAGTAAGACAAATTCAATCAAACTGCAATTGCTTAAAAATCATTCCTCTTTGGTACGAAAAAGTTAAGACGACTTCACGTTGTCTGTGATAATACCACACTTGAGGCATTTGTGGAAGTACTCCTTCTCTGTGTTATCATTCACAGTCCATACTACAGTTTTAATGCCCCGCTGAGCCCAATAGTCCACAGTACCTCTACAAAAAAATGCCAAAAAAAGAGAGAAGGTTTAGCACTTACCAGTCATCCTAAACTGGAACAAATCCCGGCCCAATCTAATGTCTCTGCTCACTGTAAAATGAAGAATCTTTGCCGAGTTTACCAACAACAACAAAAAGAAAAATGTGACCCGCTCCACAAAAATGAGTCTGTTGTGGCAAAACTGAAATTTTGAGTTAACTACATTAATAAAATGGGAATGAAGTAAGCTTTCATTTGGTATATCACAGACCTCTCCAGGACGTTTGGTAGCACTGTTGTGCCTTTTTTAATTCTGTCAAGTTTTTGCAAAGCAAGAAATGTCTCAATGAAGAAAAAAGGGTTTAAAAATTACAAATACACAGTAACTAACCAAGAAAAGCACCAAAAATCATAAATTTGTTAGTCTTTTTCTTACAATATTTAAATTTCTGTGTAAGATATCTGAACTAAAACAATCAAACAACCAAAATAAAACAAAAACAAAAAAATCCAAATTTTGAGCAAATTTTCACTGTTTCCATTTAAAAGTGGTAAAAGCTGGAATTCAAGCTATGCGACATCAGACTCATTTTTGCAGAGCGAGTCTCAAATGTTCCATGCTTTTTCTGACAACTGAGGGGGCTGTTGCTGTGATGTCATTTAAGGCACACAGAGTTTGCTGTTCAAATAGTAAACCCAAAAATTGCTCAATGAAAATGTTTGTGAGAAAATTTCAGTCATCGAGTTACTGTCATGCACTAAAACATTCAATCAGTCGCCCAAAAAACAGAAAACGTACCACTGCAAAAAAAGTCCCCAATTCTGGCAACTTTTGATGCAAAAGCAGCAGCTGCACTGAAGTGTCTGCCTTGAATGACATCACCGAGTACTGATAAATATGGACAATTGCATTAGCATCAAAACCTAAAAGGCATCAAAACACCTTGAAAAGCGCAATATGAAGATTGAAATATAAAGTTAAAAGGAGATTACTGCATGGAATTTGGAAAAAGAGAGCAGGCCTTTTTGAGGTTCATGTATAGTGTTGAGATTAAGGATATACTTACTCTGTTACTATCTTCTTGTCAAGCAGTGTGGCCGCGTTCCCACATAGAATCCACAGCCAAGCAGACTGGCACCAGACCAGTAGGTAATCAGCTAAGATGCATGGGTAGCGTTTCCAGATTGGGCCGGTCACGTCACAACCAAACCCATACTGTACCGTGGTAGTGCAGGTAGTGAGGGCCGTCAAGATAGCTGGGTCCTGCCGACGAATCTAACCAACAACAAGTACCCTCTCAATGGTTAGAAAGCAAGTGGGGGGACACTGGGGAGGGACATTTGAACGAATTACTGACGACGCCTGATGCTCGCGAAAAAATGAATTGAGTTTGTGCACATTTAGGATAAATTTAGCTGTGCGTACTTTGCACCATACGCACACATGTCAAATCCAACCAGGACTCTTAAAGTGATCACAAAATGCCATTTACTGGTCAAACACTGAGTACATCCATGTTTATATAACTGACATACAGATCCTGGTCATTTGATTGGTGGAACTCACATCACATGACATTCATTATTGCTCCCATTCACGCCGGGGCTCAAAACATCCCATTTGCCCGTGGTGAATGGGATTTACTATTCAACAGTTAGGATCATCCTTGTTCCATGGCGCAGTATTTGTGTACATTGCATGCTGGTTTGCGCGTTGAGTGTTGTGTGTAGCGCGTATTGTTCACAAGAGCCAGTAGCTAGCTGCAGAGTTGGGTTCAAACATTTCCTGAAGGGGTTGCTTAGAAGAGAAAAATACATTTCCCACCAATTTTGTATTGAAATAGAAGTTCATTCAAACTGTAAATTAAATGACAAGGATCTATATGTCAGTTATATAAAACAATATTGAGTGGCTTCAAATTGTGAAATGGGAGGAATATTATCGCTCGGTAAAATCTGGACTTTTCAATTTCACTCGGCTTTGCCTCTCGAAAAAAGAGAAGTCCAGATTTTATTTGTATAACATTATGATGGCCATCTTCATCATTTTCACCAATATGAATCAGACCAAAAGGTTGCATATTATAATGGCAATAAACATTTTTTTAAAATTCTTAGAAATTCTTGTACCTTGTATGACAGCATGGGGAAGAATGAGCAGACCATTCCTTTCTGATACAGTTCAGTATGCCGCTGGAACAGCGCAGTTAGGGCATTCACCATCTACACGTCAAAAATGAAAAAAGTTTATCAGTTCCCACACATAGTTGCACCATTATAGCAAATCAGACTTAAATATGAAAATATGTGTTGCCAAATTCATGTATGTTGCACGTAGATGATGCAAAACCTACAAATGTCTTTTCCTTAGATTTAAACTTGATGAAAGAAATTAACAGAACGTAAAAGAGAAGTTACTGTATGAATGAATATGAAATACAGCTGTCCCAAATATACAGAATGTTCAATCATCAACCAATATTCAAATAGCTTTTTGATGGTTTGATAAAAAAAAAAAAAGTACGCACATCCACACTGTGGAAGGGAAAATCCTAGAAATTGTTCAATAAAAATTTCCTGAATGCTGAGGAACATGATCCTGTGGAAATAGCCGACGCATGAGTGGATGCATTGTATTACCTCTGTGGACCAATCCTTGACATCAAAGAAGATGTTCATTCCAAGGCCCAGACACTCTACAGTGGCCTCTTCAAGGGTTGGGATACTGGCATGCGGAAATTTATCCCTGTGGTAAAATGTATTTAACAGGACTAGAATTATTTCCATTTTTCAATTTGGACAATGAATACATTCACTACCAGCTGTAACAAAAAAAGTTAAACTTTAGGTAATGGGTGATAATATTGAATTTGAACACTGATGGTATAGTAACAATTAGGTGGCTTACTGGCTTGCCAGCTTTCCAAATACGATGTATTACTACATGTACCTTACTTGCATTCCTGAAGTCATGATTGATTGAGCACCATTCATTTCATAATAGGGTAGGGCTTGAATTTTCAAATGGAATCGCTGGACCGAGTCAAGAGATAAAAGCATCTGTATGAATGACTGATGCTTTCTATGCCATGCAAACCAGTCCGATGTTTTTTTTTCACACAAATTAATCCTGATGATATTTTATCTGAAGTACGTTTTTATTTTAAATTCAGGCCCTGCTGGAACAACCAACATTTTGCTAAATTTTGCTGATGCAGTACCAACCATCCATCCATGACTGAGCACAATAAAAGGTACACGAATGCGTTATTAGAAAGTAGACAATCCTCTGTACTGCTGTTATATCCTGCGGATAGCTTGACTACCTGGCATTTAACGAAGTGGTGGATGTAATGTTATGATACTAGCAAGTGGGGCCAAAAGTAATAAATGGAAACAATACCTATTTAAAATTAATCATTGTGAGAAAACATCAGATGTTTTTAACGTTTGGAACGCTGTATGGTAAAACTATCCCTACAACTTCAGCAACACATGTTGAAATAATGCCTGAGCAAACCAGGTGTTTTCCATATTATCCTTCACTGCATGACGGGTCTTTTAATTTTCTGGTTTTCAGTGATCACGTCTGGGATCCAAATGGGACTAACCTGAGAGGGTCTTTGGCTGCAGCATTCAGCTTCAACACCTCATCCAGTGTCAGGTCCTTGAGTGCCCCTGTTGCATCAGTGGTGCGGTCCACTGTGTCATCGTGAAATATGACTGGTGCTTTGTCCTTTGTCAGTGCCACGTCAAACTCCACAAATGTTGCGCCGTTCTTGCGAGCCTGGAATGACAATGAATATAAACAAGGAGTGGCTATCGTTACGGCAGCCGTAACGTGATTTTCAACTGCTATCGTTACCTATACTGGGCTATAGGCCTATCACATTTATAACTACCTGTCCAACCTGAATGCTTCAGTAGCTCGATTTGTTCCACGTTCGACTACTGTGCTGGGGATCCGGGTTCGAAATCGCTGCCGCACAGCTCCATTTTAAAATTCTATTTTGTAGTTTTCTTAACTTTTAAAGGGAAAATACAGTCCAAGAACCATTCAGTGGAACGGTTCCAACAGCCAAACATCCTGACGTTGAATACTATTAGGTCAGGGAACCAGAGGGTTCCTTAATGATAGCAGTATAAGCAGTTGAAAATCGTGTAACGCCTGCCGTAACGATAGCCAATGCAGTAAAAAAAAAAGAAGGAAGTTAAGCGTCCCAAAATTTGGCTGAAAAGCTGCAAATGACATACAATCTGACAATGTAGGATATAGAGGCAGTCTTAACTTGAAATATCACTTATCATCATTGATCATAAGGCCGAGTAAAGAATAAGAGTATATTCTCGTCTGGCCTTTTTGAAAAAATGAAGGAGGCAGGCCCTGGCGGATTTTCCATGACATGCATGATGGCATATGGATTCTTCAATTTCCTCAACTGTTTTGCTGATACAAAATTGTGTCCCAAGAGCCATAACCCTTTCTACAAAGCTACAATTTTGTTGGAAAAAAAATAAATAAAAAAATAAAATAAACAAAAGGCAAATCTATGAATTTAAAAAAAATAAAAGGAGGCGGCTGGGACAAAAGGAGGCGACCGGGACATGAAACTGATTCATTTGTTTACTTGGCTTAATCAGCATGATCAGACCTCCAAACGCGAAAGAATGTAGTAATAATATTCAGACGCCTCTTCAGCAGTTGTGTACTAAGTTTATGGAGAGTCCATGACATTTTCAAAGTATTTCTTAACAAAATTTCAAATGTTTGTCAGTCCCAGATTTATGTCTGTTCAACATTTTATTATGCTTTTAAGTTCTAAGCTTCATTGACTTGACTTGAAGTGGCGTCAGGATGTATGGAACGCCAAAGAGGCATTTAATGTGATCATCGAATCGGTGATGGACTTTTGCAATCGGTGATGCATATTCACGATCGGTGATGGACTTTCGCGATCGGTGATGGACTTTTACTGGTGATGCATATTCACGATCGGTGATGGACTTTCGCGATCGGTGATGGACTTTTACTGGTGATGCATATTCACGATCGGTGATGGACTTTCGCAATCGGTGATGGACTTTTACTGGTGATGCATATTTACGATCGGTGATGGACTTTCGCGATCGGTGATGGACTTTTACTGGTGATGCATATTCACGATCGGTGATGGACTTTCGCAATCGGTGATGGACTTTTACTGGTGATGCATATTCACGATCGGTGATGGACTTTCGCGATCGGTGATGGACTTTTACTGGTGATGCATATTCACGATCGGTGATGGACTTTCGCGATCGGTGATGGACTTTTACTGGTGATGCATATTCACGATCGGTGATGGACTTTCGCGATCGGTGATGGACTTTTACTGGTGATGCATATTCACGATCGGTGATGGACTTTCGCAATCGGTGATGGACTTTTACTCAACGACTGGTCATCGCAGCTTTGATCACCGATCGCGAAAGACCATCACCGATCGCGAAAGTCCATCACCGATTAAATGCCGCTTTTGGCAGGAACGCCAAAGAGGCATTTAATGTGATCACCGAAACGGTGATGGACTTTCGCGACCGTCGCATCTGTGTGTTGCGTCGTAATCATTTGCACGTATTATACTTATCTATGTTCCTTGCTCTGGAGCAAGTTAAATTTAATTGCAAATGCTCAGAGCCTTTATTTTGCTCTTCTGTTTTTTTAATACCTTTCGCGAAAATCTGATAAATTTTACTTCCACGTAACCGATGTAATTTTCGAACCATGGTGTGTGTGTTTGATAAGAGTTAAATTTAGATTAATCATTTTTAAGATTAGAAAATATTATCATTGTTTTTCCAAAGAGCAATGATTCGATGTGTACATTTTTGTAATGCAGCATGGTACTCAATCTGCTAAGACCACTGTGGGAAATAGAGCTAGCTCTATGGTTTGTGCCAGCCATGTCTTCTTTGGCAATCAATCACCTTGTCCCTTTAGCCCTCGCAACAACACGTGCTTCAGGTCTCCACTTACCAGCTACCATTTTTTTTTTGCAGTCGTGGAATTGGGGCACGATCGAGGTCAATCGTTTTTACATGGGGGCTCACAAATTGGGTGTTCCACATGCAAACGCATTCCATGCACCAACTGACGTTCAGCAAAATAATGGAATCCTTTTCAATTTTAAGAACATACCTTTACATCATGTACATGATGTATAGGCTACAACGGTCTACAATCGAGCCGCAACTTTCGAGATCTTTTCGAGCTTGTCTTAAGTGGCCTTGTCAATTGTATAGTGCACAAACAGAACAGACATTCGCTATTTAACCCAATTGGTTACATTATTCTTTAACTAATGAATAATAAATTATTCACCGGTGTGCACAGTCTTTTTAAACATCGGAGTTATCAAAGGAAAATATTGAATAATGTATAAATAAAAACACACTAAAATTGTCCAATAGGAGTACAACCGCAACAGGTATACCCATGTACCGACAACCTAAACATAGTTTATAATATAGTCTGCCCATGACGCCGGCAGCCTCCGTCGCCCAGAAATCACAGCATATTTAAGTTGAAGAAAGTGGGTTTTTCTTTGGGGGGGGGGGGGGTTGGCTGGGATATTTTCACCCACTTACTTTGATAATATAAAAAAATAAACTCTGCACCGATAGCAAAAGTCCATGCAAGGTTGATCACCGATCGTGAAAGACCATCACCCATGGGCGTCACAAGGGGGGGGGGGGGGGGGGGAGGGGAGCACGGGGGCGCTTAGGGTTTCTCGTGTTGCCCCTGACGGTGATATTTGTTTACGGTGTTTTTGTGTTTGAAAGTGTCTTTCTCATATGTGAACTGCATTTTTTTTTAAGTTAATGTGCGTAAAATGTTTGTTGTTAGTGTATGCCGCTGTGGCTTTGGGCTTTGGTGCTGCCCATATTGCAACCGGTAAATGCCCAATCGATGGTATCCGGAATAAAAACACTCCTCTGTGGATGTGGCATAAACACAATGATTTGTTTTTATCCAATAGATGGTAAACAGTTTTTTGCACCTGATGATTGATGGGTGGGCCATCGGAGACAGCATATGGCGGGGTTATTGGGGGGCCTGACCAGGCATCCAGGGGGCACAGGAATGCAATCACATCATCATCATCATCATCATTGTTGGTATTATGTGGGGCCCTCTGGTCACTTAAGCACACTTAAGCGAGCACATGATGGACAGTACACAGAGGAACTTTCCTTGCCAATGTTTTTCCACCACCACCCCTTACATCCGCCAGTTATAGTGCTCCAAGGTTTCAAGAGACTATATCAATTACAAGGATTAAAATGTTGTCACGAGGCTATGATGTTTTCCTGACTGAATGTACATCTGTGGGAAGCTATTTTTTGTTATTCAAGTTTAATTTGCATTTGTTGTCATTTATTGCAACATATATCTCATTTTCATATAGGCCTACATGTAGTTCATTTATTGTCAAGCATAATGTGTATGCCGTGGCTTTGAGTTTCTTGTGTTGCCCACTACTGGTCGGGCCTGGTGTTGCCCCTAAATTGTGTTAATACGGTTATATGTTTTATAATATGTCCGTTCTCACTTGCGAACTCCATTTTTTGTAATGTCCGTGAAATGTTTGCAGTTAGTGTATCCCGCTGTGGATTTGGGCCTTTGGTGTTGCCCATATTAACATAACCATAACTATTAACAATTCAAACGGTATATGCCATATCACAGGTATCCGGAATAAAACACTCCTATGTGGATGTGGCATGAACAGAATGATTTGTTTTATAATAGGCCTAGACCCTTCGGGAGACACTAGCGTCACACACTTAGAGGCAAAATATTATCGTCGCAAATAGACTCGATTGCTCGTGGTCGAATTAGTAAAAATTTCCCGGCGAATTAAGGTAAGGTAAGATGAGTCTGCATGGGCGTAGCGAGGAGGGGGCAAGGGGCCCCTCCCCCCCCCCCTGGAAAAGCCACAAAAAAAACCAAAAAAACAAAAGAAGAAGAAAAAAAAAGAGAAAAAAGAAAAGAAAAAGAGGCGCGAAGACAAAGTGGTGTAAATGTAATGAGTTGGGGGGGGGGGGCAACATGTCCCTGCCCCCCTCTAAAACTGATAAATCGAGAATATGTTGAGAAATGCAAGCATTTTGGCAAAAATTTTTTTTGCCCCCCTCTAGAAAAAATCCTGGCGACGCCCATGTGAGTCTGGGCTATTTCGAAATCTCTTGGATGAACTGGGATACTCCTTGAGTGTTCTACTCGATCTAAGATTCATAGTGTGCCAACTTTTTGATTGAGGGAACCACTCATTAAATTTGCCTGATTTAAAAGCACCTAGAGCAAAGTTTGTACACATAGTGGTTCTTCTATCATAAAGGTGATCCAGAGATAGAGTAATACGGCAAACTCTTTTGGATCGACTAAATTAGATTGGTCTGTTTGAGTGTAATGCTTGAGTGCCAAACCGGCGATGCGTTTGCTAGGACTGGTCTAACATAGGGTAACAAGTTCTTTGAGTAAAACCAGTTTCTTTCAGTTTCCTGAACATGAATAATTTTCTATTAGCTTTACCAATCATCTCAGCAATGTGTTTCTCATGTCCTTAAATTTGAGTCCGAGTATTTTTTTACCAATACGTGATTAAAGGTTTTTGCATAATATGATGATTGATGTGTGGGTCATTGGAGACAGCATATATGGCGGGGTTATTGAGGGGTCTGAGCAGGCATCCAGGGGGCACAGGAATGCTATCACATCATCATCATCATAAATCCATCTAATAGCCAATGTTGGTATAGATATGTGGGGCCTCTGGTCACTTAAGCACACTTAAGCGAGCACATGATGGACAGTACACAGAGGAACTTTCCTTGCAAATGTTTTTCCACCACCACCACTTACATCCGCCAGTTATAGTGCTCCAAGGTTTCAAGAGACTATATCAATTACAAGGATTAAAATGTTCGCAATTTTTAGGATACAGACAGCCTGCTCCTCATATTTATGGGGCAAATGAAACCATTCAATCCCTTGTTTTTCTATTTTGTTAGGCTAATTTGATACTTGCCGTAGCGCTCTCAAGTGTCACGAGGCTATGATGTGGGAAGCTATTTTTTTTGTAATTCAAGTATAATTTTCATTTGTTGTTATTATTGCCACATATCTCATGTTCATGTATTTCATTTATTGTCAAGCATATTGTGTATGTCGTGGCTTTGAGTCTCCGCTGTTGCCCACTACGGTTTGGTGTTGCCGTTATTAATATAACCATAACAATTGATAAGTCGACCGGTTTTCCCTATCATTGGTAAAGTGGCTATAAAACACAACGATTTGTGCGTCGCCAGAATTTTTTTGCAGAGGGGCAAAACATTTTTCTCCCCGAAATACCTGGATTTTTCCAGCAAGAGTTATCATTTTTCGAGGGTGGGCATTTTTCAAACAATATTACTTCGCGCCCCTTTTTCTGTCTTCTTCCCCCATTTTTTTTTTTTTTTTTTGGGGGGGGGGGGGGGGAAGGGGGCCTTTTCCGGGGGGAGGGGGAAGCGCCCCCGTGCTCCCCCCCTTGTGACGCCCATGGGTGATGGTCTTTCACGATCGGTGATCAACCTTGCATGGACTTTTACTATCGGTGCAGAGTTTGTTTTAATTATATTATCAAAGTAAGTGGGTGAAAATATCCCAGCCAACCCCCCCCCAAAAAAAACCCCGACTTTCTTCAACTTAAATATGCTGTGGTTTCTGAGCGACGGAGGCTGCCGGCGTCATGGGCAGACTAAGCTATGTTTAGGTTGTCGGTACATAGGTAACTGTTGCGGTTGTACTCCTATTGGACAATTTTAGTGTGTTTTTATTTATACATTATTTAATATTTTCCTTTGATAACTCCGATGTTTAAAAAGACTGTGCACACCGGTGAATAATTTATTATTCATTAGTTAAAGAATAATGTAACCAATTGGGTTAAAATAGCGAATGTCTGTTCTGTTTGTGCACTATACAATTGACAAGGCCACTTAAGACAAGCTCGAAAAAGATCTTGGAAGTTGCGGCTCGATTGTAGACCGTTGTAGCCTAAACATCATGTACATGATGTAAAGGTATGTTCTTAAAATTGAAAAGGATTCCATTATTTTGCTGAACGTCAGTTGGTGCATGGAACGCGTTTGCATGTGGAACACCCAATTTGTGAGCCCCAATGTAAAAACGATTGACCTCGATCGTGCCCCAATTCCACGACTGCAAAAAAAATGGTAGCTGGTAAGTGGAGACCTGAAGCACGTGTTGTTGCGAGGGCTAAAGGGACAAGGTGATTGATTGCCAAAGAAGACATGGCTGGCACAAACCATAGAGCTAGCTCTATTTCCCATAGTGGTCTTAGCAGATTGAGTACCATGCTGCATTACAAAAATGTACACATCGAATCATTGCTCTTTGGAAAAACAATGATAATATTTTCTAATCTTAAAAATGATTAATCTAAATTTAACTCTTATCAAACACACACACCATGGTTCGAAAATTACATCGGTTACGTGGAAGTAAAATTTATCAGATTTTCGCGAAAGGTATTGCAAAATAAAGGCTCTGCGCATTTGCAATTAAATTTAACTTGCTCCAGAGCAAGGAACATAGATAAGTATAATACGTGCAAATGATTACGACGCAACACACAGATGCGACGGTCACGAAAGTCCATCACCGTTTCGGTGATCACATTAAATGCCTCTTTGGCGTTCCTGTTTCGCCAAAAGCGGCATTTAATCGGTGATGGACTTTCGCGATCGGTGATGGTCTTTCGCGATCGGTGATCAAAGCTGCGATGACCAGTCGTTGAGTAAAAGTCCATCACCGATTGCGAAAGTCCATCACCGATCGTGAATAAGCATCACCAGTAAAAGTCCATCACCGATTGCGAAAGTCCATCACCGATCGTGAATATGCATCACCAGTAAAAGTCCATCACCGATCGCGAAAGTCCATCACCGATCGTGAATATGCATCACCAGTAAAAGTCCATCACCGATCGCGAAAGTCCATCACCGATCGTGAATATGCATCACCAGTAAAAGTCCATCACCGATTGCGAAAGTCCATCACCGATCGTGAATATGCATCACCAGTAAAAGTCCATCACCGATTCGATGATCACATTAAATGCCTCTTTGGCGTTCCATAAGGATGCAACATATTTTCCTAACAAATTCTACCTAGCCAATGTAGACGCCTGGCTTACCTCTCTGAAGGCAACCAGGGTGTTTTCGGGTGCATCTCCTGCAGCGCCTCTATGGCAAACGGCGCGGTTGGGCCAGCTATCTCCAAAGAAGGCTTCGAGTTGACTGTCGTTCGGTTGCTGCAGACGATACATCCACAGAGCGGAAACCGATGCCGACAACAGAGTGACGGCAATCCAAAAACACCATTCCACAGGCAACAGCCAGCCTAATGACAGAATCAACGGGCAAAAGATGAGGGAAAATGCCGCAAAGACATGAACGAAAATGGTAAGAATGACGTGCGATGCCATTTTCTGTCTGGATTTATAGTCGCCCGCCGGCCGGCCGGCGGTATCGAGGGGTGTTTACCAAAATGTGTTTACGTCGAGTGCTGCCGCGCCGCTATTTTAAGTTTATAGCGCCCTCATGAGACGAAAATAGAGAAGTGCATAAAAAAGCCCAGAAATAAATTATTGAATTCATATATAAATGTATGTATTTCATTTTGCCTCCTAGGATGTATGGTTGATGCATAGACAAGTGATGAAAGTAGGGGGCGCTTTTGAATTGCAGAATTGGGTAAACTCTTTAGTATTAACCCATTTTCTACCTCCTGATTAACCCAAAATGTTCCCACTCCAAAATACGGGGTTTCTTGTGTCCGCCTTATCCCAGAAAACTTATGGACATCACAAGGTTGACAACCCCATTTCTTTATTTGGTTTGGGTAAATACAAAAGACTTTACCCAAATCAAACAGCGCCCTCCTACTGTGTCTGCCATACATCAAATACAGGCTGTTTGTACAAAGAACAGCAAGCCCAGTGAAAATAACGTAATTTTTTTTCTTAACAAAACTCAAACAAGTCAATTTCAATATTTTCAAAGATTAACACCCCCCCCCCATCCTCAAGGTTAACCGGAAGATTTTTTTCAATGTGGATTTTTGTTCTCTGTGATTGATGCAGAGATTAAGTTAAAAAGGAAGTTCCACAATTTCATCACAGACCACATACCTCTTCTTAAAACACCGATGCCTTTAAAGTCGGTGAACAAGGGGAACAACCAAAAAAATATAAAACAGCAAAATTCTAAATATTGGACAAAATTTAGAGGATTAATGGAATGGTGTGATTTTAACATCAAGGTAGAAACTGGACAGCCTTACAAGTCCCCCCCCCCCCCTTTCCCCTTCACAAGGGATGGTCCGAACAGAGACATCTGTGATCACTACAGAAATACAGGGATACAATGCAAGGTTTTAAGTAATAAACAGAATTTCAAAGTTGACTGGGGATGAGGGCAGATACAAACAGAAAAGCACAAACACCATCAAGTCATCTTTTACTGTCATTTTTCATGTTAGCCCAACATAAAGGGCTTTTTATTATGCTGCTTTTCATTTTTGCTAAAAGGAAGAACAAGATGTTTTTAAGGTGTCTCAGGGAAACTTCACAAACCTCCATGTCCACAAGGAAACAGATATTCTTATTTTTATCAAGCAATGAATTGTCAAAATTCACGAGCAGTGTTGTGTGATGAAGTGAAGTAATTTTAGGACATCATGATTAACTACTCAATCAGTGAAAAGCTCAAGTTGCTCATCGTTATTTAATTACTAGCTCCATTTGGTACACCTGAATCCTTTGGACCAGAATCAAGCAAGCTATTGCTATGTCCATCTTGGAATGACCAAAGATAGAGCAGTCTTCAAAAGACGGGTGTTTAGACAAGCCTATTCCATGGGTGGTTTCTCTCTAGACACCAGTCCTCCCTTTGCAGCATCCTGTTTAATCCTCATCTTCTTCAGCTTCATCACCAGCCCCGCCCTGGGCTCTGCGCATGTTCCTGCGCTTGACGCGGCCCGGGCGTCCACCGCCCAGCGGAGACCTCAGGGAGAAGTCAATGTGCTTCTGGGAGTCCAGACGGACGATGAAGGAGGGGATGTTCACCACCTGCTTCCGGACGCTGCAAGCGAAGGGACAGGTAAAAGGGAAGAAGAAAACAAAATCTTGAGTGACCACCTTGTACCGAACACAAACTTCTAAAAAGCAGCTGCCTGCCCTGCCAGACCCAACACAGTGTATCAGGTGTAAAAGTCTGTGGGACCTTGCTGCATTGAGCCATCAACACCAGTGCATAAACGGCCAATTCTGAAACAATGACGGCTAGTCCCATTGAACAATGCCAGAGTTGTATCCTGCTGCATTTGGTGACCACAGACTCTCAGAGACAGTTTGGCCTTGAGACTTTTGACCTAATGGATCTTGCTGCACTGAGCAGGCTTGTCATTTTGACAAGTGTTGCATGATGCTGTCTTCAGAAGGGTTTCTAACCAAAATACCCTGGAGGGTTAGGATTAATGACGGCTACTGAACTAAAGATACAGGTACTTCTGATGGGCTCCTTCTTGAAATTCTATAAAATCCTACATTGGCTATACCTTCCTCAATCCTAAACAATCTTTCAAAACTCCTTGTGAATTTTTATAGGATCTCAAAGAGTAAGGATTGAGGCTATCAATTCAGTGTGAAGTACACTACACTTGGTCATAGGAAGACATCAGTGCAAAAAGCCATCAAATCATTGCAGAGGCATGGATACGTTTATTCAAATGGAATGTTTCATTTAAACATGCAAACAGGCAAGAAGAAATGTCAACAACAACCCCCCCCCAAAAAAAAAGAAATGTTGACTGGCATACAGAGTTGGCAAGACAATCATGAAGTTCTATGACAACAAAACTGCAGTTCGACGCTAAGCAAGTAGGAGTTCCATACCTGCCTTAAAGACTTGATGACATTGTCTTTCTCACTGGACCAAGACATAAAGCTAGGATCTTGATCCTACTTCATTGGCCTTGGGGAAATGTAATCTCAGTGAAAATACACAGCGGTGAGGCATAGGACATTCTGTGCCCAAGTGGCCTCATAGAAACAATGCAGATTACTGGCAGCAAGCGTCCAGTGCATGGACGGGCAAAGACGTAGGGCCTTCCATGCCCAAGTGGTCTTGCCGAGAATGTTGGCTGCATGAGGCTACAGGTTTCCCCCATGTTTCAGTGGTCTTGCTCAGACAACAAGCGACAACTAGCACAGGAGCTTTCTATAAGCCAGGGGAAGGTAAATGAAGCAAGGTAAAAGTGTGTAGTTATGATGAAGCATGTGATTAAAACTTGGATTGCTTGCTGTTCATAACTGTGCCAAAACCAAACAATTCCTTTAACAGAAACGCACCAGTATCAGCACTATAAAATTGTACAGTGACCCCCCCCCCCAAACAGTAATAGTTTCTGTCACTTCCACTAGCCCACTCATCCAAAGGATTTGGGCAAGGAATCTTCTTTTTACAAAACCCTTCACTGTGCAGGAACCCAACTGAACTTAGGTAAACATTTCAGTTGAGTACATGGGGACAAGTTTTGTCCAATACCTACCGGATGTGACGCTGGCGAATGAGGACTCGGGCATGATGAATGCTCTTGGCCAGACCAGACTTGAAGACCTGCGTCTGCAGACGACGCTCCAAGAAGTCCTCCACTCGCAGACCCAGGACGTAATCAAGCTTCATCTTGGTCTCGTCCAGCACTCCAACACGGACCAGACGACGCAGAAGGGCATTACCTGGATACAGAAACAAAGAAAATAAAAAAGTTGCTTTACAATTTACTCTTACACTTCCAAATTTTGATTGGAACTTTCACCAAAATTTCTCCAACGTGCTGGAAACAACTGCAATTTCTTTGTTATCGTATCCAAGCCTTATGTAAAGTATCAGCAGACGAGCTTCACCTTCCTCAGACTTCCAAATCCTCCAAAAGGTCCTGGTGGACTTGGAAGGATTTTGGAGAGATGGGGTAAAATTTTAAGTTGGTCCCTAAACTGCATTAAACAGGATCGTCACTGTTTCCACAAGAAGACAAATTTAAGGGGTGAGGGATAGACAATTTGTCTGCGATGAAATGGCTACCTTCGAACAGCCTCTTGGCATCCTTGTCTTCTCGTGTCAGCAGGTCCCGGGCAGCCTTCCTGATTTTGGCCAGGGTGTACTTGACCCGCCACACCTCACGCTTGTTGCGCAGGCCGTACTCGCCGATGAGCTTCAACTCCTGGTCCAAACGCTCCTTCTCAAAGGGACGCCTGGGCGTCACACTGGTCTTGCTGCACACTACTCTTGGCATGATGTTGTGTTATAGGGACCTGTGAACAAATAAAAATTTTCTTGCTAAGGAAATTTCCTTCATCTGCCAAAATCAAACACTGTGCAGTGAACTAATCGCATTCGTTATTTTTCATCAATTTTGTCAGGATCGTTTTGAGAAAAATTGTTGTTTTATTCAACTCAAAATAAAAAATATGCCAATGAAAGAACTTCAAGCTGGATTTGAAGGTTGGAAATGATATGGAAAACAAATGAAATTTGGTTTTTTTGCTCAGTAATTGGTAACTGTAATTAGGCCAATAAAAAAATCAACCCGTTTCCCGTCCCCATCTGTTTCCTTTTTCCGACCCCCTCTATTTTTGTATTTTTTAATTTACAAATTCATTCATTTGCAATATATTTTTCAAATAGGGCATAAATTGTCAATTAAATAGGCCTAGAATTATTTGATTATCTTTTTATTTGTTTTCAACAAAATTATAGCAAGGCCTTTGTCACGTTAGTCTATGTAACGTTAGTACTTATAGTAGTGCCTGGCTTCGTGGACACAATTTTGTATCACTATCATCACTAGTTCATCAGCAAAAAAGGAGAAAAAGAAAAGAAAATGCCTGCCTCCTTTATTTTTTTCAAAAAGAGCAGACGAGAAACTCTTCTTTTTTTATTCAGGAATATGAAAAGCTTGACAACCATAACATAAACAAGCGAACAACAAAAAAAGTAAACTTGGTATGCATGCAGTCAAGCGAAGTTTGCCAAAATGGCGCCCTCTACCGTGCTATACACAAAAGTTAACTCAGTCACGGTCAGACGGTAGGCAAGTCACATTCCACAGCCTTTATCATTTATTTTTACACCCTTCCAGTCAATGTTTTGAATGATTTCTGGCTAGGTAGAACAACAATACCTTATATATCGAACTAGTGGGGAACAATTTCAGATTTTCATAAAATAAATCCGGAATTTTCCCAGTTTCCATACTCACCGGCTTGCGAAATACTCGCACACGCGGCGCACTTGGGAAAGAAAGAACGCCCTCTTGCGATTTGCTACTACAATTCCTCGGATTAATATTTTCCAATCAATGGTAATCCGGTCATCACATGCTCCCTAAAATCAAACATCGAAGACAAGTGACAATTTTAAACACATTCATTTTAGTGAATCGTGTATTTGTCTATTTAATGTTCTATATTTTGATCTCAAATCTTGCCCAAATTACTCATAATGCACTACTTTGCACGACCTAATTACTACTCATTGAACGAATATTTTTTTTGACGAGCGCCCTCTTTTTTTGACGAACGAATTTTTTTGAAGAGCGCCCTCTTTGAAAGTGTTGGATTATGATAAAAAGTTTGGGAGACAAATAATATTTCTGTGACATTGGAAAGTGCTGGAAAGCTCAAATATTTCTAGAATAAAGGAAAACTATGGAAATCTACGGAATAATAGATTTTTCGAAAGTATTGTAAATATACGGGGGAAAAATTAACACATTTTCAATGTCCCTTTTTATTTGCTGAAGGGGGGGGGGGGGGGGATAATCGAGAGAACTGGGAGGGGCGAGCAGAACCACCTTCTCACAAGGCTTCAAACTATTTACATGTTTGGAAAATACACAATAAACCACAGACACAATACACAGTTTGTAAAATGCACCACAAAATAGTACGCATATTTATTTTAAAATATGATTATTTCTGAGAAAGAAAAGGGTTCTCTGATAACATTTTTATTCCACAACCAGATATGTTAAAACCTTTTTTGAAAATTAACAGGCCTTACAATCATGTTGAAAAGTCGTGGTCATATCAGGAAATAAAAAATATTGGTTACTTTTAAATAAAATTCACCAAATAATAATCACTCAATATTTAAATAAAAACAAATAGACCTATATCCCTTAATATTTTTTTAGTTATATTATTTTAAGAAATATTCTGAATATATAAAGTTATACTGCACAAAAAAGTGTAATGGTGTCAAGGGGTCTAACACTAAGTGCAAAATGTACCGGGATACTTGGTCAGGAAAATTTGCTATTATAGAGTTGGCAACTTCACTTTTGCATTAATAGACTTCCTTAAATTTCCAGTATTGAAACAGGGATTTCAGAATTTTCAACTCAAAAACAAATTTGAAGTTGCAACCAAAGGCATATTTACCACTCATCACAAATAATGTACAAATACAAATAGCTGCAATTTGCATTGACATGTATTAACAGTAGTTGCATTAAAAACCACACAAATTAAAAACTGTAATGATTTGTTACATGTCAAGTAAGCTCATACAACACTGTACTTTTTACCAAAACAATTTTAGATTCCAAATCACCTTGAAATGTAATATTGTACAAGCAAATTAATGTCATTAAACTTTTTCACCTAGTTACTTCAACATAAGTTATTGTAATAAATACACCATTTTTAATCATAAGGCATGCATGAATATTGCGGCTAAAGACTATTTAATATGTTATGAAAATCCTTTGTGTTTGTTTCCACGTACAACTTTCGTGGCTTATATCAAAAGTCTCAATCCTGTGTCACATTTCTTGAATTCCCATTTCACATTTTTATGAATTGTTGTTCTCACAATAAAAACCTGTACAAGGTATCAATACCATTTGTCTACGCAGATTGGTAAGATTCCAAAACGCTGCACTTATTCATATCAAGGTTTGTTGATGTCTTGTAGCATCTTAACTACCAAGTCAGAATTGACCAACTAACCAATCACGCTGTCTATATCTGCACAGAGCTTGCCAAGTCGGTCCGAGATCTTGGCATATCGTGCGGTGTCCAGACCCATCACTGTTGCTAAACACATGACCTCGCCGCATTTCATCAGACCATACAGGGCTAACAGACTGTAATAGGCTGCAGGGAAGAGCAAAGAAAATTTAAATGAAACAACAATTGTACATATCAAATTGAAACCTAAATTCAAGAATCAACCTGAATCCTTCAAAATCTACCGCTGACATTGGACACTAAGAAAAGCAAAAGTGGCTGGGCTTTACCTTCCTTAATCCTACAAAATCTTCAAAAAGATCCTTGTGGCTTTTGAAGAATCTGGTAGGGGTTAGGGTAAGCCTAACTTTCAGGTTATTGAGAGTTGAGTTGAGTTAAAGAGAGAGAAAATAGCTCAGTTGGTACAGCAACGGAACGTCAATACAGAGGTGGCAGGTTCAAACCCTACTCCAATCAATCTCTCTGTTCAACTTAAAACTTCTTATAATGCACTTAGTCAGTTTCTCTTTGTGGTTTATTTGAACGTTTTTAAAGAGAAAGATGACTGTACTGACCTGTTTCCTCCGAGATGGCCTCCGATGTGAGAGACTGCAACAAGGCACTGGAGAACTCAACTGCATTATCATCAGAAACCTAGACATGGTCAAAGTTGATCATGTTAATCAGTTTTACAAGGTTTAACCAGGGTTAGGGCCAAATCTTTTTAATTTCTGTAACAAGAGTTAAACCAAGTGTTGAGCCTAATCAGTCATTCCAAAATTTAACCTAGGTGAAGTATACTGTGCCTGATTAGTTAAATCAAACTTTATCAGAGTCATGCACATGATCAGTTGTAACGGATTTTAACTATGGTTGTCGTGTAGATTCTTAAATTGTCACATTCCAGATTTTATGACCATCCCTTCCAATATTTTCTACATAGAAATGGCGTACTTAAAACTGTCTCATTTCAAACGTGCACATTCTCAAATGGTCCAAATCACCATGGCACATTCTAAGATGGTCCGATTCCAACGTGGGCATTCCAACCTTGGGCATCCAACCTGGGGCATTCCAATCTGGGGCATTCTAACCTCCAGCATTCCAACCTGGGGCATTGAATTTTGGGCCATTCTATCCTGGTACATTCCAACCCTGGACATTCTAAACTGGGACATTCCAACATGGTTCGTACCGTATAGCGGGTCAGGTTGTAGACAAGGGCCGAGGCAGCACAGCATAATTCATCTGAGCCACTCAGTATGGCCGACACAACCAATCGCGACACGATATCTCGGTTGCACTGCGGGGAGCCATCTTCAAGGGTCCAATGTCGGACTTGAGTCAACCAGTGCTTGCCGCTGTAAGCAGTGCAGATATTGCACAGCTGAACAAGAAGAAAAGTAAAACAAAAATCATTAAATAAGTTGTTGCTGGATCACTTTGACAATACTGCACTGATTGAGAACTGCGTGGTTTCTATTATAGGCCAAAATTACGGTTCTGCTTACTACAAACTTGTCTGCTAATGGTTAGCATATTTCACGGGTAACCAAGGATTGAGGATTCTAAGCTTACAAGATTAGCAAAACATTTATGTGCTAGTATTGTAAGCACAGAATAGAGATAAGCATAGCATTTTTTGGGAAGTAGAACAGTTAAATTTGGCTCTGTTGAGTCAGTCAATGGGATGCAACAAGTTAGTCAGAATTATTCTCGATGTCAAAACTTATTCCTTGAATGTAAGATCTTTCAAATTGGGTGTGAAAGTTTTTACCTACCATTCTAAAGACCGATATTTGGATTTGCAGTGGATGGCAGTCACTGCTACTGACAAACGTCATGACGGTTTGATCTTCGTTATTACACAGCGTGTGTATGACGTCTTGGCTCAGGAAGGCCATGGAGAGCAGGTCTACCAGGGGATGAAGAACCTCTGACGGGATTCCTCCGATGGCAAGATTCAGTAGCTTCCCTGCAAATCACAAAAAACAAAATTGAGAAAATTTGCATTAGCATCGAATAGAATCCTTCCAATTTCAATTTCGTGAAAGACTCAAATCTAGGTAGCGAAATCTTATAGTTGAGTCCACCGCAAGTCCATCACAAGTTTGGTCCCAAGTATTAATCAAAAGTCCTTTTACAATTCCAGTCACTGGGGAAGAACAATAACAAAGGAGTGCCTTTGTCAAAGTTCATTTGAATAGCTTGTGACTTGACATGAGAACTGGATGACTTGGTATGGACTTGTGATTGACTTGCGTTCGACTTGTGAGGACTTGTGATGGACTTGTGAGGAATTGTGATGGACTTGTGAGGACTTGTGATGGACTTGTGATGACTTGTGATGGACTTGTGAGGGACTTGTGATGACTTGTGATGGACTTGTGAGGGACTTGTGATGGACTTGTGATGGACTTGTGATGGACTTGTGAGGACTTGTGATGGACTTGTGAGGGACTTGTGAGGAATTGTGATGGACTTGTGAGGACTTGTGATGGACTTGTGAGGGACTTGTGATGGACTTGTGATGGACTTGTGATGGACTTGTGAGGACTTGTGATGGACTTGTGAGGGACTTGTGAGGAATTGGTATGGACTTGTGATTGACTTGCGTTCGACTTGTGAGGACTTGTGATGGACTTGTGAGGAATTGTAATGGACTTGTGAGGACTTGTGATGGACTTGTGATGACTTGTGATGGACTTGTGAGGGACTTGTGATGACTTGTGATGGACTTGTGAGGGACTTGTGATGGACTTGTGATGGACTTGTGATGGACTTGTGAGGACTTGTGATGGACTTGTGAGGGACTTGTGAGGAATTGTGATGGACTTGTGAGGACTTGTGATGGACTTGTGAGGGACTTGTGATGGACTTGTGAGGGACTTGTGATGGACTTGCGAGGACTTGTTAGGGACTTGTGAGGACTTGTGATGGACTTGTGAGGGACTTGTGATGGACTTGCGAGGACTTGTGAGGACTTGTGAGGGACTTGTGATGGACTTGTGACAGACTCGTGAGGGACTTGTGAGGGACTTGTGATGAACTTGTGACAGACTTGTGATGGACTTGTGAGGGACTTGTGATGGACTTGTGAGGGACTTGTGATGGACTTGCGAGGACTTGTTAGGGACTTGTGAGGACTTGTGATGGAATTTGTGAGGACTTGTGATGGGACTTGTGATGGACTTGTGAGGACTTGCAAGGACTTGTGATGGATTCGACTACATCACTGTTGCTCTTACCAATGACAAGGAAGGTCTCTGATTTGACTGGCGAGGGAGGTTCTTCAAGAAGAAACTCCAGCCTCAGGCAGTCCTTCAGTTCCATCAGTAACTCCATCTCCTCTCTCGTCAGAACCCCCTCCGGCATTTCTTTCTTGATGGTTTCCACACAGGCTGTAACCTATTAACAATAAGATCATTACAAAACAATTCAGGGGCGTCATTTTGTTTCTGGTAGATATTTAGTTTCTGGTCTCCTGCATGTATGATACAAAGTAAGCTCAACTAACTTTTAAAGATTGTGCACAAATTCGTAGAATCTTTGCATAAAGAGGTATATACATGTACCTTGAGCATGGAATTATCACAGTGGTAAATGGCACTCATGTTTCCTTCAATAACAAATATGCTGGAATAAAAATCATAAATCGGAGTACATTTTCTTGTCAAATTGCCCGTCCCAAGTCCTTAAACCCTAATGGAAAAATAGTACTGTTTGGTAATGTATTTTCTACTGATGTACTGCAGGCAAAGCAGGATTTGCATCTCTTTGGAAGCTTGTCTGTACTGTAAGTTGCTTGAAATCAAAGATCTTTTCTGATTACTCACATCTACTCCACTGAAGACCTTCAACCGCAAGGGCTCCGGTGGAGCAGACTGGCGCAACGAGTCTATGTACTCGTCGTCTGAATCGTAATACAAGTTGACCCTTGAGCTGTCCTTCACCGGCGACCCGACATCTGCAGTGGCACCCGATGACTGAGCATGCCCAGAGTCTGCCCCCTTATTGGTCGCAGCTGCTTCTGATGACGCGGTGGCTTGCGCATCGCTGGTCGAGGCTTGAGGTTCTGACTTTTGTGCTTGTTCAGGTTTGGCTGCGCTTTCAGAAGCGGGTTTTACCTCCGAGGGTTTTGCGGGGGGTGGATCCGGGTAGTTTGGGAGTGGGACTGGGTCGTAGATGGGTCGATGAGTAGGACCCCCTACTCGCCCCGTAGGATTTGAAGACAGAGACTCTATCAAGCCTTTCATCATGGCACCTATGGGGCTAAAATGGAAATACAGCAAACAAAGTCACTTTACTTGTGAGGCATACATTACAGATTCTATTTGCAAAAGTTTCAGGAATGAATCTGTCCTCACAACTCTCTCCTTCAGAGAAGTCTTTGTGAAACTAAGAGCAACCTGGTTCAAGGACCAACAGTTAACCTAGTGGTTGGAAGTAGGAAATTAGCTTTTCAGGGATAAATTTGAAGAGAAAAAAATAAAAGTATGAATAATTAAAAAAAAAATAGAAAGAACCTTGTTTTTCACAAATCTTATCTTTCCAAAGGAAAATTGACTAAACCGATACAGCCTACGCGCAAATGTTGTACACCCTAATAATGGTATTAATTGTGATTCCCCGATTAAGTCAATTTTGCAGTTGACTCTAATGGTCTGTTGTCAATCAGCTTACGTATTCATGACTTCGTGTGGTAGATTCAGAATGAATGTTGGGATGCTGTTTCCTGTCAGGAACTGGCATGCTTCATTGCTGAACGTGTTGCAGTTGTGCTCAAACAGATTGTAGCGCTCACCACTGCAAAAAAAAAGATAAAGAAAACAATGTTAAGAATAGATAACCTTTGGCCAGAATCCATACAATAGCCCCTGTATGATATAGGCATCGGGGAGGACAGTGCTGTTTCGTTGGGGCGCTAGGTATAATGCTCGAACCCACTGCCATATCAAGGGTGCTTGTAATGAAATTTCCTGAAGTCCTCAGGGAAAGATTTCCATATACGAAGTTCACTAATTTTCCTCTGTATTGACTAACAAGCCCCCAGATAGCAATTTCATGTCATCAAAGTCAATTTGAGCAGTGAGAAAATACAAGCATTTTCTTAGAAAACACTTAGAATTTTTCAGTCCAATCTCATAGGGTTTGTACACAGGGTGTTGAGTGAACTTCGTATATGGAAATCTTTCCTACAATAATAGATGAAAATGAATTAAACTGCTGCAAACTGCTAACTGACTAGAGTGACTTGGAATATTTACAAATAAAAAAATAAATAGCCTGATATTTCAGCCTTAGCAAGGCTTTCTTCCGAGGCAAATGACAGAGGCGAATGTTCCTCTGTCATTTACCTCTGAAGAAGGCCCTGCTAAGGCTGAACTATCAGGCCATTTTAATTTTTTTTTATTTTAATACAATAATAGGTCAGAGAAGGCCACAGAAGTATGATGTTTTGCACTTTCTCCACACAATATTGTGAAACTGATGAGCTGATACCAACAGCTGGAGGGTATTGGGTACGGCCCTGAGATAGGCAAGAGTAGACAATTTGTCAATGATTCAGTGTTTTTCACTGGTACCCATGACTGGAAGTAACACATCTCTAATCTGACGGCCAACGATCATTCCCTGGTGCCCTTACCTGAATTCATCGCAGCCCAGTCCCCCCATGTACTCCAGCCAGATTGTGTAGTCAACTTGAGTGGTGCCCATCTCATGCACCTGGTTTGGCTGGCCAAGTATGGTGCCACTCTACAAACAGTGCCGAAAAAAAACAAGGGAGAAAAAAATCTTGCAGGTTAACAATTGCCTTGCAGATAGACTCTGTGCATGAACAGAGAGGGAGCTGTTTAACCTTGTGTGAATGCACTTCATTTGTTCAGGGTGTTATAGTCAAGATACTTTTTTGAACATTATGAATCTCCTTATTTAATTTAATATAACCATGTTTTGACTGGAGGTGATTGATATGCCAGCTGTACCTATCAATTACCTCTTTTGTCTGTTGATGAAATTTGACTAGTCACAGTGTCTACACGAATGTGATCTGACTGTTTTTTACCAGTCTGTACACAAATGCATGGCAGAGGAAGTGGTAGAGATTTTTGACTGTCTGTGCCTGATCAAACAGTAGGAAGGTTACAAGAGGCTGGGCTCTGTCTTCCTTCAACATGCAAAATCCTCCCAAATCTTGTAGTGGATTTAGGAGGATATGAAGGTTGTGGTATTGACATATGAGTCAGACTTTCTTACTGGTTTGCAGCTTTCTATTCCCCCTCCACCATAGAAGTACTCTCTTCCAAAGACCACGACGCTTGTATGCCAAACCCCATCCAGATGCTTTCCTGAGGAAAAAACCAACAGTCAAAACGGTTATTATCATTTGCAAACAATACAGTGTAAATATAAGTTCTTAGATGTACAGTGCTAAAATTTACAATGTAGTACATTGTCATACCAGCAGAAAAATAACTTTTGCTGTACAGTACAATGAACAGTTTACAAATCCATTTGTGTTAACAAATATGATCTAGAAGTACAAAATAATTTTGTAAAGTGAATTTTTCAACAAACTACTGATGCCTTCTGTTCAGATACTCTGACCAAGTTTTTCCCTGAAAAATTACTGTCTTCTTTGAAACAAAACTAAATATTCCAAAATAAATGCAAACAATGAAGCATAGACTCGCAAAGCTACATGCTAATATTTTAATCTTGCTCCACTGTAAACATAAATGACGAAAAAAAATGAATATAATATGTGCAAGCTGTAGTTTGGACAAATCTAATGAAATATTTGAAAGATTCCCATATCTGGTCATCACTTGTCACCCTGTGCACAAACCGTATGAGACTGGTCTGAACATTTCTAAGTAAGTGTTTTCTCAGTAAATAATTCAATATTTTCCCTCCTAAATTTGACTTTTAAGGACATACTATCACTTTCAGATGGCTAATAGGTCAATGAAGGGAAAAATTAGTGATGGCCAGATGTGGGAATCTTTCCGAAATATCATAACTGCAATGGGAAAAAAAGACTGCATCATCAAAGAAAGATCACAACTTTAATGAAGCTGTGATCACTAATGTATCAACAATGACAAGAATGTTTTGGGCATGAGCAGATGAGGTCATTATGACACTAGTTAAGTTAGCCTACTACTATACTACAGTTTGTAGTTTTACTGCCGTATAACCAGAATTAAAACAAAAGGTTAAACAGTTTAATTGTTGAACATGTTGCACAACTCTTAGTTTGACGCTTATTTTTGTTTTTGCCGTGGAGGAGGGATAAAGATAGGAACCAAAACGTTATTTCAATTGAAAAACAAAACAAAAGAAATGTTGACAATGGGATGATTGATGATGAAATTTGCACATAATTTATGCCTAATTTTAACAAAACAATTATCTATTGTAAATTAGGCCTATGCCAATTAATAATACTTGGCAATCCCATTTAACCATGCTTGAACTAAACAGTCAATCATCAGATCATTTGAGAAACCATCTTAGAAAATTGCTAGCCCAGTATTCCCAAATGAGGGCATGGAGGGAAAAGAATCCGAAGTCCCCGTCAACAGTACAGCGGTCAAGAGAATTCCCGAAACTCACCGAGAAGTGGCATGGACATTTGGGCGGCAAGGCCCTTCGTCAAGTCGTAAACGTACAACTTCACCGCATGGGTTTGTTCCATCTTTCCTTAGTTCTTGCCTTGTGATTGAGCTCAGCAAGTAAGTCCGCTTATTTCACGCTCTCGAATCTTCTTTCTGGAGCTATTTTCGTGCCGATGACATCGCTATCTCGTCTAGACATTCTACGCATTCTACACATGCCGAAACTCATGATTTGCCATATCATGAACCCTCTATGTTCCTAATATTTTGCGCGATACAACGAATAGATGCCAACTGTCTCCGTACGTTATCTGTTCTTCATGGTGCGAATTTTTAGAAACCTAGGCAGTTGTAAACATGCAAGCCTTCGGCAGGTAGTCTAGTACCTTTTTCAACATGAGCACGATTTTAATTGAAGAAATTACCAGACTACTGAAATTTTGACAGCCGAAAAAACAGTCGAGCGCCCTCAACATTATAATAATGCAGGCAGGCCTGGAGGGCTGGGAGGGGCGTTACCTCTGCTTTTAATTTCATGAGTATTTTGACAAGTATTTTGAAAAGAAATATCGATATGATGAGTCCACAGTCAAACAACAACACGATGAACATTTTACGACACTGTCTCTTGTTTGTAATTAGGCTTTAATTCAAACAAACTGCTGTATTCACAATAAATTTAAAGTGTTCATTTCATTCACAAAATTCTGTCAAAATTATCCTACATTATAACACAAGCACCATAACGACAGCAACACATACAGCATCAAAACATAACATCCAATAAAAGTAACAAGAAAACTGGTTAAATCTTTAACCAATTGAATCAATTGAACAGACTCATGGAAATAAAGTCAACCAATAAAAATTGCTGAATGTACAGCAAAATCACAATGGAAAACTTTCAACCAATCAAAATCACTCTTTGCTGAACACAGGAGCGCATCCTTATATTCCCGCTGTGTGATTGGATAACTGATTTTTTAGGTTTTTTATTAATTATAAAACTGAACAAAAATCTAACAAATTTGTAAAACCATTTCAAAACACTTTCTTTTATAATTAACTTTTTCATAATTTTGTATGAATAGCACATGGCATTCTCAAGCATATGCAGAAAGCAGTTTAACACAAGAATTTGCATAACAACAGATATTTCAACAAAAACGACTTTTTAAATAATTAAAATCAGGTGGATCACGTAATTTCTCAAACAAAATTACAAACCAATTTTTCTAGAAAAGTTTCAAAACTAATACCAGCTATGAGTTAATAACAACAGAGTTGATGTGCATGTATAAATAGACAACTGATTTTATGGAACATATACTCAATAATAAACATATGGCAAACTAAATTACCTTGCAAATAACTGACCTTAAGCGGGTTGTCTACAAATCTTTTCTTGAAATCTGGAATAAGTTGGAAAACTACATTTGGAGATATTAGGAATAAAACCATAATATTTCCTGGCCAAACTGCACAAACCAACACACTCAGTGGTGGGAAGTAAAAAGGGAAAACATTTTATTTGGGGATCTAAGTAAGGGTTAAACTTACTTTTATACCATCATGAGATTTTTACATGAAATGACTTAAGAATGACTATAATGTGGAAGCAAATTTATTCCATGTTAATGGCAACATTGTGAACATTTATAATTTTTCACTATTTTTCAGCCTGTTCAGCCAGGGTTCTGATTTAAACCAAAGCACTTCACAGACCAACATGTGCAATTTGTATTTTTTGTTTTGCCAAAACTTTCCACGTAGCTATGATGAACTTCCAACTGAATATTAATTGAAATTTTCAACAAGTATATCAAAAATATTGAAGAATGGTAAAGAGCCAAGTTACAGTGAAATTTAGAGGAAAATATGCACCAAAATATGTACGAGTTGTGTAAATTCCATGCATTTTATCTTTTAGCCTGCATGGAACTTTTGCATAACTTTTTTTTTTGCTCGTTTCTTTAATCTATTGCTGCCATTTGTAATTCTCATCCAAATTGAATACATTTTAAAATCTATTCACAATTTCATCTATATACAGAACACGTTCACGCACCATTTGTGTATAATGGCAGCATCTGTACAAGTCTATTTACAATGCTTTGAAAAATTACCATCAATGCACAACTACAAGAACGGATTTTACAATGGCCTCTTATGGTGGCCTGAAAGGAACATGCTGACATATGTTTTCTTTAAAAAAAAATTCATAAGATCGCAATTTTATGTTAAAAAGGTGCAAATTTTCTCCATGAAATTGCAGACTGCATCTAGTGCATTGCAAATGTCTTTACAACAGAATTATTTTGTTTATAACACTTTGCGTAAAAAACAACATTTGTGATATCATGAAATAAATTCATGAAATGTCCTTTCTGATTCATCTTAGCCTCACCTTGTTATAAAATGTTTTGGTTGTCTGCCACATTGTTTCAGTGAAATTAGAATAGGCAACATGTATATTATTGTCAACGTCGGATGTCTTTTACCCTCACAAAATGCACTCATGCTCGACATATGGACTCTGTGCAGAAGTGAGCCCTCTATATTTTTGAGTGACAATTGAGCACAAAATTACTGTCCCTGTGCAACCATGTTTGATGCATTTGTGTAACACGCAGTCACTATAGGTTAATGCACATAAGTTGCGCATACGATGTGTCTTTTACAGGCCCTCATAAGTAGGTCACAGCAAAATCTTCAATTGCTACACGGAGTTCACATATCAGCAATGATGGAAATGAAAAATTGTGCAATAGAAAGAAACATAACTAGCACACATTGCCGTCACGGATGCATACAAGAAAACCAGGCCGATTAACTAATGATATCAAATATGTTGTATGTCTAATCATCAAACAAAAAGGAAACCAGTCATTCAAAATATCCCCAGTGAGAGATTTCAGTTCGTAGTTTCTCAGCGTCTCGACGATAGAAATTTAAGGCAGAATGAAACCTCAAAATACTCCTTTCTCTTGACCCTTCTTGTGATTGGCTCGTGTACAACTCTGCTGACTCGTACTAACAGATAATCAAACGGAAGAGTTTCCCTTTCAGATTAAAAAAAATAATAAATCTTCAGGCTAGGAAGTCAAAAATTAAACTGTAGAGTTTCACACTTCAGCCAACAGAAAAGGTCCAATTATTAAAACAACAAAAAGTCAAACTCAAAAACTTTGGGTAACCAGTCATCAGTCACGTACGGCTTTTAAGAAGATGACAAACTTGCTTGCTCCCAAGGGAGTAAGAAACTGCTTCCTCTTCTCCAGTCAAAGTTGCCGAGTCAGTGGATTCTTGAATGTGTTTCGTTCTGAGTCAGCGCCGGTCCACCGACCAAAAGGATTTGTGACTCAGACTCGGCCTTGCACGGCTTCTCTGACATGCAAGAACTAAATGGCAAATCTTTGTACTCCAAAACTTTCAGTGGGTATCAGGGCCTATGTACATTAGGAGTTCAGTAGTTGGGTTGAACTTCCTCAATCCTGCAAATTATCAAAAGATTCCAGGGGGATTTTGAAGGATTTTGGAAGGTTGGGGTTACGCCCAAGACATAGATATTACGTCAGTGCAACAAGGTCATAACTCATTCTGCAACAAAGTCGTGTATTGTGCGAATTGTCTGTGCAACAAGGTCGTATCTCGCGACGTCCATTGACTTTGTGTGTACATCCGGGTTATCTTAAGCGAGATACAACCTTTTGAAATTGAAAACTCGTGTTTTTTGTACATGACGTCACACGCCATTTTAGGAGATACGACCTTGTTGCACGGACACAACAATTAGATCACTGTAGGCATTGATAAGCATCATGTAGTTGATGTCATACTTTTGTTTTCATTAAAAGTCTACTAAGAGGTTTGGAAGATTTTGGAGAATTGAGGACGTTACATGTAGATCGCAGCCATTATCTTTACATTTAACACTGCTGAATGCATTGTATGACACTCAACCAGAATTTCTTGTTCATGTAATGCATGTAGTAGCTTTTTAGCTGAACAGAATGTGTAATGGCGATCCTTATTCATCAACCTCCTTCCCATGGCTTTGTATGGTTGAAATTGACCTGTTGACCCCTGGCAGACCCATCATGATGAAGGGCAATGCTGATTGGCTAAGAAGTCTCCAATGAGATTCAGCTCCTGGCTTGGTACAAATGTACCTACATCTGCATCACGTACATCCACTGAAAACTGTTTTGCATGAAACACAACAAGGGCGACAGTCTTGACGTGGCGGGACCATACTGCAGACAACAAGATTGCATCCTATCACGATATGACGCAGCTTTTCCGCGACGAGTACGGTGGGTCCATAACATTCAGTATAGTTCTGCGCTTCTTGGAGCGCAAGTCCAATGGGGGCAGCAGATAGCGGTTCATGTGGTTGGCGTCAGCGAACGATTTGAGACGCGACCTCATTTGGGGCGGTAGAGGCAGTTTGTCGATTGTGTAAGTGGACGTGCAGTTGACTATCACACGGCAACAGTAGTCTTGCAAGCTCAACACTGCAGAAAAGGATCAAATTGAAATCATCATTATCTCATAATGAAAATCTTTAAACCCTAACTGTATTTAATGTCATGTAACACATCACTGTAACCTTTCAGACTCACAGTGTAAACGTATGCAAATTATGTATATCACGTATAATACCACATAATGGACACAGTTTCAAAAACACCTTCAATTTTACCTAATCAGGACCATGCTTTCTCCGAACTGGGGAGGGGAACATTGTAAACTGTATGATATTTGGTCCATAAACCTTAAGTTTTGAATTAGTGCTGCCTGGCAACGGTTGTCATGGTTAAATGTTATGTATGACAGGGCCTCATGACAGTACTGCACCTTTAAGCTTGTTTCAATGCAGTGCAAGTAACTGACTCATTTTCCTTAAGGCCAGACTATGACCTCCAAATACATAACAGTATGGTGAGCAGGTTATGTAATTAATGGTACTTTATATATATCCATAAATATTATTAACTCCAAGGTGTAAAACCAATGGATTGTATCACATGTAACAATTGCTTTGTTATACAATGGAATTATCTTTATCAAATGGCCTACACGAGTTGCGCCGAAAGGTTGCACTCCCGTTTTCTGTCTGCTCTATGTTACTTTTGCAATCGTTTACCTGAGAAAAACCTCAACCTGTTACCTACCAGCTCTTCCATTGGTGATATGGATTTTGCTTGACACTTCTGAGTGCCGTTGGTAACCCTCATCTCCTTGACTCAGTGTTTGAACATTTTGCATGTGAGTCTACACTGCACCAGTGAGCCGCCATACTACTATTACAGCCAGCCCATAGCCACAACAGTACAGTAATCCCCATTGAATCTCTGCCTTTCAGTCTTCACCACGCAGCATGACTGGGTTCATCTGCAGGCATGGGTAACTCTGCATTGTTCTCTATTGTAGTGATTCTATTCACATTGGGTACCATGAATTGTTTGCATCGTACATGTAGGTACCACTACAGGGGAGATGAACTCAAGCCTTTTAGCTTGGTCAAGAACAGAGTTTCTCCCGAGGTGTATGTGGCACTGAAAAACCTTGGGATATCCTCGTCGAAACCCACAAAAAGAGGTGGAAGGTCTTGGGAAAAGAGACAGAAACGTATCCCTGTGATCATATCAAACACAGAGAGACCACAACAAAGCCAATGCTACAATGAGCATCCTATTTTCACAAACAATATCACCGTTCCCTTGATCAACACTCGTCATATACCACGCAGCAGAGTGGCGTTTTGGAACGCACACTCCATGATGAACAAAACTACTGAAATCTGTGACTTCATCATGTCTGAAAATCTTGATATCCTGGCTATCACAGAGGCTTGGCTCAAGGGCGACGATCGTGATGCCCCCGTCTTGGCAGATATCATAAACACTCTACCAGATTATTGCCTCTTGAAGCTACCACGTAAGGGGAAATCTGGTGGCGGGATCTGCATCATTCTGCGTAAGAACTACAAAACCACCACCAAAGTCCACTCCTTCCAAACATTCGAATGCCTGGAGGTCACCATCAGCTCTCACAAACGTGACCCACTCACCCTGGTCACAATATACAGACCACCCATTGCAGGAAAAGGTCTCACTATATCTCACTTTTTCGGCGAGTTCTCAAAGCTCCTTGAAACCGTCAACCTCCTCACAAGTCATGCTGTCATCTGCGGTGACTTTAATATCCACGTTGACTGCTCACATAAGCCAGAAACAAAGTCCCTGAACGACCTGCTCTCTTCTGCTGGCCTCAAGCAGCTCATATCACAGCCAACCCATTCGCACGGGCATACACTCGACTTGCTCATCGTGAGTGAACATGAACACTGTGTTGAAGGTGTATCTGTAATAAACGCCATGCCGTCAGATCATGCATCTGTCACTTTCAGTGCTGCCCTCTCACGTCCTGCAGCCACAAAAACCAAAGTCCGTTTCCGCAACCTCCGGGGCATCGATATTACAAGTTTCAAGTCCGACATTGAAAACTCATTCGCTAGAGTAAATCAAACGGATAGCCTGGCTCTTGACTCCAAAGTCAACCTGTTCAACCACACACTTAAGACCACCCTTGACCACCACGCCCCGGTTAGGTCAACTGAGGTTCAGCTACGTCCACATGCCCCTTGGTACGACGATTCCCTGCGAGTGCTGAAACGCAAGAAGCGCTCAAAAGAGAGGAAATGGATGAAGTCCAACTTAGCTGTTGACCAATTAGCAATGCATCAGTCCCTCTCGGAGTACTATACTGCCCTGAAAGCCGCAAAGACACGATACCAACGACAGAAGATAACAAATAGCAGCCAGAGTGACCTCTTCCGGATTGTTCGGAGCTTGACATCAGAACAACTTCCTCAGGTCCTACCCCTCCACAACTCAAAGAAAGAACTAGCACAAAAGTTCATCTGCTTCTTTGAAGAAAAAGTTCATGGACTTCGATTGGCACTCGACATGGCTGCCGCACCACAGCAGTTACAGATTCACTCAGTGCCAACACAACATTCCTTAGCTAAATTCCATTCGGTATTGGAAGCAGAGGTCTTAAAGATCATCAAATCGACAAAGATCAAGACTTGTTCCCTCGACCCTGCTCCAGCTAATGTCATAAGCAGATGCACTGATACACTTCTACCAGCGATTGTTGATATCACAAACCAATCTCTTCAATCTGGTGTGTTCCCGGCAGCCCTAAAGTCAGCACTCATCACTCCCGTACTCAAGAAACCATCTCTTAACCCAGACATCTTACAGAATTTCAGGCCCATCTCCAACCTACCATTCATCGGAAAGGTGATTGAGCGAGCCGTCATCCAGCAACTTACCTCACACCTCACTAAACACTCACTGCTTGCCACATTCCAGTCCGCCTACAGACGGCGTTACAGTGTTGAAACAGCTCTGGTTCGAGTGTATAACGATCTCTTGCTAAGTCTTGATTCGAAAGACGAGGCAATTCTTGTACTCCTAGACCTTACGGCAGCCTTCGACACCGTGGATCACTCAATTCTGCTCACCCGTCTGAATCACAGATTTGGATTAGAAGGCTGCGTTCTGGATTGGGTGGCCTCGTATCTATCAGGAAGACAACAATCAGTGATCATTGGAGAGGAGCGCTCCGATCCTGTGAGCCTGAAATGGGGAGTACCACAGGGATCCGCACTCGGGCCCCTGTTATTTGTGTGTTACACAACCCCAATTCAAGACATCATCGAGTTGCACGGTCTCTCCCATGCAATGTATGCCGACGACACACAACTCTACATATCTGTAAAACCCTCAGACAGAAATCTTGCAACACAACAGATTGAGAAGTGCCTCTGCGACATCAGAGCATGGATGTCGACTAACTACCTAGTCTTAAATGATGGTAAAATGGAAGTCCTCCATCTGTCCTCATCTCATGCCAGAGGAAGTATAAAAATCCCCCATGTGACTGCTGGCGACTTCCAAGCTACACCCTCCGAATCAGTCCGCGATCTAGGTGTTATTTTCGACTGCCACCTTACTATGCGTCCACAGGTCAACGCTGTATGTCGAAAGGCATCCTTTGCTTTGAAGCGAATTGGCAAAATTCGCAGATCTCTCGATAAACGCTCCACCGAAATCCTGGTCCACGCCTTAGTTACATCTCTCCTGGACAACTGCAACTGCCTACTTACTGGCCTCCCAGACAAAGAAATTGACAAACTCCAACGCATCCAAAACTCAGCTGCCCGTCTGGTATCCCTTTCCAAGAAATGCAACCACATCACTCCAACCCTCAAATCCCTCCACTGGCTGCCCATCCGGCAGCGCATTCGCTACAAAACCCTTCTGCTTACTTTCAAGGCCCTAAACGGAACTGCTCCAAGCTACATTACTGAGCTGCTACAACCACACCATCCTCCCAGATCTCTCCGTTCATCTTCCCAGGGATTCCTCACAACAACTATACCAAGGACCAAATCATACGGCTCAAAGGCATTCTCACACGTCTCTCCCAAGTTGTGGAATGCCCTTCCATCCCCACTTCGAACAGCTCCAACCATAGACAACTTCAAATCTAACCTCAAATCCCATCTGTTTCAATTGGCCTACTCTCATTCACTGTAATTTTTGCTTACCTATGTTTGCTTTGTTAAGCGCATTGAGATTTCCCTCGGTTATGTTTTGCGCTATATAAGACTGTCTTATTATTATTATTATTATTTATAACTGTTTCAAGTCAATAATATGTCATGGATAAGTAAGACAGGAATTCTTTTTAATACGAAGCCTCTATACATGTTTAAATTCCGAAATCCAATTCTTCAGGCAAAGATATCTATATTTCTTTATTTCTTACAATTTCTTGTTTCTTGTGAAGACTTGCACTGGTGTATCAATTGTTTGTTCCCACCCACCCTCCCCATAACATAATATGTCCATCACATCCTTGACAGAATTTGAATGATGGTTTTTTTTAAAAGGTCACGCATGACAGTTACATACGAAGGCATTCAACATTCCTAATTTGAGAGCAGAAGTATACCAGGGGAACTGGGGTGCTAATGTCTTCAACCTTGGAAATGCTTTCCAGATTGACCGTCTTTTCAAGCTGTTTCTATGCGTGTATATAAATATTGTGATCTAGGTTATGAAATGCGAAATGCACAGGGGACATCTGATAATGTTGTGCACAAACTGTACATGTATATATGCATCATAACTTTACTAGTGCATATCATATGCATCCTAGAAGTTATGGGCAGCAAATGCCGTAGGGTGGAAGAACACGCCCCCAACACCCCCCCCCCCCCTCCCCCTCCCTAGGAATTATTAATATTAATATTACTACCCTAAGGGGTCAAGGGGTCATGAAAACCACAATTTACAAGTTATAACAAAAGTGAAGAGTAAAATAAATTTAATCATAGTTTTTCGTATACATACATGTATAAAGTGCACTTCAGAAAGCAACCTCCTTCATTTAAACCCTCCAAAAAAAAACATTTTTACATCTTTGAAAATAATTTACTCTGAAATACCTCTTTCTGAAAAAGTCCTGAATATGTCCCTACACAAAGCAAACTACACGTGGACATTGTGATCGTGGTGTTATTTCAGAATTCAGTGAAGCCAAGTGGACACTGATGACACCGGAGGACACAAAAGGAAACCATAGCGGGCCCTCTTTTTTAAAAAAACAGGGCATGGAACAACCATCCTTGGACTAAGCAAGTCAATAGTCGGTGAGACAACGCCAGAACAAAGTGGGTCAGTGACCCAGGATGCTTATAAACCAACCCAGAGACCCTATGCACATTGGCTGTAATGAATGCCCCTAGGCCAATAACGGGCCAAAACTGCGGAGCCAGGCGGTCCAATCTGACAGAATTAGATCATCGACCGTCACCATCCTATGTCATCTTCAAGACTGTGCCCTAACCACGGCCGCTTCACTCATGCTGAAATTAACACGCAGTACGGTTTGATAGATCTAATTTCATTGCCAGCTAACGCTGTACTTAGGCCTAAATGCAGTCAAATGTGATATACCGGTACTTGTAACCTGAAAATTGAGGTAAAAAACTGGCAAGAAATTAGAATCTCAAATTTAGGACCCGTTATGGTAATACTACCACACGGTAGTTAGGCTTTGAACTCCTCCACTGAAATGGGAGCATTTCCTGTAATTAATTAAATCATGAAATCTGGTGTCCCTTTAAGAAATTAGACCCATTGGTAATACTATCAGAAACTGGGGCTGTGACCTGTGCTACTGAATGAGGCCATTTCCTGTGATATGCAACCAGAGGAGAAAGGGGGGGGGGGGATTCTTATGCTTGGACAGGGGTTTGCTCATTGCATGCAATCCCTTGTGAGGTAACCTAGGCCAGCGTTGATTAATAAGTCAGCATGTGAGCTATGCTCTGTCCTCCAACCCATGGGATGACAAGCAATAACTGAGCATGGTAACTAGAGACTGTGCACTCCCTGTACTATGTTGATATCGAACAGTCCAGTTCATAGGATGAACTTTATTTGTAAATGGCCAAATCACAAACATATTGAATAAAACTAAGATCAAACTTGAAATTAGTGTCAAAAACATGTGCATGATATTGGACATAAAAACTTATTGACCCTTCTGCTGTCTGGACAGTCACTGCCATGCCTTCTACACAGGCTAGTCACCGACAGGCAGATCATATTTCAGGCAAGCACTGTGACTAGTCAAAATCAGTCAACAGACAAAAAGCAGACAAGTGGTAGGCACAGCTGGCTTATCAAACACCTACAGTCAAAGCATAGCTGTATCAAGTTACATAAACAGTCACAGCCAGTCAATCCTGCTTTATGTAGGCTGGGAGATCTTAACTGTTGAAAACAGTCACTTGATTGATTTTGACTGAAAGGACAACTTAGCCCAGATTGTATGTTTGCACAGAAAGGTTATAAGGTTTGGCAAGAAGAAAATAATGTATGACGTTGATATAGAGAAAAACATTTGCAGGGGGGGGGCCAAAAATGTTCCCCCTGCGGTTCTGTTAGGGTGTGCACTCCGTGCGCAGGTACCCCCTCACCCGGTTACAAATAGAGAGTTGGGGAAGTCCGCTTGGATTGTCTCCTCACCTTTGTTGGTCCTCCAGAGCCGATCCATGCCATTGCGTTTCAGCACCACCCGCGACAGCTCTGTCAGCGACTCGGTCACGTTGAAGTCACAGAGGGGACTGACCTCGAAGTACACCATGTCGTTCTTGACGGCGTAGATCTGGGCTTCCTCTGAGCTGACTTGCCGCTTGTAGGCTAGATGCAGCCGGTTACCAATAAGGATCTTAGGCACGCCTGGCGCATGCTGAAGTACAGGAACAGAAACAAAGAGAATCTTTAGTTTCATGTAATATGAGCAATTTACAATACAGAATTGCTGCTTTACCTGAAATCGTTGACATCCTTTAGTGTCGCTAAATTGTATTAAAAACGTTAGTCAAAATGGCACAAATGTTTTAATGTGCGTACTTGTATGAGAGTAGCACTTCAGAAATGGTTAAAAAGTGCGCACATTTGATGAGTATCATTTTACTCAAAGAAGAAATATCGTTTTTTTTTTATCAGAACCCCAACATTTTTGGATAATATTCTGACGGATGTTTACCATTCTTTAACCTTAACACATCTCTCACTGGTGATTTTCTGAGGTCACTACGTTAATCGCCTTGCACTCACTGCGTTTAATCGCATCAATCACAACATGCATTAGCGGAGCTTATCACACCTATCTTGGTCAGTTCCCCGCTTCAAAAGCGGTTCCCTCCTCTCTCACTGACACCATCACTCTAGCTCCGTCATTATCGCGAGATCATCAAATGGCTTTAGATTGATTGCCGATTGCGATCGATTTTCGTAGACTGGCGGGTTTTCACAGGACCAGTGCCCTTCTTATATCCAATATATATTAATGGGCAATTTACGACCGTCCACCTTGTAGTAATTGTTTGGAGGATCTTGCACACTTTGAAGTAAAAGTTGGCACAGGATGAACGACTACAAAGCACAGCGTCAGTTGATAGAATAGCCAACTCTGGAATTTATTTGAATGGTGGCTTTCTTTCTCCAATTATACACCGTGAATACCTGCAATTTATTTCAGCGGTCAGTTTTAAGAATTGTAACGGCCATTTCCTATAACAGGTTATCAGGCACTCAGCCCATTTTGTTTAATAATGAATTTCTAAAGACCATATTTTTACAATTGTTGAAACTCAAATTTATTGTCACTTCTTATATTTTTCTATGTTACTTTATTGCGGACCGGGCATTCAATGATCAGTGTTTAAACAGATTCTCCAAAGAAAAGTCTGTTTTTGAGATCACAGTAAGAGAACCCTGAAAATGATAGTACCTCGTCAATTTCTTTGATCCATCTATCGATGCCGTCAAACGACCATCGACTTGTGATGTCATAGACTAGCAGGATGCCCTGCGCTCCCCTGGAGTAGGATCGGAGAATAGTGCAAAACCTTCCCTGGCCGGACGTATCCCTAGAAGACAAAAATATATCAAAATGCCTTGTAAATGACAGAACTTGAACACAATGAAATACAAAACAAGATTTCCCCGAATCAGATATCTTTGGGAATCCCCTACACAACATTTTTCACAGAGTTTTACAAATTTTTACATTTAGTGTAAATGGTCCCGATGAGGTACTAGTACATGTACACATGTGAATGCACTAGTCATCCTGAGTTCGTAGTTGTTTTTTCCTGAAACACTACAATTTGGTATATCCACAGATGTACCCTGTATGTGACCAGATAGGACTTCCTGTAAGATAAAGCATCCTATTGAAATCCCATATGAAACACACACCAACACGGTTAAGTACCTAGTGTGCTTAAGGTCTGAAACCCAATGCAAGCTAGGTTAATGTAGCCGTGGGCAAAGCATGAGTTGCTGGGAAATGTAGGTAATGTCAACGGGGATGGTGCACTGTTTTCTGGTGAAATGGAAGACAATATTCTGTGTTTACACAGAATTCTGTGGCTCAATGTCTACTATGGGAATAACCAGGGATGGACTACCGGTACCATTGAACTCGAACAAAATGTTGTATTTAAGTATAAAAGTAATATTTAAATTTTACACCACCCCGTTGTAAAATTACAATTAAAGATCTAGAAAAATATGTGCAGTAACTTTAGTCCATTTTTCCATTTCTAAGCAGGAATAATTTCTTTTCAATGAATGGTGCAAACGAGATTAGGTACCGGTACTACTAATTTACAAGGTGATAAAAAAAAGATTTATGATTTTATTATGCATGTATGCAAAACACGGCTGGGGCATTAGCCAATTAGCCTATCAGGGGCATGGCTTTGGACCAATTAGATTTCATCTGCATATCAAGAAATTTTTATGAACTGTGAATAAATACTGGGTCATGATACAAAATCTATTTTTTCCGCTATCGTTAGGCACCCTAAAAAAAAAATTACTGGAAATTTACAATGTATTGTTACACTAGTTCATGACCTACAGTACAGGGGTAAAAATAAACGGGCTTGTCTTGGAAAACTAATTTGATGAACTTCCAATTTGTATAAATCAATCCGATCAAGTCCTGATTTATTGGGATCCACGGCGCTACGAGGCCTCCAAGCCATTAAAAGCTACTAAGTGTTAACCGGCCAATTCCATTCCACCGCCGTTTCTCTATTTCTTTTATTGCCTCTCCTTCTGAAAATAATTCATCCTCAAGGGACCGACACAGGATACTTCATATGCCCGAAATTCCTCCCTAATTCAATTGGAATGTTTGGGCCCCGTCTGGCTGTATGTTATCGGTCGCTCCAGTAATGTGCGAGGGTTTCACCGGCTCCCCGCCATCAGCTGGTGCCGGTGTCCTCTGCAGCTGTCCAATGATGTTACATTACCAATGTCTTCCCCATGCTCCATGTTGTACTTGGCAAGCATTAGGCAACATTTCTTAAGTGTTACAGATCTTTTCAAAGGGCAAGTTCAACCAAAGGAGATTTCTTCAAGAAAAAATATTTTCAACATTTTTTTTTTACTCTGCCAACATTAAATCCACAGAATGAATGCTTTCATTTTCCCTCAACTTGTATGCAATAGCCATGGACACTAAAAGAAATTATGAAGTGGTGCAAACAATTATTTTACAACATTTCGCACGGCATGTTGTTTCATCTGTCATTTCAAGAATGATTTTTTTCAGAATAGAATTTCTTTAAAGAAAAAAACTGATTTTCATATCTTGTCATCTTTAACCTCAAGTACAAAATAAAAATTCATTTTAAACCCAACTCTGAATAATTCTACGATTATATGCCCATTAAAGCAGAATCAATACTGCCCTCTATCTTTCCGACTACAGAAGGAGATCAATGCGGTAAACGCACTTATTAATCTCAAGGCGGCATAATCAATGGCTTATCCTTCTACCTGAGAGGTGGCAACGATTTGTCCAGATGAAAAATGACTGGAAATGTAATTAATTTCCTCTTCGCAAACGGTTTAAGCACCGACAGCAATATGTTATGTACTACTTGTAAAATCAATGCACGGCAAATGAAATACAGTGTACAATTTTGCACTTTGCAAAAACATTCTGTAGACTGTACAAAATGTCATCATTAAAATGAAAGTTCATACACTGTATAATAAACTATAAATTGTTGACGTGCATTTTCATGTTTGTTTATGTACGTACACGTACCGGTACATGTATGCATCACTATATTTTATGTGAAATAATTTTAGTTTACATATAACCATGTACATGTATGTATGTTAAAATTATAGATTAAATGCACAGTACATGTATGTGTAAATGTATGTGTAAATTACACATGTGTACATGTGTACAAATGTAAACTTACATGGACATGGAGACTGTACACTTTAAGCCTACATGGGCAAGTTATTTATTGTTAATTAGGACCGAGTTATAGGACTTTCTGCTGTCCCCACAGCATCTTCGGTCCCCATAGAACCATGGGCAACTTGTGTGTAGTCTAGTCCCCACTTGTATGGGTGTACATGTACATGTACATTGACTTCTATTTATAACCCACACACTTGGGTCAAGGTTATAATCACTGCTTTCTTTGCTTCATGGTGACCTTCGTGTGGGCATGCACTCACTCTCCAAACCAGACTTTTTTGGACATATTAATGTATAATATTAATGCAGTATTCTTCCCTATGTACATAATGTACATGTACATGCACAATATACATGTAACTCAGTTTACATTTTAATATCTTCACGTTTGTAAAAGTACGAAGTCATTTTGATCCTTTTCATAGTACAGTGTTCTACTGGAAGGTCTAAATTCCATTGAGAAAAATTGTTACGATAGTAAAAAAAAATAGGACCTCTAGCTTCTATGGTCTGGGGTTTGAATCCAGCAACATGTCATTATGTTGTGTCCATGGGCAAGCCACTTTACTTCACTTGCCTCTCTCCACCCAGGAGTATAAATGGGTACGACATTAGCTGGGGAATAACCTGCGATGGACTAGCATCCCATCCAGGGGGAATAGAAACAATCTCAATCGTTTCACGCCAAGTAAACCGGAGATAAACGCCAGCCTGATGGGCCATAATGGCCTGAAAATCTATTTTTGAAAATAAATGTATTTATGATGTCTTTTACTCCCTAGTTTTGTACTTACCACAGCTCTAATCTCACTCTCTTTCCATCCAACAGAATAGTGGTAATCTTGTGATCAACTCCTGCAAAGAGAACAAAAAGAACAACATTTTTTCATTGTAGTTTTGAATTCCGTTTTCATTGTAGTTTTGAATTCCGTGTGCCCACAATTACTATTGCTTTTCCACTACCACGGATATGTATGGAAATTAGAATATATGTAGGTCAGAAACTCTCAAAGAAAACCTCTCTGCAAACAGGCACAAATTGCAATGCACCTTTAAACTTGGAACCTGATATCGGATTAATCTCCATTACTCCACAAGAGCATCAATTCAGGAAAGGCATTGCCCTAATCTCTCAACTCAGTCCATCATTCTTCTGATATTTCTCCTTCAGAGCTGATTGAAGTTGACAAGGGAAACAGTCCTGTTCCATCCCTCATGCATGAAATTGATGCCGCCAACAAATTATCGCTAATCTGAATCTTAAAGGGTTTTAATTTTTTTTTTTTTACGATACTTGACCGGCCAGCCGAGTCAATTTTCAAGCGAGCTGTTTATCCTTTTATCTAATATCCTTGTCATTATCATGCAGGCTATCAATCATAATTTGTTTTTGCAAAACATTGTTGTCAGAAAGAAATTTAAGCCGGAAAATTGGAATTGCTCAGTTATGAGTCATGTAAAATGTTGAACTCTGAAAAGAAAAGGTGACATAGCATTTTTTTCCCCATTAAAAGCAGAAAATGATGTTTACATATTTTGTAAATATATATGGATACTTTTGGAAAAACAAACACTGTGCACATGTATGAACAAAATGACACAAGTTTGTCATTATAAATGACTTTATTCAAATATTTGAATATGCAATCAATAACGATCAAACATTCGAAATTTCAAATATTAGAAACTCAAGCACTGAGGTAATATGATATGCCTATAGGTCAACAGTTTCTGGTCAGTGACCCAATTATACTTGGACACAATTCTCTGTTTCCAAGAACAAGCAGCCAAGGAAATTGGCTTCGGGAAAACCTTACAGACATGACAGACAGATGTCAGCAAAGACAGTAAGGACCTCCCATCTAAACTTGATGAAAACCAAACTGTCATATTCAGGCATGCAACTAGCAATTTAGAAAAAAACAAGGAAATTCTTATCCATACATGACTTTGTACAGTAATTTTTAATTTGTAATGGCATTCATGAAGGTTAAAAACGAGGAAATCAACGGATCCGAGGAAAAGTTGCATACCTGCTTATTTAGCTCTGTTTTACATATTTCAAATTATTGGCCATTACTTGAGTACTTAACGTTAAAATCAGTTCCACATACATGTATGAATCAGCACGCAGCACTGAAACCAGGGAATTTGTAATTTTTAGCTTTAGAAAAAAAACATGTTTCAGTCCAACTACTGAAGTTTCTTTCGTCCATTCTGGACCGCATAGAAATGAAATTTCCCATAATTAAAAACAAAACCTGTTTTAGCCTAACAGGGTTCACTTTCAGAGAAACATTATTAACTTGACTTGCCCCTAATACATTGTCAAAATCAAAAAAATCAACACACACAAAAATCAGCAGAACAGGTTTCAAGGAAACATCGTTCACTTAACTTGCTCTACTCCAAAATACAAAACTTTGTGAATGTACGTAAATGTAATGCATGTAACGAAAAATATAGCCATGATTGGTTTTAAAATCAAGTTTGGCCTGTTTTCTGAAACCCAACTTGTTGGGAATCTTACATACATTGTACATTAACCTGTAGCACCCTTTCGTGGCAGTACAGTGGATGAGTGTACCAATGTTTCTGACATTTTTTCTGTCATTATTCATTCTAAGGTCATAATACCACAGCCCGAGGCACACGTTGTATTATAATATAGCTGTATGAAGCCATTATCAGTGTGTTTCTAAGGCCTATGGTCTGTTGACGTTGTGTTTATGAGTAATCATACCTCAGGGGGGTTTCCTGTAGGGGGTCGGTCATCCTGATATAATCAAATTGTGTCTTTTAATTGAGTTAAAGTAGTGTACTTTCAGGGAAAATCCTAGAATGGGAATATTTTACATACTCGTGTGGATAACAGTAAGTGCTTTTTGCCAATCACATGTAAAACAGTCATCATTTTTAAATTCACTCTGGGGCCAATGAATGAGCATTTTTTTTTGTGTACAGAGTTGATCAAAAGAAAATTTGCCTGAATTTTATAACTGAATTTTTTAACTGAATATAAAAACATTTTTTTAAGCAAATAAAATCAGGTTTCAGAATTTAAACAAAATATTAAAAAGAAAAAATTAAATTAAAAATTGTGGCAGTTATATTGAATAAAGAAATGTGTCGGCATGCAAATTTCTACCCCCCCCCCCCAAAAAAAACCCCCACTCTTTTTTGTTTCTGTATACACTAAATGTATGTACATGTACTGGTATAATTGTAAACCTAGAAATCTCATTGACATTGTGTTCAACCTGTTTGATATTCTAGTGGGACCATGCATTGACGTACATATTCCAGAGAGGAAAATAGGCTGTGTCGTTCCATTTTAAGTGCACGTGCAGCTCTGCATTTTGGTATACAATGGCCACTGCCTGGAACAATGGAAAGTGCATCTCATTATGAGTCATATTGGCGCATTTGACATTCATAGATTCGGGAGGAAATAAATAAAATGTCATCCAGTTTACGTGCCAATTATAATTAAATACAATATATTTTAGTGCACGTACATTGTTCATGTACATGTACATTGTACATCGTGGATCATACGGAAACAGCAGAATTTTGACTGGCTTTTTATTTAAGCACAATCACATCAGTATTTCATAATATTTTGGAGAATTTACACAACCAAAGACTTTGCAATAATAACAAAAGCTTTTCCTTTATTTTGCTTTATGTTTGTATAAATTTGGATTTGGGTAGAGTAATCAAATCAGGCAGCCGTGTATACAGCTCAATTAGGCACACCACTGTGAATTTCCATTAACACAAATTAGATTTCAAAATCTAATTTACTGAATTTCTGGACAGTACACACCACATTAAAAACAAACATGACCATGTTACAAGGACATTAATTATAGGCCTATACTAGTTCAGTCTTTGAGGTGGGAGGAAAATCCATTAAAAGTATTCTTGGGACTACCCAAAGAATCAGGTATAAAGGACTGAAAACCAAATCCTCATGCTTGGGCGGGATTCGAACCTGGGTCTCAGAGGTGGAAGGCAAGGAAAGGACTGAGCCAACTGAACACCCTGAGTGGACCAAGTTGGTGTTTCGTTCCTCACATACATGTATCAAATATTTTGCTGAAAACCAATTATCATTTCCAATACAAATTTTAAGCCAATACTATAAACATTTATCACAAAAACCTTTACGACCCATACACTTTGCAAAACTGAACTCACTGGGCACGGCAATAAAACCTTCTCTCCTCAATATAAACACATTGTACTCCAATCATCCTGTCAATTCACACTGACATCCCCCACCCCACAAATTAGCCCCGGCTCCTGCAGAGTATGAAATACAACCTTCCACATTTATTTGTTTAGAATAAAAACCAGCAATTCGGGGAACCAGTGTAGTATTGCGATTCTGTATACAGAGGCATGCCATGCCTGTCACAGGGATTTAAATTATTATGATAGGAACCTGTGAGGCTAGTAAATTTTCCTTGCCCCGAGCTGCAGAGTGAAATCTGCTGACGTCTTTGTTATAGGCCCTGGCAGCGAGTTTGGCAGACAGTAACGGGTGTAAGGGTCATTTTGGGTCCCAATTTTGTTATTGGAAGTGAGAATTTAGGACCAAGGGGTCAGGTGAAGGGCATCCTTTTCTATTTGGGCTGGGAACAGGTGTGAGCACTACATGAAAATAAAAAATAAAATGCCTTCAATTTTGTTTTAAAAATCAACAAAATTTAGCTGCCTACATGTGAACACCCACATTAAAAGTGGAAAAGAAGCTAACTGAATTTTCATACACATGTTTTCTGTATAACATATTCACAATATATATCAATTTTCAGATTTTTAAAAACCTGCCCCACAGGCAAAAAAGGGTCAGTATGTACATAAATGCAAATTTAATTATGTAAATGGATTTCTAATATGGTCTGTAATGGGCTGTCGAGCATGTGGCCCACCTGCAGTGCAGCCAACTGTCAGATTTAGAGCCATGCAGAAAATCAATACGGGAAATCTCATTAACGATGCATGGGTAAAGTGGTAGTCAATTACGACTGCTGAACATACATGTAACCATGGTCAGGTGTAACTTGGCACTCGGGACAAATTGTACTTTTATTGGCACTATAGAACAGAAAGTCATTGAGTCTAAAAAAACATCAACATGTTTAATATTTTTCTTCAACACGGAAACTTCAAACTTCCCAGTTATTTATTGTAAGGGAATACATATACATACTTGTACATACATTGAAAATTCAAATGAGCAAGTGAATGTACTTTTGTAGACTATGTGAGCAAAATTGAACGCATGCTATTTAAGGTTAGAAACATTTTGACTAATATGAAAAAGAACACTTAAATCAGTTCGTAACAGTCCTTTATTTGTATGTAGCCCATATCCTGTTATTCCTACTATACGATTTGCTCCCCAATTTTTTTTCAGGACTTAATTTTGCATACAAGTCTACTCCAAAGCTAAAGGTTAGTCCTACTTTAGGACAAGTAATTGTATTATTACATGTTTTATTATTATGTTCCAAGCATGTCAAAGGATGTAAATACATTTGTACGAGTCCATGCATAGTCAACATCAGTCACAAAAGTTAACTGAGCCATACCCAAGCCATTAAGTCATTACAACTCGACATCAGACCTCAACATCCCCGTCTCCACAGCAAACCTTCTCATCTCAAGACACTACTCCAGGCTCCTTGGGGCTTTACGGACACGTCCGATCTAACCGGTATCCATTACACCGGTTCCAACCTGTCTGCCGCCAACTGTCCCCTTGCCTCAATCCAAGTAGGGATTCATCCCGCGATCTGCGCCTCGCGGACGCATCGCACGTGTATTTTTTTTTTTTTTCCGGTCATGTCAATGCAACGTCCAGCTTTCATTTAAGAGCTTGGCTTTTACGTTTTGTTCCTACTGTTTGCCGATTGCCACTTAGTTGGGCAGTCAAGTCGCCGTTGGTCAGATGGCAGGAAAACATGTTTATACCGGCAACGGTTACAATAGGGCATTAGGAGTTCACTGAACTACATTGTCATGTTGTCTTCCTACATGTAGAGGCAGTGAATGGGGACAACACATTGTCATTCACTATCGGAAAATACACCAATTTACAGTGTTATGCATCCAGTAATACATTTATCTGCTAATCTAAAAGTAAAATTTAAAATCTTTACACTTCCAAAATTATTGTAATCGTTTCAAAACTGTAGTCTAAAAATGAGCTAAATGCACATAAATTGAATTTTCTAAATGCAATTCAAGTTGGTGAATACCAAATAAAACAAGGTTTCTTGTCACAGCCTGCCTGAAAATAGATTAGAACATGCTTGACAATAAAGGTCATGCTTTGTTTACAGTGTGGAATTGTGGAGTAAACAAAGAATTGTGGGGAAACAATGCATATTCGTGAAACAATTTAACTCCTCGTACACGTACGGATCTTGTATGTTGACTATGCATTGTATAAATTATGAACTGTATATACTGAGCCTTACAGTTCACCGTTAAAAAAGTCAATTCTGTCCTTCCATAAATTATGACCTAGCTGTACAACGCATGACCTTTGCATTTTGTGTTGTGATGAAATTGCCCTGATCTCTTTTCATGCAGGCTGTAAGGACAAATCTGATGCTATTCAATTTTGAGTCTTCTTCATTTAATAAACAAATCAATTTAAACTCTACCTATAGTTGTGCACTTTTCAAGGATATTTTGCCCATGTACATGTACAGTATAATAAATGTTCATGGTACATGCAGTTTGTTGTCGAACGTAGAAAACCCAAAACATGTCTTGACATGCATGTGTGTGGCACATGTAACAGCACTTTGACCAGATTTTGGAAAAACAACTTCGACTCATGGTACATCAATTAAGGACACTGCACCACTTCACAGGAACAATCCAAATATTACCACACATGTCACAAACACCCAGTTCATATCATCATAGTGGATATGTGATGTATGTTTTTCATGTAAACAGAAAAAAATTTAAGTTTCAAAGAAAAGTGAACACATTCACGTACCTTGTAATTTATCACAAAATAACACCAGCCTGTACCCAAATGATGGGAATTGAATGAAGACTGCGTGTATACTTGGTGTGTGTCAAACAGTGTTCAAATGTTTGTGACTTTGCATTAGCACTAGCCCACGTCTAGATGATTTGTAAGCGTCCCTGAAATGTTAGCCCATCGTATAAATGTGCACTGTACATTTTGCAAATATACCATGTGTGCATAATAAATGTCTACAGTTTGCACATGCATTTAGGGGCTGTTCTTTTTTGAACAAGTGCAATTACTCATAACCATTGTTTGGCTGTGTTTTTCTTTCATTTGGTTTCCTCTTTTTATGAAATGAAACTATGTATAGGATTCATGTTTTTATTTCACGCTTTATCAAAACTAAACCAAGACTGATGACAGGCGAGCTAAACCATACTTTGTCCAAATGCTCAAATATGGGAATAGAAATTACGAATCACTACAGAGTACCATGACAAAGTGGAAAAAATGGGACTGTGTGTTCACAATGCGATTTTCTAAAACCTGTTGGCCTAGGCCTACATGTACATGGATTACAATGAAGTAAGCATGATGTAGCAAATTGAATCTTTTTAAAACTGTGACCCTTAACTTCCTGTTTTGTATTTTTCTACAATCACACATTTGGTTTGGTTATAGGCCTTTGTCATGTGTGATGATGACTGTATTTATAACCAAAGTAAGATCACAATAAATGTACACTGTACAACAGAACAGTGTATTTTGTATGCAACAAAAGACAAGTTAAATGGCATGCAATGTATTTTCTTTTAATGCAATCCTTGAAAATGCACCTTTGTATCCCATTTAACCATATTTCAATTTCCTTGTTTGCCATTTTCAAGGGTATTTTGGTACCTTTTTGGGTTTTTTGCTAATGGTTTCCATATTCATGGGCAAATGTGCGATGTCATTAAGGCAGAAACCTCAATGTTACAGTTTTTTCAGCACCAAAAGTTGCCAGAATTTTGGATATTTTGCTGTTGTAAATTGTCTTTTCTTTTGTGATTCGCTGTTGTGTCATTACATGGCACTAAACCAATGAGTAAACTTTTCTCACAAATATTTTCAATGAACGCTTTTTGGTGTTCACAATTTGAAAAGAAAACCCCTAAACTGAAAATGTCTTCCTGAAATGATATCACAGCAACAGCACCCAGAAAAAAATGGCGAATCTTAAATGTTTGAAAAAAAATCACTTTTCAATTAACCAAAAAGGAATAGCAAATAGTTTTCATACATTTAAGAGTTGTAGAAAGTTGAACAACATGTGTTCCTAAGAAAAATTCATCCTATGGATCCTTTGAACCTTATGACCTGCAGTGCAACAGCACGTGGGGACTCCCTCTGTATTTCTGACAAAAACACCTGCGTCTCGCTGAACAAAGGACCTTTTCAAATAGCTACACAAGGCACAACACAGGGACTGTTGACTGGAAAGGTGTATTCCCCTACTGTGTGCGTGTTCCGTAATCATGTGCTGCCCAGGTCTATGCATGAAATTGTTTTCAAACTGGCATTTTGTTCAAACTTATTAATTTGTGAAGCTTAAAAAAAAACCTCCAAGGACAACATAGCTAGGGCTGCATGATGTGAATACTTAGTGCTGAATCACTGCTTGTTCAACATGCACAGAATACAGAACATCAAATAATATCGCTTGCAGCTTGCAGAGAATAATAGTTGGCCAGTTGTTGGCTATGGGTTGTGTCCTTCAGCAAGCCACTTTACCCCAACTCACCTCTCTCCCCCCACAATACATATGAATTCATACTGGCACTAGCTGGGGAGAAAACCCAGACGCTCTTACCATTCACACTGGTGTAAGTCCCAAACGTGATGTCGTTGGCGCTGTCATCAAGCCGACCCAATATCTCCCCCTTTCCTACATCGCTGTCGCCGACAAGGAGGAATTTCAGCAGGTAGTCGTACGCCGTCCGGTTCCGACGCGGCGTTGGAGACCCGTTCATGTTAGTGGCATTGCTGAATGGAGGGGCCTGACTGGCCAATCAATGCCTGCCTTGAAACGTGTGGTGCAAAGCGGTGCTGAGTGTTTTGTATGTACGGTACCGTGTGTCCCCGGTGAAATAGCTGAATACCTGGTTTCAGGACGTCACCTGTGAAATAAGAATATTAAAACAAACGCAAACCATTACAAAAGTATGAAAGATAGGAAAGACTTCTACGACAGGCATCTTTTTGTTGTTCAGTGTACCAACTTGCATGGTTCATCGGGGGAAAGGGGAAAAATAAATACTAGGATAGAAAAAATAGAACCAACTATTTTATAAAAACAAGGAAATTGGTCATCTGTTATTTTTTGCACATATCCATAGGGCCTACATGATGTGCGTGGGATGTCACATACATACATGTGTAAATTAAATCTATCCATTTATTTTCCCACGCAAGTTTACGACTTTGTGTGCATGCCGTTTCAATGTTTGTTTCCTACCTCCATGCATCAAGTGCGTGTTGGATAACTGAAACATGACAGACTGCGAAACGAAAACAGTGACAGAATAGTGATTCTTTGTTATCGCAGTGTTTGCACCTGTAGTGGTATGGTATGATCAATAAATGGAAATTGTGCAGTTTAGGACCCCGTTCCATATAAATTTTAAGAGAACAAAAAGACATTTTAATGTTTTGGGACCAGTACTGTTTGGGACTCACCTGGTTTACCAGCAGGAAAAGTAACTTTACATTTTTTTAGTTTGCTAATACCATATTGAATATCAGCAGGCTTAATTTTGTAGAAAGAGGGTACATACATGTACATGTAGGTTTTCTATTTATGAGGAAAGTTATGGGTTAAAATGATTGATGACACTGTCACTGACAATGACGGCGCCTGAACTGCCAGGACTGCTGTGTGCCTCGCACTTCTCTAACTAAGTGCTAAAACAGGTAAGAAAGTCTCATTTTCTTCCAAAGTAGGCCTACTAATCAAAATTATAAAAACCTAGAGTTGATCTCAATAAAAAAGACTGTATTGTATTTGTAGCTGTGTTGTGCGCTTTCTTGTGATTTGCGCAACAATAAGAATGAGCATGCGCATTCTTATGATTGCGCAACTGAATCCTTGTGCAATCTTTAAAAAAAAATATTCTTCAAGGTTGGGCACACATTCTTAAGAATGTGCAACGAGAGAACGGTCTTGTCGATGCCGAGCACTGGCTGCGCTTGGCAAGTCTAGCTGTATCCTCGTTCACTGATTCTTGGGCTTTACTTAAATAATTAGCCTATAATCTGATACAACGCAAGGTCACTAGGGGAAAAACGTATTGGGGGGAAATAATAAGAGACATACATGTAGTGTAGTGGAAAAATAAGAATTCAGATTTTTGGGATAACAAAAGCAGGGGGGGGGAACAATGGCGTCGTTCGCAGTGTTGAAGATCTGCCCGCCGTGTTTTTACCATCTGCGGCACACATTGTCAATGGATCATGATTATTGGAATGGGTCAGTCAGTTCGAACCTATGTCCATTTTCATCAAATATTTGTTGGTTGGGATAAAATTAATTGAAGGGGCATCACTACGAGAACTAGTAAGTGTCTTCCATCCACACAGATTCATATTCATGTTAGGGTGCGTAATGTGATTGGTTAAATTATGTATGCTGCAAAAAAAAAAAAAAACTGCCCTGGTTTGTATGGATGCAGGGACTTGTAACTTGTCTAGACTAAACAAAGCACTTCCAAGACTAGTTACCAGTCCTCCGTTATTACAAAACTTCATGTGGGGGGCAGAAAAAAGCAATAATAACAGCTTTAATTTAATTCAAATTATCATATTTAAACCAGTACAGAAGCATAAATCACTTTCTTTTCTCGTTACATGAATTATTTCCCCTTTAACCCCAATACATTTAATTTAACATAAATAAGCCGTGCAATGTTTGTTAAGAAGATTGCACAAACTTCATAAATTGCGCACGTAATAACGCTCACGCAATCTTAAGCATGTGAAGAATGAGCGCTCATTCCTAAGACTTAGACCCGTGAACGTGGCATTGTATACAACACCACGCTGTTGTGTATTTTCGAACCTAGCGAAATTGATCCGCCATACATAATTTCGTATGGATTTTGAGTACTCACCTACTACCTAGAATTCAATCTAAATTTGCCTGTCCGCGTGTTCAGGATGTGTCATTTCGACGAAATAATCTTGATGAATGTAAACAAAAACAGCATGCACAACCACACACACACAAAAATTCATGTTCATGTGATGGTTTTGAGTTTGACTTCGAGTTACACAATTAATGGACAAACGCTAAATGCAAAGTTACATTGAGCATGTTGAGCAAAGCCAAAGCGGTTCAGAATTCTGAGCTGACTGCTCAACAATCATACAAATTACAATCACTGAATTTGTTCTCATCGAAAATGAATGAATGTAACTTACCCTCTCGCACTACCATCCGTCACTTGCTGGTCTTAGTCTATCATGCCTTAAGTTAAGTTTGAAGTCAAATATACTTGAAAAGGACATCGATAAATCTGATAATGTTCAGGTCGAAATCCACAGTGACTAAAGATCGTCGTCGTCGCGTTCGTCGTGCACACTATTTTGCGAAGTAAATTTCGACTCGACCGGACGGGAAATTGTGACACACAATATGCACTGGTTTACTGCACAATTATGAAACGCCTGCAAATCACAGGCGGGAACCAGTCACTACAATTCGAACTATTGAGGGCGTCGTGCGTTTTTTACTGTGTATATGGATTTTTAATTAATTAAAAATAAAAAAATGAGGGCGCCATTTCAACTTAACGTGCTGCAGAAAAAAAACATGGCGGCCCCCATTGAACGGATTTCGTGCAACAGTTAGTGGACAGTTTGCGGCGCAAAATAATTCCATTTTTTCGGAGTGTTTATCAAATTACGATTGATAATTATATCCCGATTATAGTTCTTGATACTCGACATTAAAGAAATCAATTTAGATTGTTTAACAACATGGGAGACGATGCCATTTACGCTACAAATGACGACGCTGCGATGTGCAAACGGTAATTTGGAACTTCACGACTATGATCTAAAGGGATTCATCTAAAGCATAACGGTTAACCGTTATTACATTAGTCAGCCTCTGTTCAGTCATGCAGTTTACCCGTAATTTGCGCCCCTTACCGTAACTACTCGTGTACAACAATGTGTAGCTGTTTTGGGAATGCAATGCTCAGTCAGAGAATACAGAAAAGGCGTCCTGAATAAGATTTAGTGTGTATTAAAATTTGTACAAACTAAATCGAAGTCGAAAGTCATGAAAGTGGCAAAGTCCTGTCAAATTGTGTTGTGGTTTATAGTACATGCACTAATCTTCTCCTTAGTACTACATTAATATTATTAAAAAAAAAAAAAAGTGGCATCAGGTTGCAATGTTCTTACTTCTTTTGTGGTCCTTCCTCCATGGTTCTTTCGACCAAAGAATGTTGCACCTGATGCCATTTTTTTCTTCATATATCATCTCACCTAATAAAGGTCAGTCATTGCAAAAAATGTTGAAAAGACATGAATCTGGGACTGAGAAGTATTTCAATTTTGTTTTTTTCTTGACTCTCCATAGACTTTGTACACAACTGCTGAAGTGGCCCCTGGATACTATTTACTACATTCTTTCCGATTCGGTTCCCAACATTCTTCAGTGGGGGATTATTATAAAAGCTTGCCTTTTTGACTATTGTGATTATATTTTGATTTTCTTTTTATGTCCAACAATCAACATTCTACCCGTCACTCTTTCAACATGATTAGCTTTGCAGTCCAACAAGGGTACTGGAAGGACCCGTACATCCAATTTCTTGTCAAGGCCGGGGAGAGAAAAGCACCAGAGATCAACAGAGGTAGCTACAAATTTACAATTACTTTACCTTTTTTTTTAAAGTCATCAAGTCAGATTTTCACTAGACTGTTGAAGAGTTTTGATTGTTCCAGTGCCTTGCTACTTGAAGTACTATGGCCAGCCAGTCTAAAAAATCAGGGAACTTGAGCTTTTAAACGTAAATAGCCAACTCTCCAACAGGTTACTATGCAAGAACGGAGGGCCTTCGGAGTCTCATGAGGCAGTTTTTGAAGCTGACGCACTGTGCCTGTCAGATTGTCAACCTGGGTGCCGGGTTCGACACCAACTTCTGGCTTCTCAAGGTAACTTGTAGACCATCTCAGGTGACTGTTGGCCTGCTAGTCTCACTTTGCCTTGTGTCACAGCAGTATGGATAGAAACGGTGCCAGAAATTGTGTTTCTCAAATTAATATGTAATTTGCTACAAATAATAAAGAAGACTTTAGATTCAAATTTAGTTTTCCAGTTCAGAATTATTTTTCCAAAAAATTCTGAAACTGAAAAGTTGGTGCCACGAAAATTCTCTTTACAGATACAATCCCCCTCTGTCAAAGATGTTAAGAAAAACAACTCAGAGTTCAATTCAGAGTTTTGGATATCGCACAACATATGTTTGTATAATATGAAGATTGTTTTTGTAGTCCCCTTAAAATGAAATTCTGATTTTATATTTATTTGCACGTAGGATGAGGGATTGTTGGCTGATGTCTTTGTGGAGCTGGACATGCGGGCAGTCACCAGCCGCAAGTGTCACATGATCAGAACCAGATCCAAGCTGTTGGAACCGGTTCAAGCCAGTCACGGGTCGGAACCAGTGGTGATTGGTGAGCAGTGGAAAATATATCAAGTAGAACAGAATGTGCTTTTATAAAATATTTTCATACCCAACTCTTGTAACAGAATTCGATTCTAATTTATGAATATGCATGTGTTGTTAACAGAAGATGCAGAGCTGCGCTCAACACATTATCACATCATGTGGGCGGACATGAGAGACTTGAAACAGGTTGAGGAGAAACTTGGCCAAGTTGGACTGGATAAAAAGTAAGTTGTGATTGTTGTATTGAAAATGGAAATACGCGGTGCCAACTTTTAGGCCTAAATGTTAACCGTGTTATTTTTCTGATTGCCCCACCCAGTAAACCCACTCTGTTCCTAAGTGAGTGCGTGCTTGTCTACATGCCCCTGGACAAGTCCAACAGCTTGGTGAAGTGGGCGGGAACCAACTTCAGCTCCGCCTTGATCCTTAACTACGAGCCAGTCAACATGGGCGATCGCTTCGGTCACGTCATGGTGGAGAATCTACGGAAGAGGACCTGCGCCTTGGCTGGCGTGGAAGCTTGCCAGAGCTTAGAGACACAGGTATGGACTTGGTATCCCCTCAACAAATACAAATACTGCTCACTGCCTTAAAAGGGTGTTTTTGAAACTCTGTGGTTTCTTCTCAAGCTGTGCTTCCATATTGAGCCAGAGTCTGTAAAGCCAAGGGCTAAATCTCCTGAAGTCAAAGCCAGACATGAAGCCGTGATTTCAAAAACATCCGCAGCTATATAAACAGTGACCGTTTTTTGTTTTTGTCTGACTACAGAAAGCGCGGTTTCTGAGCAACGGCTGGGAGGGCGCCGCAGCCATGGATATGATGTCGGTCTATCGCAGTCTACCCGCGGATGATCTTCATCGCATCGAGCGATTGGAGTTTATGGATGAGAGGGAGCCGTTACAGCAGCTGATGGATCATTACTGCATCGCGTGGGCGTGGCGAGATGTTAACAAAATCGGTAAGACCTGTGATCAAGTTGCTAGTGCTCAGGTTAGTTAAATTTTCTTTGCAGTGAAATTAATCTTAGAAATGTAATAAAATTAAAAAATCTTTAATTCTTTCCATCTCGTAACTTCCAGGTTTGGAGTCCATCGGCTTCAATAGGTGATACTCTGATGAACATTGTTGGGAACTTACAAAGATGTCAGCTTTGCTGTGAGCAAGTGGCAGCCCGCATCAAAGAAATGTATAATTCTCCATTTCAGTCAAACTCGTTCAATTTTCATTTCGAAAAAGTTGGTTTTTCCCTCCATCTTGTTCAGTCTAGAAAATCTTGTCATGACTTAGTTTCTCATTGAGGAATCACCAATCCAAGCAATTATTTCTTTTTATTTCTTCCACTGGAATTTTCGATTACTTTGAACCAACCCAATTTTGAGGAAAAAAATCATCTTCAACCTTTTGTATTGGTTTCTTTTTTTTCTGCTGCTGAGCAATTTCATAAATTTGGATGTACATGTCAGACACTTTAATGAGCTGCTGTTGGAAAAGTGAATGTGATACATCACTAATAATGTGACATCAAATGAGTAGAAAGTAATTACAGATCCACACTAAAGTACCACCATCTTAACAAATCCCTACATGTACATCATTTTACGGAATTGCTCTACAGATACATTTAAGAGAACTGGTAAAAAAAATTGGCATACTAGTGTATGTAGTGTGATTCAGATAGAGTTTGTTTAACTTCTTGCCTTCCTGCCTCGTAGGTTAGAGTTTTAAGAAATCAAGACATTTCCACAAAACTAAAATAATAGCTACTGTGGGAATGCTATGTGGCCTGCATCTGCTGATAATGTGTAAGATCTTTTTGATTTGTGTGCATATTGATGCATGCTTGTGTGGTATTCTGCCCAAAGATTTTGAAAGTGTGTGAAAATTCTGAAGCCAAGATGCCTGCATTTTCTTGATATTTCTTAGTTTTGCAGTTGTTAAAAATAATTAAAGTTGAGGAGCTCATAATTCACAAACCAAAGCTAACATTTGAAGAGAAACATTTTGTAATCCTGTGATAAACTGGCTTTAAGCCATAAAGTTGTGTTTGGTGAGGACAGTGTTTAGGTTTCCGTCTTCGCTCTTAACATCTCTACGGAGCCAAAGTTTCAACAGGTTGGGTTTATATTTCTCCATATTATAATTGGTTATGTTTGCAGATTGGAAAAACACAAACTCCAAATGGTACAAATTTCAGTTAAAGAAAATATACACAAGAGTTTCAAACCTGTTAAAAATGATGTTGATTTTGTAAATACAGTTGAGCAATTTTAATTTATTATTTGATTTCTTTGAAGGCTCTAAGCTTGAAGTTTTACCTTTTAATAAAAGAAAAAAATATGTTTGATGCTGTTTTAAACTGGAGACGTCTGTCTATCAAATCAGATGTAGTTGGGATTCTTCATATTTTTGCCAAGTGTGGTATGAAAATTAAAAGTTATCAAAAATACACAAAATTACAAACTGTTTTACTTTTAGACATTCATTTTTATTCCAAAACAAAGAAATTAGTTCACCCGTATGCCTTGCATATTTTCTACAAGAAAAAGTTAATTGCGCTAACAAACTGCTGCTGGCTTAGACAGTTCTACATGTGAATTCTGAAGTGGACATTTGTTTCATTTTGAGAAAGACAGAATTGTCTCAACATTCATAATGGTTTTGAATAATCAGCCTACGGTGTTTTAGCTGGATTTTACCAAGTTTCAATTGATAGCTACGATTGATTTATTCTACTATCCAAGACATTTTGCCAACAGCCTAGATTGACTGAATCTTACTACAATGTACACTTCAACAAATGAAAGATATTTTGGTCAAAACTGGTGCTCATTTTGTTTTCTACTTTGACTGCGTGGAGAATACCAAAGGCATGAAGAAATATTCACTTCATATATAATACTTAGAACAAAAAACTATTGGCTGGCAGTGAAAATACATCCACATATAAAGCATTGCTTTACCTTTCAATAAGTTCATCAATATTAATGACAAGTCAAAATCACCTCGATGGAATACTTTTAGAATTATTTACAATCGGATTGAAGGCACATTTGCAAATCACACTTTTGATGCTATCTATCCCACATACATGTACTTAGTTTTATCATCCTAGCTACATCACCCAAAACACACAGTTTATTGCAGAAATATACAAATACTACCCGAAAAACAAAAATACCTTGTAATATTCACAAGTTGTCAAAAGTGTTTTACTTGACCATCACACTGCATAAACATTCTAAGACGTCAACAAATTAACCCCTGAAGGATTTATTTACACGCACACGCTACAAATCTTTGAACAAAAGACTCTGGAAAAAATAAACAAAGAATTTGCCATTTTTTACCCTTACCAAAAACAAATATCTTTGTACAATTAATAAAAAAAATACTTAGAGGGTTAAGTGTTTATTGTATTAAAAAATGATTAATTTTTTATTGAGATATATATTTAGCTTTTTGGGACGGGGATTATTTAAGGTGGATTTTTTTATCTGCGAATATTAAATTTCTGTGTTTGTGGTAATAAACATAAACAATAATGGGTGAATGATTAACTGACGAATAGCAGATGAAAACAAATCAACAGTTAAGTTGAAAAATTGCCTCTTCAAGACAAACGCTCGGAGACACTGTATTGCAAACTGCCCCATTAAGAACCTCTTGCATTAAAATGAAACATTCTCCCAATCATAAGGTCATTAAGACCCTAAAGACAATACTTTGTGACAATGTGTGATGTAAAATAGAGTTGGTATTACAGAGTTGGCTTCTAGACATATCCCACAAAGATCTTATTTTAAATCCCATATCACCATCCACAAGCAAACCTTAAAAATCATCTTTCAAGATTTTATTTGCCTCCCATTACAAAATCATCACTATCATGATCGTCGTCATTGGCAACGCTCGGTGCAATCCGTGGTGTGCTGGATCGGCTGCCTGCACGGCTACTATGACGACTTCCCAATCTCATTATGGGACTCTGCAATGGTTCACAAGCCATCAATTTAAGACACAAACATTGTTAAAACATTATGATTAAATTAGACACTTGTCACACGCTCGGTCATTTTTGCAACTATTAAATTTTCCATGGAATGTACATCATGAAGTGACAAATACAATAGTCTTGCTCCACGACAAAGTGATGGATTGTCCAGGGACTTAGTGCACAAGCTACGTCATTCTGTGGCATGACCGAGAAAATGTATTTGTGTGTAAATCTTAGGTGCTACGTTAGGTTTGGTGAACTGGATGGCACCTGTTAAAAAAGACTGGCAGGTACTGTTGGAGTAACTTGTACCTTTTTTACTTTTCAATAAAGAGTTCTTCATTAAATCCCCCCTCCACTATTTCACACACACACGGTTCTCAAAAAATAAATAACAGGATAGAATGAAATTTGGAAATTCTGCGATGAGTATGTTCATGATGGCATGGCATGACTATTTACAGTACACAGCAAAACAAGATTTACAGATACTTCAAAACAATATTTCAACCAAACGTTTCCAGATTTGAGCTGAATTCATCCAACAAATTTTGATTTCTTTTATGAGGACTGTTATCCCCTCCATCAAACCCTAGAAAGTAACACCTAAGAAGTCTATACTTTCCTTATTTTTTCAATTTGTGATACGTCCCATGAAATTCCTTACATTTTCTTAAATGAGAAATCCCAGAACTAGTGTTTAGAGGGTTAAAACTTCCCGATGGCCCACTCAGAAGAAAATGCCTTTCTTAGCCTTGTTAGAGCGCCCCTTCCTGCTACTCGTTTCCTCTTCGCTGTCCCCGCTGCCCTTGCGTGGTGAGAGGCGCGACTTGCCTGTCGGAGGGCGCCCCCTAGAGGCAGGCTGGTGACCAGTGATGACCGAGGGTGACGCACACATGATGTGAGGTGTAAGGAGTGAGGACGAGTGATGGTTAGTTATGGTCATGAGGTGAAAGAAAGATTTACAGGTGTTGTTAGTACACCACAGCTTTTAATTACCAGTGGCGGATTCAATATTTTACAAAAGGCGGGTGGGTGAGGTTTTGAGCACAACACATCCAGAAACCAATGGCTTTAAGCAGTGAAATTTATTCAAAGTCTGCTCATGAAATATGATAAAATAGTTGAAAATTACTGGGAAAATGAAAAGATATGAAGAACACGGTCAGCATGTTAATTTTCCTGAACCATAAAGAGAAGTAAATATCCAGTTTTCACAGCAAACTATTGAGTGACAAATAAACACTGGCATGATAATATAAGTGAGATTTATGATGAATTTTATGAGTTTCTAAGAAAAGAAAGGTCCATCTTACCTCACGATCTTTCCTAGCTGTGGAGAACAAAATAAAGAAATAAAATTAAACATTACTTATCATAGATTATTGATAACGAAGAGGACCATATAAAAAGCAAGGATCTCTTTGTGAAGGACGTAACAGGAAAAGATTTGTGCCTCAGAAACATTTATTGTAACAATTACCTGATGTAGTTCGAGAGCTCTGATTGGACGACATCCTCAGATTGGCTGTGCTTCCTCCAATCACAATGCTGTCGTCGTCTGAATCCACGATGTCCTCCTCAATCTCTGACACTGCCCTTGAAGAAACTGAGAGGAAAAAATGAAATTGAAACTTGTTTAGAAATTGTTGGAGCTAAAGTCCATACTTTGTGACCTAAAAATCAAGTAATTTGTAAATTTACGGATTTATCGATCTAGCAATCTAGTAACTAAGAAAACAAGCAATCTAGTAATCTGGTAATTTAGCTATATTGTAATCTAGCATTCGGATAACAAGTAGCTATCTAGTTGACTAGCAATGAAGTCCCTTAGCAATGTGGTTGACTTGCAATTGAGTAATCTATTTATTTAGTTATTTAGTAATCTAGTAATCTAGTTATCTAGTACTCCAGTAATCTAGTACTCCAGTAATCTAGTTAACTAGTAATCTAGTTAATTAGCAATCTGGTAATCTAGTCATCTAGTAAGCTTACTATTGCCATTGTATCTGCTGTGTCGTGACCCTGACCGTGACCTGGATGATCGACGCTCTTCTCTCTCCGACGCTGAATCGTCACTCCTGGAAGCCAAAAGAAATAAAAAATCACTTCAGGATTTAAAGGAAAAATACCCTAACTTTCATATGTGACCCAGACTGGTAACAGATGACCCAAGTCAAATGAAAACAGAAATGGCAGCGTCTACCAATGGATGTCAACTTTTCCAATGATGTACCGCCAAATGCAAATTTGTGACTGTAGTGTTTGCTTTGTAGTAAATCAAGCAAATTGGCTCCTTTTGTGTTATTCCTTCAGATTAAAATTACTAAAACTCTACTAACGTTTTCTTCATGTAGTCCTTGCGTGACATGTGACCTCTCACTGCTGATTGGATGGTCAACGCTGCATCATCCATCTCGCTATCCTCATCCTCGTCGTCGCTATACACGCTCCGGTTGCTACGGCGACGCTTGGTATCCTGCTGCCTCATCTGCTCCTTGCGTCCCATGTGGCCTCGCACAGCTGATTGGATCATTACGGCGGCCTGGTGGGAGAAAATTAGCCAAAAAAAATAGTTAGTCACACAATCTTTGATTGAAAAATTCTGCTAAATATTTGATTTGATTTTTTTTCATGCATTATTGAATACTGAATAAATTTTTATTCAGATGTTTTGATATGAAATGCAGTTAAATAAAAAGAAACAAAGTGTTAGAAAGTGACCTTTCTGCGATTAAAGCTTCAACTTACATCATCCATTTCATCTTCATCCACAGCCTGAAATAAAAATAAAAAGTACAGTGAGATTTACAAAGAAAAACTCCATGATGTTGGGCTCAATGTTGGATTTCTAGTAATGAAACTTCAGCCGAAAGGAATCCATGCTAACCCTCTTTTGATGGGCCTTCCAGTTCTTCTGGATGTTGCGTGCCGAGCGGTTTTTACGGAACTCTTCCACCCTTCGGTCTCGCTCCCTGATCCATTCCTCTTCTTCTCTCTGCTTCTGATGCTGGCGTTTCTGGGAACGAGAGCTGTGTAGGGAGTCAGAACTGGAACGTCGCTGCAAGGAACGTCGTCGGTCTTTGTCTTTGGATGCAGACTCAGAGAGTTCCTTCTTAAGGACTTGAATCTCGTCTCTGGAAAGAGAAAAAAAATGTGCAGAGGAGTGGCAAGACATGTTACTACAATTTCCTTGATTTCATCATCATCATTATCATTCTCAGATGTTATCTGCCCACTGCGAGGCGAAGGCCTCCCAAAGCTGGTGCCAATTGGTCCTGTCCTGTGCCGCTCTCATCCATGTAATGCCCGTAAATTTAACAATCTCGTCTTTCCTTAATTTACCCAGTAGTATACCTTGGTACCTGTGAGGGTAGCGACAAGTTTGTTCTTGGGCAAGAGACTTTACTACAATTTTTCAGTATAACTGGCTACCTGTGATGTTAGAGACCAAATTGTGCTGGTCGTGAATTGCTTTTTATGGCCTGCTGCATAAAACTGATCTCATGGCAAATTTAAAAATTGTGATATGCTTCCTGACTTTTGTATAAAGATACAACTCACTCTAGCTCATCCACCCTTTGTCTGAGTTTAGCCTTGTCATCCTTCAGCCTGTTGCAATCTTTCTCCAGCTTCACCTTGTCTCCCAAGAGCTCCGTTTCTCGTTTGTCCAGCTGATCTAGCCGGTCTGCCAAGGTACCGCTTAACTCAATCTTCTCCGGCATTTCCGAGCGACGCGAGGAGTTAGAGGTGGTCTTGCCTTCCAGTTTGGCGACTTGCTGCATTGTAGCCGAAAAAGAAAAAAAAATATCAACAGAATATAAAGTTGGATTTGTGAGTTTTTACACCGTAAAAAACGTCTTTCAATCAAGAATAAAAAAAATAGACCAAGCAACAAAAAAACAATTGCAACTTACATCTTCTAGGTCCAATACTGCAGTCAGCAGCTCTTTCCTATTCATGTCTTCATAGTCTGTATTTGAAAAAATAAGTTTGGAAAAAACATCTTTAAGTAACTTGAATACACAAATTTAGGTCATTAAGTTACAAGATCTATATCAAACAGGATGCAATAGTCCATAGGGTCACTTTTAATCAAAAGGTTAACTTTGAACCCTCACAGAATCTCCAGTTCTAATTTGGTTTTTCACATATCCTAGGGGAGTTAGGGATATGTTAATTAATATTAGGTAAAAAAAAATGACTGCAGCGGGATTTGAACCTCCAACCTCCAGAAACAAAGTAGAGACAGATTGTTTGTATTTCTGGTTTGCCCCACCTCTCTTCCTATCCCTTCGCTTCTTGGCCCGAGGCGTGTCGCCCAGGTCCGACATGGCCTCGTCTAGCGCCCTCTCCAGGTCCTGCTTGAGTAGTTTGTTCTCGCTCTGCAGCCGCTGGTTGCTCTCCGTCAGTCTCAGGATAGTTGCATTCAAGGCTTTCAGCTTGGCCGTGCTGTTGGGGTCTTTCTCGGCTGTGTTTGGCCTCGAGGGCGACCTTGGATTAGAAAAATTAACATTTTCTCTTCAAATATGTTGCGGCCAATATACAAAACGGCTAGTTGTGTTTATGGGATGTGGCTGCAGCCGCTTCCATAGGCACATGTGTAATTGCAAGTCGTAGCCAAGTAAAATGGAAACAGCCACATCAGGGTCTGTTTCATTCCAGGAGTTACTAACATGGAGCTAAGGCCGTGTCCGATTAACTTGGCTACGACTTGAAATTACACATGTGTCAATGTGTCAAAGCCGCAGCCAAGTAATTAGGACACAGCCTAAGCTTGTAAATTTGCTATTAAGAAGAGAATTATTTGCTTAGCAAAAAAACGGTTACCAGCCAAGTTGCCATGTGATGCATATTGCTTGTAACTCAGCTGGTTTTTGCTTTTGTATAAAAATTTACCAAGTGTCAATTTCTGTCATGATTAAATAATTTGATTATTCAAATAATTACCTGCCGTTTTCTCGGATTCCTTGCGACTGAAGATATCTTAACCTCTGAACCTGCATACATTGAAAATAATATAGGAAGTTGAGGACATCATAAAATTAAAGAATGTGACAGTTTTAACAATTTCTGTGCAACAGATGCAGGAATCTCTTTATTCAAGTTTCCTTGTTGATGGTTAACTAGTTAAAGTCTTGCGGTAAACCGGTCTATTCTTATGGTAAACTGTTTATTACCTCTTGGTAGAACGCCTCCATGCCAACTCTCATCTCGTCAATCTTTGTTGTTTTCAAGTCGCTCTTCAAGTTGCTATGGAAACAAAGACCGCATTAAGAAAGGATCGGCTTCAAAGTTTCGACAATGCAACAGAGTTTCAACAGTTACTGAGTTTTGAAATGTGCTTACAAAATGATGAGGATTTATTAATATTCAAATGTTATAAATTTCTGAACATGTTCTTTGCCCTCTACAATTCTACTTGACCTTTGGCATCGACATGACCTTTGACCCTTACCTCAGTTCAGTCTCCCTGTCTTTTAGAACCATCTCTAGTTTGACAACCTTCTGCTTCAAACTGTTCATTTTCTGTAGAGAAACAGAAATAGTTTGAATAAGAAAAAAATCTCTGAGAAATAAATTTGGCAAGAATAAGTTTCGGAGACATTTGGCAATCTTTACTTACGGCTGCAGTGTCTGGTTGCTTGCTCGTTAATGTCATTCGTACATCACCCTGAAAATTAAGGAAACAAAATCTTTAAAATAACTATTTGAGATATATGTGTGAAGTGTTTCTCCTCTCAACTTAGGAAAATAATTTCCGTGCATTTTTTTTTCACGATCAATACAATCTTGAATCTTTATCTAGAGGGATGCAAATGTTCATATAACAGGACTTTTGACATTTCATCCTACCTTGGTCGGATCAAGAAGTTGCTCAATTGTCCTCTCTTTCTTGAGGTGCTCATCTTCCAGTCGCCGGTTCCGCGCTTTGATTCGCTCGCTCTCAGCCTTCAAGATGTTGTTTTGCTGTCAACAAACATAATGAGATGACATCATGGTCATAAGGATTAAAAATCTTCAGGAAAGCTTCCAAAAATCTTTGAAAAAATCCCTCACTCCCAAAGAATTGCCAGAATTGCCCAATGGCATTTTTTGTCCTCAACTTACATTTTTTGTCCTCAACTCGTTTTTTTTAACAGTTACTAATAACAGTGATGTCTTTCCCCTCTCACCTTCTTGAGTTCCAAGATGTCATCATACATATCCTCCTTGGGCTTGTAGCTCGGTACGCCCTTGGAGTTCCTGTTCAGGGGTTCTAGGAGGGACAAACAATAAGCACAGATACTTTAGTGAATGTCAGTGATTACTGAACTCTTCCAGGACATATGACTGACACTGATGGGTATGGACACAAATATAGGCTACTGACTGGGAACGAAAGTTTTGACTTTGAAGTTCACGAAAAAAAGCCTGACAGTTGCTACTTACCATCTACTGTGTTACCCCGTTGATGCTTTCTGGACGTCATCCCTAACACTGTTTCCTTGAGATAATCACTACAGCTGTTCAGGCCTGCATTGGCTGTCCCTGCTTTGCCAGTGTAGTTGCTACTCCGACCGCTACCTGTTAAATCTGGACAAAGAGGAAAGCATATTTGCTACAAGTCAGGTTTGGATCTAGTCTACGAATTGTGCAGCAAGAACACTGAATCTTCCAATTTTGTTCGAGGCGTTGGACCAGTGCAAATGTACTTGTATCTAGATAATCAGTCCGAAAATAATTCCAAAAATTGCTGGATCTTTAAACTAGTATCGAAATTGGCCAACTTTTAAATTTGTCCAGTGCTGTCTGAATATTGACTTTTAAAATTTCAATAAGCTACCACAAAGACCGATTATGCCAAAAAAAGGGGAACATAATTCTGAGTCAAATTTTGGAATTGATTCTTTTTTCTTCTGGAGCAAGGTCATCGAGATCTAACTCACTTCCGGTGCCAAGACGAAGACTCTGCAACCACAATTCCCTGGATGATTTCTGAGGACCACTGGAAGATAATGTTGCGTTTTTGCCTCTTTGTTTGGCTGATGAAGGCCTCTGTTGGTAAGGCGATGCTGTACCAAAAAAATCATAAATCAAAAGAGAGTATTGTCGGAAAATGAGCAGGATTAATAAATATATTCCCTCAATATTGAGCATTTTATCTTTAAAGCTTATTCTGCCAGAAACAACTAGATGAAACAGGTATCAGATCTGTGGAAACCTTACTTCGTTGGGCAGTCAATGCCAGCAAGATAATTTACCTTAAACCCTTTGTTGGCTCTCACGAATTGTCCATACAACCACGTAAAATTCCTACACAGAGTTCAATGAGAATACTTACGTGGTTTTGTTGACCCTGCTTTCCTCGGCGTCCTCTTGGGGGCGCTTTTGGGGCGCACCGACAGTGGGGTTGCACGTGACCCTCTTGATTCTACTCGCAGTTCCTCGTCAGAGTTATCAGAAAAACTATCATCCGAATAAAATGATTCCTAGAAATGAAGATGTTGAAATTTGTTTGAAACAGAAGATAGGATTTTAACTTTAGTAGGAAATTTTTGGTTATGTTGCTAAGTTTATTACAATATGCAGTTCCATGAGTTACAACTGATGTGACTGACATGACAAGTCATGCGCTGAAAGGAATGTAGTATCCAGACGCCATTTCAGCAGTTGTGCACAAACTGACAAAGTCTATCGGAGCATCAAGAATATTTTCTAAGTATTTTGTAACATAATTGGAAATGTTTCTCAGTCCCAAATTCATATCTTTGCAACTTTTTTTGCACCAACTGGCCTTCAATGAGTTGATATAGGGGTCTATGATGAAAAAATTGGCGTCAGGATGCAACATTCTTTCCATATAAAATAGGGCTGACTAATGTTTTTCTTAAATTATTAATCAATTAATAATCCATTTTCTGGTGGGGAAAAAACCTACCTCAGGATCTATGTCTTGAATAGTGGGCATTTTCCGCTGGTAGCTTGTCTTCCAAACGCCTAATACCGTTTAGGCAACCTCCTCCATTGAATTGAAAAGCTGAAAACAGTTGTGTTGTGGAACTTGGCGTAAAACGTGCAGTGTATGTAGTGGACTACGCTAGTCTACTGCAGTGCTAGTGCTAGTATTGCACTTACTTGCAGTCTACATGTGTTGTGCCCATTCTTGAAAATCACGCATTCTCGAGAATGGGCATGCACATTCTTGAGAATGTGCAACTGGATCCTTGCTCAATCTTGGCAAAAAATAACTCTTCCAGATTGAGCGCACATTCTCGAGAATGCGCGACAAGATAACGGTCTTGTCGATGCCGAGCACCGGCTGTGCTTGGCAAGTCTAGCTGAATCCTCGTTCACTGATTCTCAATAATTATACTGTTGCAACGCAAGGCGCTGAAAAGTAGAGTGGATATGATAAGTAAAGGCGTATTAATATGGGGGGGGGGGACCGGGAAAATTAAGAGACATAATAATACTAGTGCAAAGAATTCTGATTTTTGGGATAATAAAAGCGGGGGGGGGGGGGGGGGGACGTAAGAATGAAGAATGTGAAGAATGAGAATGAATACTGCGACATCCCATAGTGCTAATGCTATTTCCCATTTAAATTGCCACCAATTTATTGTTCACATCCCACCATAACGTCGCAGAGCTGGATTCTATCTAGTCAAAAGAGCAATTTTGGCAGCTTCTGGACATCGTTTTTTTTCGTGGCACGCATATGATACATGCAGGGACTTGTAACTTGTCTAGCCTAAACAAAGCACTTCCCAGACTAGTTCCCAGTCCTCCGTTATTACAAAACTTCCCATAGTGGGCAGAAAAAAAGCAATAATAACAGGTTTAATTTGATTCAAATTATCGTAGTTATACGAGTACAGAAGCATAGCACATTTTCTTTCCTCTTTATGTGAATTGTTTCCCTTTTAACCGCTATACAATTCATTTAACATAATTATGTCGTGCAATGTTTGTTAAGATTGGGCAAAATTCATAAATTGTGCACATGATATTCCCACCCAATCTTAAGAATGAGCGCTCATTCTTAAGAACGCGTGCTCGTTCTTAAGAATGAGCGCTCATTCTTAAGAATGCGCGCACATTCTTAAGATTGCGTGATTTTCAAGAATGGGCACAACCACACTAGTAATATTGCACTTACTTGCAGTCTGCATGCACTTTATGAGGTAAAATTAACAAGCATTCACAGCCAAACCCTGTTGTACTGATTCCGTCTTGCTGAATTGTACTTTGTAGTTCACCCGAACTAAATGCTTCTCCCCTGAAAAGAAACTCTTTCAAATAGTATTTCATGCAATTTCTGGGAGAAAAGTAATGCGTTTCTATGCAGTGTTTACTGAACAACGAACAAGGTCGGTTGTTGGAATTTGCAGCTGTGTAGCGCCCTCTGTTGACCACTTTGACACAGTCGTAAATTTCCTCAGACGGTGTGAATTTTTTGTTAATCAAATTGTTTGGGTTTTTCCTGCGAAATATAATTATCTACCTTTTATATATTTGGGCTCGCTTTTTTTTTAATGAATTTTCTGAATAATGAAACAGGAATTGTTTCATATTTACCGGCGCCATCTTGGACAGACGAATATTGTTGATGTACCCTAACATGGCGCGGCCCCCAACGTGGCGCACTTTGATTTTTTGCCTGTAACGCCTACCTAGAGCAAACGTTTTAACTGAAATTTCACAGAAAGGGGAATTTCATCGAGTTCTAAACACTGCTGTTCATAAAACGCGAGTTTATTTACCCGTAACAAAGTTAGAAGAAAAATTTATTTGGCGTGATTTTAATTTTCAAGTGCAAAGTGAACCCTTTGAAAATGCCCCGAAAAAGAAGAAAATAATTTTCTGACAAACATCTGGCTGGGTATGTAAGTAGAGATAATAATAATTATTTACCAGAATTTATCAAGTTTACAGAAATTCGTAAATGTTAACTTGGAATTTTTCAAGATTTATTAAAGTGCGTCACGTTAGGGAACACTCCGCCAATTTGTGCCCAATTTCCGGACGCCACCGTTTTTGAATTTTGGATTAAATTTTATGAAACCGAAATTGTTCACAGAGGTTAAATAGCAAGCAATACAAAGGTAAAAGTACTAGTATTTTACTGCATGAATTTGAGGTTTGTCGACAAAGAGGTTTGGCAACACTACACGAGGAAAGTCGGGTAGCTTCGAAGTGCGCCACGTTAGGGAACACGACTATACGCGGCAAAAGTAGGCCCTATACGTGCGTGCGCAGACTGTATGCATATTGTGCACAGTACCGGCGGCGCGAACGTACAACTTTTAAAAAGTCTAAGCTGACAAAGATCATACGTCTTCGACTCTTCTCCAACAGTTGCACATCAAACATGCCCTCAGAGTGAGGAGACGTTTCAAAGGTAAGTGAGCTTCTCTCGATTCCGTGGCCTCTTTAATGCAGTGGCCGCTGACTTATTTGTTGCCTCGCACATTAACGATACAGGCAGGTTGATTAGCCATAATTTCCATAACACTGTTTATGGTTACAATTTTCTCAATGTTGCATGCACCAATTAAAGGTGAATTTCTAACAAGTTAAACGACCTTACTGCTAGGTCGTAAATGTTTATAGTTTACAAAGTTGCGAGTAATAACTTCCAGTTCCGGTGGACTCAGGCCAAAGTGAATTTGGATTTTTTTTTTTTGCATAAGCGGCCTAAACTGATTATGTTTAGGGTTACTTGTGTATTGAATAGTGACGTAGGCTGCATTGACTTTCATGTCTTATATGAAATTTGGGTTCATATGAAATCTGGTTTCGGACTCTAACCTTTACAGTTACACTCGACCTGTCAATGCCCTACAAGTGTTCACTAAGGCTTGCGCTATATATGTGAACACCAATAAATCAGTACCAAATTTGATCACCACTAGGCGTAGTCACGGCTCAAACATCCATAGTAATATGCATGGTTACATCTTTATTGCGCAAAGTCTGCACTATGGTGATGATATAATGATGTAGCGCCTTGAACACCAGTCCTGGTGGATACGTGCGCTTTAAATACCCACCAGCATTTGATGGGGGGGGGGGGGGCACTTAGGTGGATACGGATCGCCGTCCTGGGGGAGGGGTCTAAGGGGAGGGGGTGCCCCCTCCCCTTTGGAAAATTTTCGCATACGGAGGATGGGCTAAATGCAAAATGGTGCCACATTTGATGCTAAATTCGATCTGAAGATATCTCCAGAAATTACTATTTTTGAGGTAATGATTTTAACAACGCGCAGAATTTTGCAGAGGATAGGGGGGCACCAGCATTTGATGGGGGGGGGGCACTCGGGGGGCACTAGGTTTTCCAGGGGGGCACGTGCCCCCCCCTGCCCCCCCCCTGCCCCCCCCACCCCCCCCTGCCCCCCCCCCCCTGCCCCCCCCCCCCCCCCCCCCCCCCCCTTGGCGACGCCACTGTGCATGGATGATGATCAATGAATCTGCATTCTGGATGCGCTATGCAGTAGGTAGCGGAAATATGATCACTGATTTAATGTTGGGTTCCCGTTCCTTTCTAACAATGCAAACTATAAGCTTCTACGACACGTACGCTGCAGGCTTGCTGTGTAATAAATTCTATTATACATAAACCGCCTTTTGTGAAAATGATTTATGTTTGAGCCATGGGGATAATCTATTGTACCACCATCAATCAGCTAGGATGGCGGAACATGTTTAGTGTTCCGGGAGAGGGTGACCCCTTTGGCCTTGCGTCTCGATCTCGATGGCGCCGCTTTTACATAATACACATGTTGTGTCACTAATGCACCAATTCATCACAAACTTTGATAACTATAGGCCTACAACGTCATAATTAGTTTCATACACCGTTGGAATAAGTAAGATTTGAGGCTTTGCATGGTGGAATACAACCGTTGGAATACTCCATTCATACGTGGGGCTTCTGGAAGTATGAGGGTGGGGCATATTTTGCTTCAATCCCAGTAGAACACAAAAAAGACTATGCAAGTACATGTACTTCACTATAGTTGGGAACACTTTTCATTAAAATGACTCATGGCTCAGTGCGCGCCTAGCCTTGTTCAAGGCGGTCTCGAATTTCTGTCGGAGGGAGAGACTCAGGCACGCACGCGAACCATGGCAAACAAACCACCGCGTAGAGCACCTGAAAGTTCATCCCTGCTGGTGGCGCGCTGAAACTAGCTTTAACAGTAAAATTGACCCGCTAAATTTCGAAAAGTTGCAATTATTTTTGGTACATTGATTTCTTACAGAAATCACCCTCGGAAAAAAGGCCTTTGTATTAAAAGTGAAAGCATCTCAATTTATGGAATCTGAAAAATCGGCCGACGTGAAAGAAAAATATCGTGCCAAAAATTACTGATCTCTCACTTCCGAAAATCTAAAATACATGTGGACTATGTACTACTGGAACTTGGTGTATGCATATGAAAGTTTATAAAATAATTTTCGGGCGGTTATCGGGTGAAAACTGAAAGTTAAAAAGGAGACTATAAGATTGTCTTTTAGGATATAGATTTTTTTGAAATAAACTTGAAGGACTCATTAGCATTAAAATAAATTCTGGAATGACCGCTGATAAGGACTGTATTCAAGCCAGCACGATATCTAGAACCCATCGGCTGTGCTGTAGGTAAATCTTAGCGTCGTTCTCTTGCTTTTACCCATTTCCAACTTCTCATCATTTTTCGTGATGAATACCGAGGTAAAATTACAACATGAATGTTTCTTGGGGTGATTACTGTTAGAAATCCTTAAGTTCTGTCAAAAAAATATAGCAAGAGAAAGGGCAACCTAGTGTAAAATGCCCATAGGCGGGCCGGGCGCGCGAGGGTTTCAGAAGCTCGCCGCGTGACCTATACTTTTAGGCTCCTTTTATATATCATTATCACTGATGCAGAAATAATACCAAATGCTGTTCTCTATAGGCCTAATACGAATCCTCTCGCACGCACTAGCGCGCACACACAAAATATTTTGTTGAACTTACTTTTGCACGTCGCATCCTTCCCCGTCACGGTTCAAGTGCAGTGGTCTGGTTAAAATCGTTAGTTTTGGGTAAGTCCATTTTCAGAAAGGTTTTGTCAGGTTCGTCTCGCTGACGTGCTCCACATCACTGCGCAATAATGATATGCTCAGTGTATCAAGTCCATTAATATTTAACTTGAACCTTACAACCGTACAGAAGCCGCTCTTTTCTGTCTAACTTGTGGCAAGTCCGAAGGCCAGTGAGTTGCCACTAAGTCCTCGAATAAACACTGATTCAGGTTGTCGATAAAAAGACACAGTTTTACCTATACTGGCAATTGTATCGCAGTCGTGTTATGTGACAGACCACTGGTTTTCAAAGATGTTAACTCGTAAGGTGCATAAAGTCAGTCTCCTAGTTCTTGGGTCGCTAGAGTGTCTGTGCTTTGGTGGGTGGATCTTCGGATGGGCCTCACTGGTTTTTGTCCTGAAACAGGAAGGCTACTTCGCGGATAAATGCTGGACCGAGGGAACCACAGCTGACCCTCGCAGTACCGTACCGTCAAGCGGTTCCACGGCCAACGCGAGCCAACCGACCACCGTGCCGGGACTAGCGGGCTGTGCCGATCAGGACGCCGAGCTTCAACTCGTTTTCACGGTAGCTAACTTCTGCGTTTCCGGTGCCTCGCTGCCACTCGGACTGCTATTCGACAAAATGGGAACTCTTTTCATGAGAATAATAATAAGGTGAGTAGCACAAGTTGGAAAATTACATTCTACTTTCATTATATATCACGAGAGGTCGTACATGAACATTATCAGTGGCAAAGATCTATTCAGTTTTCTCGTTTTACTGTTTTGTCTTAGATTTTCCTTTATCAGTTTATCAAATGACAAAACAAAGTAAGGCCTAACTTTTTTCTAATATGTTTTGAGATGTAGGCCTATATCAGGGAGAATGAAGGGAGTATACATGTACTCCATTTGAGAATGTTGATGATCTTGTTCTTTGCACTGAACTAGTGGTTCAATCATGAAGGAAGGAATCCTCCATGCAATTCAATATACACATTGCCGAAAGATGTATAATTTGAATTGTCGTTATAGGCTTCATCTGTACCGATCATAAAATCAGTACAGTCTTGATATTTGAAGGCTCTATAGAGGATCCGTGCTCTGAGCGATCAAAGAGTTGATTACATTGGTGGTAAATCCCAGTGGTTAAGTTTTCTTCAACAACAAATCTTCCAAATTACATGTGTTGTTTGGTATTTTACTTAGCGTTCTGATGTTGGCTGGGAGCCTGATGTTCGCGCTGAGCTCCAGTAATCCTTTACTAGTCTTCCCTGCAGCCGTATGTGTATCAGCCGGTGGTGTCCAACTTCTCGTGGTAAACCTACAGGTGAGTTTTCTTTTAG